TTGGCATTATTACGCATTCTCAATGTAATAATACAAGCCCTCCTTTCTTGGTCCCTTTATTTTCCTTTTAAAAATCTTCATCGCTTTTTTCAGGACTTTTTAACAATATATACACATCTATATATACATTTTGGTTTGTGATACTTTATTTCACAAACTAGCATCCGTTGTTTTGCAATGTTAATCTATGTTTTGGTTATAGCTAATATAAAAAGTAGAAAAAAATTTGAAAAGAGAAGAGATTGTTATATTTAAAATTGGGGGTGGGTCAAGATCCATAGATTGACTAAACCTGAATCTAAAATGTTAATAGATTCTGTAAATAAAACACTGGTCCATAACTGTATCCTCTACTCTCTCTACGTACCAATAGCTCATAAGAGATGTCCCGTCACTCCCATTATTTTGGCTTTACTTTTATGATTCTGGGGTCCATCTTTTTATTCCTTCGTCTTTTTCTTCATAAGTATTTTAATTATTTATTTTTATATAGGCGCAAGTATAAACTCAATATCGTATTTTTAAAAAATCAACTTATGAATAATACAAATCGAATATAACATATACCCAAATATTTTGTGGATTTATGGATCGAACAGAACAGACCAAGGATCACGATTTTATATCTTTTTTTATACTAAAGCTTTGTTATGATTTTTGAATAGTGAGTAGGTGAGGTCAAAAAAACTTATTAACGTTAATTTCACCCTAGTAAACCATAGCAGATAACTATTTCTGTAAATACTAAAACAGTTTTTTGCAGCTTTAAAATTTCAAGTGCCAGAAAACATGCGGCATAATTACTCCTATTGCCAGTAATTTTTTATTCTAGAGTTGTATGATGCTGCTTTTAATTTTATCTTCTTTTTTTTCCCAACAATTCTACTGTAAATTTTTACTACTAGATACTACAATATATTAGATCTACTATGAAATTTGGACGATCAAAATTACACACAGAAGTGATATGATTCATATGAATATTTGTGGCGACTCGTGGTCGTGACTCTTAAAACGGCGTCGTGTTACGAAAATAGTAATCGTTCGCATGGGTGACACGTGTACGAAATCGACGGTCAGGAGAGATCCTAGGGAAGTAGAGAGAGGACGTGTGAGAATTACGAAGGCGTTGAACGGCGTGAGAGAGCGCGTGCGACTCGATTCTTACGACGTTGAATATGGACCGTCCGATCAAATATCATCGATCCACATAGATGCGTGCGAGAAGGCACATGCCGTTATGAAGCGTTCTCGATGAACATCACGTGTCCTCTAGGGATTGGCTATTATTGCAAACTCCGTTTTATGAGGCAAAAAAGACAATTTAACCTTTTATCTATTTGGTAATAAAAACATTTTTATTTTGGTTGTATATTAATTAATTAATGAGCTTATTTAATGTGCCTTTAGCAATAGCAGGTAGGCACTTAATAAAATAGTCCAAACTCCAAAGCTACTTACTTAATTTAAAGGACACAAATCCTAATGAACCCCAAACAGTTATTTGCGACCTTTATTTATCGAAATCCGTTTTTTTTCTGATCGATTTTATTAACAAGAATCACAAACTCGTAAAAAGGGAATTTAAAATGGAATGAGAAAATAGAGAAAAGAATTTGAACGGTTAAGAATATGATAATCACGAAGATGGCATGATATTATAGTTGGAGTGGGTTACTTGGCGAAAGAATCAAATAGAATTTTCATAAATTTGGAATGTGACGTGTACTTATTTCTGATTTTCGTATTATTATTACATATAGGTGATCTTCGTATCATTTCTATTTCACTTTAAAACCAACATAGATGTTTTTGGTTAGCCAAAAGTTAGTTAAAATTTCACTACGTATTATACATTTTTAGGTTGCTAATCAATTATTGTTCCACTACATTTATTTTTCTTTCCAATTATACTTCATGTTATATCTCCATTTTACATTATTTGTTCTTCTGTTACTCTTTTTTTGCTAAAAATGTAAATATGTCATAAAAATGAAAACGGTTTAAGTTTACAATCGATGATTATAGATCTAAAGAAATGGTCCCATGACAAAAAAAAGTAAAAACATGTAAGCATAAACCTTTACTAAAATTCGGTCCATCTACTCAACAAAAGCGTTAGATGAAGCGATATGACGATTTTGATTGTTTTTCCCGAATTTGTTGCTGTTAAAAGCCACTTTTTCATTTTTCAATTACTACGATTTATAAGATTTGAACCACTATATTTATATTATGTTTACACGAATATGGACGTATACTTTTTGTAATGATTTAAGAAAGTAAATCTAATGGCAGTAAGTAAAAATATTAAGAAACTGTTTTCTTATGGGATTAATAGGAATCGGTCTTGCTTTTTATTTACTTTGGCAGGAGAGAGAGCTAGGTAAGGATGTGAACTGTGAAGCGTAGAAACGGCGCCGTGTCGGTCCAAAAATCATTTACAAAAATAAACATTACAATACATGTGTCGAGTGTACGCTAATGTGCGCCTCCTCTTTCTCTCTTACTCAACCATTGATTTGCCGTCCACTTCACGCGTGCCTAGCGGTCAAAATTTTCAGACGCAAAAGCACCAAATAATGCTTTTCACTTTCCTTCTCACTTTTTTTTTTCTTCTTGATTTCTTATTCTTGTTTTTACAAGTTTCCAATCTACATAAGACAAAATAATGTTTAGGATTCGGATTGATAATTTTTATACAGTTGATTGGTATATCCTTTCCTTTGGATGGGGATAAATTTTGTATGGTGGGAGTTTTAAATTGTTATGAACATTGAAGATTGAAGGCATTGTCACAAATGATACAAGAGAAAACAAGTGATAAGGATGATAAAATTCTTAAGTAAACCTCATAGTGGTGACTATTTGTTCCAAAGATTACACAATCTTGGGCAACGGACATGGGAGTTTTTCCATTATCATCAAAAGCATGTTTCACTCCTTCATTCATTTTAACTGTTCGTCAAAATGTGTTGCCAACAGCAAATTCCGCACATTTTTATTGGAGATCCTTTGATTGAAATATATATTCTAGTGTTAAAAGAGTATAAGAATAAGTGTAATATGATAAGGATGCTAATTTACACTTATGAATTATAATATGTTTGATTATTTTTGTCTAATAGTATTTGATAATGTGTATTGTGTACTAATCCGAAAAATTAAATATGCTCATTTTTGTTATTAAATTTACGAGTAATTACATGAACGAAAGCGATTTTTATATATATATATATATATGTACTGATAAGTAATGATATGGAAAGTGTTATGGTTTCATATCATACAATGACTGCATGTCAATTATTTCGTCGCAAGAAAACAATGGAAAGGTCAAACTAAAGATGTGTATGTAACTAAAAAAGTCTAAAGATGTATGGTACACACTATACACAATTACACAATTACACATAATTACACATGTGGTTTAGAGTATTAGATATTAGTGAGACAAAGTATGTTGACAGGTGTACAGAACCAAGATATTCCTTTTTTTCTGTAGTAGATACAAATCATACAAATATATTTTACAAAGGTCCATTTCAATACAAATGCAACAATCATAAATCCTTTCAATTTATCTGGAGGCCTCTTAAGTATATATAAACAATACAATAGTACTTTTAACTAAATCATATTTAATCTTCTCTAACCTCTAGAACCATATATTGCAAATATCAAAATAACTTTTGTTAACGAAAGAAAGAAAACGTTTTTTGAGTCCTTAACTTGGAAAGGAAAAAGAACACCGGGGCAAAAGGTTGGAAGATACACTTCCTCCCGTAACCTCTTTAGGCTTCGTGCTAATATACGCTACTTTGACATTCTCTCCTATCATACGCACCTTCTATTAGATCTCCCAAAGTCTCACCACTCACATCTCTTTTTCCAAATCTCAGCAGGAAAAGAAAAACATTTTGAGAAAAGTATATATTATTGCAACTAAAAAAGAATCCTCCTTTGTCATAAAGTATTTAATCAGTTTTAATTTATTATATAATCAAAAACATTTTATATTTTTCCCGATTACAAAATCAACCAAAGTTCTTGAAAAAGTAGGACACTTTTTAAAATAATATTCACTCATGGTACTTATTTTAAGCTTTATTATCTGCCTTATAACATAAGCATTGAAAGTACTTGTACATTCAACTACGTTTCTGTGCGTATCAGAGATTACGTGTGCTTACTCTACTTTATTAAATTTTTGACGTAAACTGTTCTAAAACATTAATTAATATAGACATATAAATATATATTACAATATGAAAAATATATATAATAATTAATGGGGAAACAAATAAAATATAATATTATTCGTTTGAAGAGTCTAAAGCTGCAACGGCATCGCCATATACAGAAAGTTTTAAGCGCAGGATAAGAGCATGCACACTCTTTCCCATTTCCAAGCAAAATAAAACCTATACATACACATTTATACTACTCATATACTCCATCTATAGAGAGAGAGAAGAAAAATGTTGGTTTTTTCAGAGAGATAATAATAAAAAGAAAGCAAAGTTTATTTTTTTGTTAAAAGCTTTTTGTCTCTCTCTCAATTGCTTCTTGTTCTTGTTTGCATCCGGAACCAAAGAAAGAAACTGTGGTTTCATGATGGCACCTTTGGTTTCTCTTCTTCATTGAAGGGTCGAATTTAGTCTGAGAAAAGAAGAGTGGAGAGAGAGAAAGAGGAGAGGCAAGAGCCCCACAAGAGAGACATGCTTGTCTGTGTGTAGTCCCTTTTTGTATGTTCTTTAATCTCTCCCACTCTGTTTTTGTCATGTGTAAGGGTTTTTGTCCTTCGAATTTGGAGTTTTCTTTAACCAAAAAAAACCAGATTCCATGAAATGGCTTTGTCTTTAATTCTTCTGGTTTTTCCTGGATTTATCTTCTTGTAGCCTCTTTGCTCAATAGAGCTCTTTTGTCTCATTCTTGTGTTAAAAAATAAAAATGAAGACTTTGTAAAGAAAATAATAATCTGAGTCTTGCTGAAGCCTAGTTAGTGTTGAGTGTGGGAGAGACAAAACAGAACATTGAAAAATCTCTCTGTATGATGGCTTCATTAGCTTGTGTTGAAGACAAGATGAAAACAAGTTGTTTGGTTAATGGAGGAGGAACAATAACAACAACAACAACATCTCAATCTACTCTGCTTGAAGAGATGAAGCTGTTGAAGGACCAGTCAGGTTTTCATCATCTTCTTTCTTCCTCAAGATTTTTATAAAAAAATTCCCTTTTTGACATACTTTATGCCAAAGATATACAGAAATCATGTTACTTTCTTCTGAAAAATTGGTTTTAAACATGTTCAGGAACAAGAAAGCCGGTAATAAACTCGGAGCTATGGCATGCTTGTGCTGGCCCTTTGGTTTGTCTCCCTCAAGTTGGAAGCTTAGTGTATTATTTCTCACAAGGTCATAGCGAGCAGGTAACTTTGTGTGTCTTAAAGAACAACAAACAAACACATTGTACTTCTTTAGATCTTGTAAGCTCTTGGTTTAAAGTTTTGATTTTTTTGTTTACTTTTTGACTTAGGTTGCTGTTTCAACCAGAAGGTCAGCAACAACTCAAGTTCCTAACTACCCAAACCTTCCATCTCAGTTGATGTGTCAAGTCCATAATGTTACTCTTCATGTAAGCCTTTCTCATTTGCTTCATATCCAGACATATTACAACCAATTTTGATCTTTGTTGACAATGGTTTTGCTTCATTTTCATAGGCTGACAAAGACAGCGACGAAATCTATGCTCAGATGAGTCTTCAACCTGTTCACTCTGTAAGTTTTTGGTTCTTGCAACTTCCTTTGTTTCATTTAATAACCCATTTTGAAGGTGCATGAGTTTGAATGGTTTGTGCATCAGGAGAGAGATGTGTTCCCTGTACCGGACTTTGGGATGTTAAGAGGAGGAAGTAAGCACCCGACTGAGTTTTTCTGCAAAACACTTACTGCAAGTGACACAAGCACACATGGAGGTTTCTCCGTGCCACGTAGAGCTGCAGAGAAGCTATTTCCACCATTGGTGAGTTTCTCTTTTCCTCAGTAATACACATATGTTCCTTTGCTTTAACTGCTGCTAATGCTATGTTTTAATACGTTACAGGACTACACAGCACAGCCGCCAACGCAAGAGCTTGTAGTTCGAGATCTGCATGAGAATACTTGGACATTTCGCCATATCTATCGAGGTAAAACCACTAGATTTGTCTCTTTCTCTGTTTATGTTGAGTTGGTATTGAGCTCAGTTCCTGCTTACATTCTCAGGGCAACCAAAGAGACATCTCCTAACAACAGGATGGAGTTTGTTCGTTGGATCGAAAAGATTGAGAGCTGGGGATTCTGTTTTGTTCATCAGGTGAAGAATCTTGAGAAGCCGGTTTATATTGGTTTTGCATAACTTCTGACTGTTTGTTCGCCTTTTGAAAATGTGCCAAAAGGGATGAGAAGTCGCAACTGATGGTCGGTGTGAGGCGTGCCAATCGCCAACAAACCGCACTTCCTTCATCAGTTCTCTCAGCGGATAGTATGCACATCGGTGTTCTTGCTGCTGCTGCGCATGCAACTGCAAACCGCACTCCTTTCTTGATATTCTATAATCCAAGGTTAGCTCAAAAGCTTCTTCAATTGTCAATGATATAAAATATCTTTCCAGTTCTAACGTAACTCATGGTGTTTTTTCTCAGAGCCTGTCCAGCAGAGTTTGTGATTCCTCTAGCTAAGTACCGTAAGGCTATATGTGGGTCTCAGCTCTCAGTTGGTATGAGGTTTGGAATGATGTTTGAAACTGAAGATTCCGGGAAACGAAGGTAAGCTATCCGTAAACTGCAATCTTTCTGATTTACTGATCAAGTTTGGTTGTTCACTTATCCATTTCTTGGTTGTGTATTTAGGTACATGGGAACCATTGTTGGAATCAGCGATCTTGATCCGTTGAGATGGCCTGGTTCTAAGTGGCGTAACCTTCAGGTTGAATGGGATGAGCCTGGATGTAACGATAAACCTACTCGGGTCAGTCCATGGGATATTGAAACACCTGAAAGTCTCTTCATTTTTCCTTCTCTGACCTCAGGACTCAAACGTCAGCTCCATCCATCTTACTTTGGTGAGTAAAAGAAAGTGTGCCTTGTTGTGAACTTTACATGTGATTTGGAGACTTAAAACTTTTGTTATGAAATATGCAGCGGGTGAAACTGAATGGGGTAGCTTGATAAAACGGCCACTTATACGTGTTCCTGATTCCGCGAACGGGATTATGCCTTACGCATCATTCCCTAATATGGCTTCGGAGCAGCTTATGAAAATGATGATGAGGCCTCACAACAACCAAAATGTACCATCTTTCATGTCTGAGATGCAGCAGAATGTTGTAATGGGCCATGGAGGTTTGCTAGGAGATATGAAGATGCAGCAACCCATGATGATGAACCAGAAATCTGAGATGTTGCAGCCACAAAACAAGCTAACAGTGAACCCATCTGCTTCTAATACGAGTGGCCAAGAACAGAATCTGTCACAGAACATGAGTACTCCTGCAAAGCCTGACAACTCGACACTTTCTGGCTGCAGCTCTGGTAGAGTCGAGCATGGACTTGAGCAGTCAATGGAACAGGCAAGCCAGGTGACTACAGCCACAGTGTGTAATGAGGAAAAGGTTAATCAGCTACTTCAGAAACCGGGTGCTTCGTCTCCTGTACAAGCTGATCCATGTCTTGACGTTAGTCAACAGATTTATCCACCACAGTCTGATCCAATAAATGGATTCTCTTTTCTGGAAACTGATGAGCTGACATCACAAGTCTCTTCCTTCCAGTCTCTTGCCGGATCATACAAGCAACCATTCATGCTATCCTCCCAGGAGTCTTCAGCTGTTGGGTTACCGGATTCAACAAACTCACCGATGTTTCACGATGTGTGGGACAATCAGTTGAACGGTCTCAAATTTGACCAGTTCAGTCCCTTGATGCAGCAGGACCTTTATGCTAGTCAGAATATTTGTATGAGTAATAGCACAACCAGCAACATTCTAGATCCTCCACTCTCAAACACAGTTCTTGATGACTTCTGTGCCATCAAAGAAACTGATTTCCAGAACCACCCTTCTAGTTGTTTGGTTGGAAACAACAACACTAGCTTTGCTCAAGATGTCCAGTCACAGATCACATCAGCTAGCTTTGCAGACTCACAGGCCTTTTCTCGTCAAGATTTTCCAGATAATTCCGGAGGGACTGGTACATCTTCAAGCAATGTTGATTTTGATGATAGTAGTCTGCTGCAAAATAGTAAAGGCTCATCATGGAAGAAAATTGCAACACCCCGCGTCCGAACCTACACTAAGGTAAAAAGATTATCTTTCTCATTCCTTCCACATAGAGTACATTTTCTGGTGTCACAATCTGACATGAAACTTGCGGTTTGGGGAATGTTTTGACTTGGCAGGTTCAAAAAACCGGGTCAGTTGGGAGGTCAATTGATGTCACAAGCTTCAAAGACTACAAGGAGCTAAAATCTGCAATCGAGTGCATGTTTGGATTGGAAGGACTACTCACTCACCCACAAAGCTCTGGTTGGAAGCTTGTATATGTTGATTATGAGAGTGATGTTCTACTTGTAGGAGATGATCCATGGGAGTAAGTCTCTCTCTCACTGTCCTGTGAATCCATTAACTTCACCTGACTTTCTGTCTTACAATAGTTTTCCTTACATAAACTGGTGCAGAGAGTTTGTGGGATGCGTTAGGTGCATAAGGATACTGTCGCCAACAGAGGTCCAGCAGATGAGTGAAGAAGGTATGAAGCTTTTGAACAGCGCGGGCATTAACGATCTTAAGACTTCTGTTTCATAAAATGTAGCAATATAAAAATGATCTCCTGCTGATTTGTAAGAAAAAAAGAGAGTAAGAAACTGTTCTTCTCTCGAACTGGTCGAGGAGAAACCATCTTGTTGTAAGCATTTGATGTGTTGTTCCCATTTGAGACCTGAAACTATATTCATATTATGTAGTAGAGTGTGATGAATGAATCAGTAGTTGAGATAGTATGAGATCAAAAGGCAAACAAACAATTAATCCGAACATTGTTGTCTTGAGATTAAAAAACAAAGGAGAAATCTTTTAGCTTAAGGGTCAAAGCGTGGGAAGATTATACTCTGTTTTCTGCACAATGGTAAGTTAAAGTGTCGAAAACCATCTCAAGAAAGCTAGGGATAGTATAATTACTACTGTGTTGGTGAGCCAAAAGATACTCGCTGATTAATTCTACATTTGTGGCGTAAAACCAAGAAATGATTTCAAATGTATATAAAACTTATATAGCAGCAAAGCCAGTCAAGAGAAAGAGAAAAATTGCTCTGCTGCTAAACAACAAGCTCTCACACCAAGAGGCAAAGAGCATGTGTGGTATGCTAATTCTGCATCAGTCTCTGTCAAATCTCATTCTTTTTGCATTCTGCATCTCAGAAGTGTTGATATTACCATTGTTTAGATTCCTCGGCTGGTAAGGTGTAGTAGCATCGTGCTGGTACAAACAATTGGCTCCATAGCGACAACCTCTCGTGCTGTTGAAGTACATGCAAGGCTTCATTATCTTGGGTTTTGAGTCCCTTGGCCTCTGGTTATTATTATTGCTATTTACCATCTCCGGGTTAGGTCCTCCAGGTTGGGGGTTGTAACGATAACCAAGATGTTGTTGAACTGGCGGCATCTCTTGTCTATCCCCGCCATGTTGCTGAATCAGGTTCTTGTAATAACTAGCATCTCGTGCTGGCGGTAATCCATAGTTCGGTTGGTCTGGAGGAGCATGAGGAGTATACGCCATGGGAGGAATATGGGTTATGGATGGCTGAGGGTAAAATTGTCCATTTGAGTAAGTAGGTGCTGTAGTTACTACTCCATTGGCTTCATGTGTTGAAGATGTGTAGAGGCTACTTGCGTTGGAGGATACTGAACCTGCACTGCCAGAATTTGCAACAAGATTCTCGACCAACTTAGGGTTGCTTAGGATTTTAATAAGCAGATCCTGGTCGATCATGCTGCTGCCTTGTTCTTTGCTGTTTGAGATTGCAGATAATGCAGCCATTATCTCTGGCCCTGCAGGGAGGATTGAAGAAGTTGATGTATTCTCATCCGTTATTGATGGCTCTGTTACCACATCCACGCCAGATTGGGTTGGGAAATCAGATGCTGAATCCATAGCTATGTCATCGTCTTCTACAGGTAGGATGGGTATGACAATGGTTTGCTTATCATCATGAAGTGAGTTCTCAACATCAGCTGAAACCGAAGGGCTGCAGATTTGAGTTTAAGAAAAGGCCCAAGTCAAAAAAAGAAGTAAAAGGGTATGCAAATGTGTGTTGGAAGAATATGTAGGGGTTAGATACAGACTTTGGAGGAATAGATGATGCGCCAGGATAAAATGCTTCAAGAACTCTCGATTCCCTCTGATTTTGGACCTCCACTTCTTTGCTTTCGTCCCCTGCAACCACTCTCCATTCCTCATCTAGCAGAATCTACAAAAGCACATGTTATCTACAGTCTTAGCGTCACTATCGTAAGAGTTGAACATATGAACATCCTCAACTAGATTAACAAGAAATACAATCCTACATGGGTAACCCAACCAAAAGCACCTTACCACCATATTTACCAAGTGTGACTCATACCCGTATCCAACTTAAAGGACTAGAGGAAAATATATGTAAACTATAACTGTAAATATCTTGGCATTTTGGGGGGAGTTGCAAATAGTACTTTCAAAAATTGATGATTCTAACTAAAAAAAGGCTTAAAGAGTGCGATCCGAGAGCTCACCCGGACGGAGCATTTCCACTTTATTACTGGGATGTCTGATAACTTAATCTGGGACTCATTCGCGGAAAGAGGTCCACCAAAACCAGGTGGCAGATTATCATCATTTGGATGTGAAGCCAATGGTGACTTTGCTTGCAAGTGATCTTGAGACTCTGATCCAACTTGTGAAGGTGAATCCTCTGATATGAATAGCCGTACCTGTTCAACATGAGAAACACATTATCAATTGACATGTAAACAAAATCCTTAGAGAATCTTGATCAAATCACGCTAGTTAGAGTCAGGAATCACTACACACAAACTATGAATATACAGCAAACATGAATATTTACCATTGGACCAATTATCTCAAACATACAATACAAAAAAAGTCAACAAAGGCTTGTAAGCATTAACGTTTTACAAGAATCCTGGTTGTTTGAAAAAGCTTAACAGAAAAAAGAAACAATCAATGTGGTAACGTATAAGACAATGACCTCATAATCCAGAACAGCCTAACTAATCAACTACTATTCAAACCATGTATACATGAAAAAAATGAAAATGGTGACATTCCTCTCTGTAGCATCCTCCTACTCCTCTCCCTTCCCAGTAAGCAACTTAGCTGGACAACGAATCATCTCCAAGCTAACTTACCAAAGTATTTTCCATCAGCACAAAGTATTCAAATGACAGTATTCAAGAGTGTGTGAATGTATAAAGATTCACCATGCCGAATACTTTGTTGACGATAGCCAAAACCCTTTGGACATCACTCATTTTTCTTGGTTCGTTCTCTTTCATACCTCACCACTGAACTATTTGACTACATTGATCTTGTGAGTATGCCATGATGGAACTGGATGTATCTCATGATTAGCCCCTTATCCAAAGAACCAAAAATGGGCAAACATTTTAGACTATGACGCAAATATAGATTAAAAGAACAAGAACGCAGATATTATATGTATGTCCTCCAAGTCCAAGAGCTCGAGACAACTGATTGGCAGGTTTGTCACCATGGTTCCACAAGGATTCTCAATAACTAGTAAAGTTGCAAGTACAATACAAATTCAAAAACAGAGCATAATACACAGTAAACAATCAAAGTCTTATGAATGACTAAGCAAGGTAACTCAATATATCAAACAACTAAAGGGACATAAGAGAATACAAAAACAAGTTGAATCATATCACAGAGAATAAACTAATCAAATCACAGAGAGCATTTGCCTGAAGTTCTAGTAATCGTATCATTTGCAATCAACCAATTGAAGATAGATATAGAAAAGGAACTAAAACAAACATCATTCATATTCCAGAAAAGCTTCAAAACTACAATGTCATTTTACCTGACAAAGTTTAAAATCTGGTGGCCAAGATACCCTTTTGTGCAATGCCCTCATAGTTACAGAAACTCTCACTTCTTTTTTCAATCTAAAAATCAATTCTTTTTGATTCAGGAAGGTCCAATTACCCTTTTAAAATCTCAATAATTTACTCTTAGATTGAAGCACCAATCGTCATCATCATCATTCTCATCCCAAGTTATCGAAAAACCCTAACTTTTTTTCAGGAAAAGAGGGAGAATTTAAGAAGAGAAGATGATGAATCCCAGAGAGGAGAAGAAACATCTGCAAGCTAAAATCCGTCGAGAGAGAGAGAGATGGAAGCGATTGTGAAGCCCTAGATCCTCTGGGTTCTTCTTCTTATGGTCACCATCGTCATTTTATCTGTCCTCAGATTTTTTCTTTCCTCCTACTATATACACGTGTCTTCGCAGCCGTACCCCCTCAATTTTTTCTATTTTTCCAGATAATCCATTACTTTAGTCTATTTCCATAACGACCCCTATGAATTTCTGTGTTTTGGAAACGAAGTCAATAGCAGCCAGTTTCGTTGACTCATAGTTATCATCCGACAATCCCACGAACTTGTTTTTTTGTTTGCCAAACTAATTGCTTTATATTACGTCAAATTTGTAAGGCAATTTGATTGAAGTGTAGACTAATTGTTGCAGGTTTAGATGGTTTTTGGTTTTGAAGTTATAATAAGTCCATCGTTTTAAAGAATTGTACACCAAGGAGATTTTTTTTGGGAGGAAAGTGAAACAATAACCAAGAAGATATTATTACACGACTTTTAAAAAGTGAAGTTATAATCCATTGTTCACGACAAGCTTCATTTTCAGTTGAGTAGGTTATGTCCGAAAAAACCAACACCAAACCAAATCAAATAATCCTTTAGCCACAAAAATCAAACAATTTTTTATAAAGAAAAAAAAAACGACTCTATACAAAGAGAGACTATCCTTTCACTCTTCGTTCTTCCTCTGCACTTCTGTCACTTTGGTAGTTTGAAACTAGAGTTAAGGATTGTTGTCCTGAAAAAACATACCAATAATCGAATTTTGCGAAACACCGAAAGTCTTCTAAGCTTTTTTGTCTTCTCCGGTTTCTGTCACACCCGGGTCAGCTTTCACCTCTGCCATTTTCTGTCTGTAAAAAAAGCAAAAGCAAAATTAAACATTGTTCAGTTTTTTAAAAAAAGGCATCAAAAAGCGATGAGTGATTGCAGAGAGAACTTAGGAGGAGATTGTTTTACCCTTTGTTCCCGGTTGTGCTTGAGACGCAGACCGTTGGATTCTAGGAGAAACTTGTTTCCCATTGGTAATACCAGGCAAAGAATGTCTCTTCTTGGCCGAAACAACATCTCTTTCTTGAAGATCAGGGCTTGATCTTGGTGAGTTATGTTCTTGAACCTTGGCTTTCGCCGACTGTGTTGGCTGCATGAACCGAGGAAGAGAGTTCTTGCCTCCGCTGCTTTCTCTTGCTTCTTGATCATACCCGAAAGAATTTCTTCTCACGCTTTTCTGTTCTTTCCCTTCTTCTTGTTCTGTAGCCTCACCACTACCAATTTCCTGTTTCGGGCTTGATGTTATTTTCTTGCTAACTTTCCTCTTTTGGCTCGAACCACTCTTTTCGGATTTTCCCTTCCTTGCTTTGACTGAAGAAGATGCTTGGCTTGCCGGTGTTGCCTGAGATTCAGTGATTGTCATTGGAGTTAAAGCTCCCTCAGATAACGGGGAAGCTTGAGGCCCTGATTCATCTTCAGCCCGTCTCTTTTTGGAATCTGGTGTACTAACAACCGATTCATGCTGTGTCACTGAGATTTCAACTTCGTCCTTAGCATTCTCAACTTTCTCCTTAGGGTCCTCTACAGTACCCAATGACGTTGCGTCTTTAACATCAATTTCTATCAACTCTGCTTGGTCTGCTTTAAAAGTGTCATCCTCTAAAAGCTTAGCTTCTACCCTGGGCTCTGCACCTTCAGCGTCTGACTTCTTCTCAAGTGAGTCAAGAGAAGAAGTTACAGAGAGTTCAGTGCCACACTCGGATCCACTTAGCTCAGCTGGAGTAACATCTTCCAGAGACAGATCCTTTTTAGTGTTTGTTGTGCCTGGTGAATCTAATATATCTGTTTTGCCTTCTTCACCCGAAACACCATCTTTAGAAGATAGCGCCATTGCTTTGTTTGAACCAGTAGATGAAGTTAGTTCCTCAAACTTCGACTGTGCAGCAATGAAAGAAGGGTTGCTAACCTTACGCTTCAAAGAATGTTTAAGCTGTCCATCCACATATTCAGGCTCTTCGAGCAAAGAATCTGGTTCCTTAGCAGCAAGTGGATGAGACTGGATTGAGTCATAATAAACCTCCGCTGATGCTTCTGGTGAATCATATTGGCTCATTTTCTCTGTTTCAGATAGCTCCACATGCTGAGCTGCTAGCTTACTTGCTTCATAGCTTGACAAATCAGTTTCCGTTTTGGTCTCTACCGTTGAGTCAGAGTTCAAAAAGTCAACTTGAGGTGATACTTTAACATTCTGTGTTTCTTCCAACTGTTGCTCTTCCGTTGTCAAATCTGCTTTTGAAGTCTTCTCAGGTTTTGGAACAGACATCCACCTCTCCAACCAATTCCAGGCAGAACTAGGTTTTGTTGGATCACATTTAATGCTGATTGGTTTTGTCTTGGGAGTTGACTCCATTAGCTATAAAACAATATGCAACACAAATTGAGTATAACAAAGAATTGAGTTTAACTATCATAATATATACCTTGAATTAGCCAGAATGCACTAGAACTAAGTTTAAAAACATACATGCTTAGCAAACTTGTTTTCGAGAAGTTTTTGTGCAGCTGCATTTCCTTCCGCCTTATCCTGAAATAAGTAACAATATCGGTCCACAGATTATATAGGGAAAACAAAATGATACTGTAACATAATTCAGCAATCTTGGAACCTTACCGAGATTGCTGAAACCCGGCTACCATCTTTTGTGGAATGACGAGCACGGACCATAGCCTGCATCTTGACAATAGCTTGGACACAACGCAGTGATCCCATGGCCTGGTTTCTAACCAGGTGGCCACGAACTGCAGCTTGAAGTTTAATAACTTTCTTGCGCCTCAGAAGCTCTCTTCGCGCCTGCAGTTTAACAACACTCCAGTAAGAATAGTTTTCAAGACAGATCATCAGCAACAGGTAGGGAAAATGTTATGATCTTTAACAGGTTCATAGAGTTAAGGCAAGCTTCTTCACATCCTTAATAATATTACTATTTTAGAAGAGACAAAAGAACAAAGGAAACAAAAACATACCAAGAATCCACGAATAGCAGCTTGGATGACCACGACAACAGACTCATCCAGCTTCTCATCAACTATTTCATCACTTTCTTTTCTGATAATAATCACATCATCGGTTTCAGATTCTTCCGGCTCAACCTTACTAGCAATTTCAACCTCGGAAGTAACATCTTTCTCTATCTTAGCTGCCTCAGCAGCAATTGGTCCTTGCAATTCAGTTCCAATCAAATCATCTTCCTCAGTCTCAGTCCCTTTTGATTCCACAATAACAGGCGACACCTCAGTTCTGTGGTCAATCTGTTCCTCCACTGACAACAACTCCGTCTTCTCTTCAACGGACTGTGTTTTTTTCTCATCCACAGGTTCAGCCACATAGGTAACAACAGGTAACTGACTCTTCTTCTCATCAACAGAGAATGACTGCTGCTGCTTTTCAGAAACATTGTTATTATCAGGAGACGGAGATTTAAGGAGAGCAGATTCAAGAGTTTCTCTTGTCCTCGAAGCAGGAGTAGTTTCAGAGACTACACTAGTAATCAACCCTCGCTGTTTCCCAGATTTCTTCCTGAAACTCCATCCACGCTTATCACCAGAGCTCTTGCTCTACATCCAAAACAAAATTCATTCCACCAAAATCTTAAATTACTTAATAGAAAGACAAAAGACACAAAACCATTAAACCTAACAGATCTCGTAGACAGACCCAGACAAAACAAAAACCCTAATTAATTCCAAACAAACGAGTTATGAAGACCAACCAAATTAAAAACCCTAAGATTTAGACAAAATTAGAAACTCAGTAATGCCAAAATCCGACCAGACACTACGACATGTATAAACACTCAGATCTTAAATTAGCAACTTCGTGCAGAGACAATTGAAGATCGCGAGAACTAAAAGAAAATGTCAAACCTCGACGGCGGTGGCGTTAGGATCGGCGGTATCATCACCGCCGGAGCAGGCGATGAGACGGAGACAAGAAGAAGCTGGAGATCTTCCCATGACTGGTTCTTAGAAGAAGAAGACCGTTTTATCTTCTGGTGTGTGTTGGATCAGTAAATAAACAGAGAGAGACTAGACTAGTAGTGGTGTCGTTGGAAAATGGAGCAAAAGGCGAAGCCGGAACTCAAAGGGGAAGCATTAAAATACGGTTAAGTCTCGGATTTGGAATCCGCCAGTCTTTCTCTTCTGTCCGTTGAGGTGCCCAAATTAAAGCGATATAACGCTGTCACTGTCAGATCTCTCTCGTGAGTCACATTTTCTTATTCATTCTTCTCCTCCTTTTTTTACTAACCGATGAGTATTAATTACTAGGTAACAAATTCAGATAGATGCTTTTGAATTCATACATATATGTTAAAAAAAATCATCTACCACTAACGAAGAAAAAACGAAGTAAAACTAATGATGTTACATGTTATTAACACAAAATAAAAAAATGTTTGTATTTTCTGATTTTTTTTTTAAGGGATTATACTAAAATAACGGTTGGATTGATTGAAACAATGAATTATGAATTAGTGGGGGATTATTCAATTATGGCAAGTCGATAATGTTGGTTCACCTATAAAAATAATAAGACGCATGTGACTGTCATGTGCTTCATGTCTTTTTTTTCTTTCTTTTCTCTCTGATCGCTTTGTGAGGTTCTATTAACTTTTTTCTTTAAATGTGGGGTTGATAAACTTTATTTATTAAATTGTCTCAGACTCAAACCCATTTGGCTAAAGACGTAAATATGTTTTTTTTTTTTTTTTTTTTTTTTTTTTTTTTTTTTTTTGAACACCAGACGTAAATATGTTTTATAAATCTATTTTTGCAGTGTAAGCAATAGTGACAGTGATATGTGTTGTAAGTAAAAAGTATCAAGACTTAAAAAAACTGGTTGTTTCTTTAAGCTTTTCTTTCCATTAATCATCTTCTAGATTACAATATGTCAATATGTGTGTATACATTCGATTGAAAGCAAAATAACGAGAAATATGCAAATCGGTTTCAGATGGGCTTTGTAGGCCCATAGTGGGCCAGCCCAATAGAGAAAAAGAAAATTCATGGTGGCTTGAAAAAGGAAATGGAAGGTGTAGGGTATCTCTCTGTTACCAAACTGATCAAAGTCCTAACCACTACTCATTGTAATATTGACAATGCCTTTTTTCTGTACAATTTGCCACGTGGCATATCCACAGTACTGCCAGCTAGGCGGCATATGTATTTGTTTTGTTTTGTAGCATTACGACAAAAGTTACAAAGGGAAAGTTGTTGTGGACCTCTCTGCGAAATTGATGATAGTGAATGATTTTATTCTAACGTTGTGATTGAGTCATATATAGCCACTGCCTTATCTGTTCTTAGGTTATCTTTCATTTTGTTATACAAAAAATGTTTAACTCAGTTCGTGAGTCTCATATAACTCTTCGCTAATACATATTTTTATTAAACGGTATTAAAATTATTAAGTTTCCACTGCCTGATCTGTGCGAATTTGTTTTCTTTTATAGTAGTAGTATTTTGATAAGTTAATGCAAATACTAAATGCAGACGAAGACGCGTACAGAAGCCGTAGTCGGCAGCTAAGAGCCAAAGGTGGTTTATTAATTCATAAAAAATGTTAGAAAGTTTGAGTGATAAACTCAGAGATTGCGTGTGAAGATGAAACAAACCTTTCACGACCTTAACCACAAAATATGATTAATCTTAAGACCAAACCTAAAGTATGGTTATATTAATATTAAAAAATCAGTAGAAGCATCACTAATTGCTTCCATCTTAAGTCAAATTTCTCAATCGTGCAAACTCATTTACTGTGTTTGTCGCACTCACCGACAGAAATAATCTTCCCATTTTTACCACATCAAAAAATGTCAAAACTGTTTATAAATCATTAATAATTCAGTAAATAGCAAATTATAGGAGCGGATTATGAATTATATGCATAAACATAATAATTACAAAAAGACACATGCTTCAGACAAAAAGCAACAAAACACATGCTTCATGTCATCGCAATTCAGTTAAGGACAAAACCGTATCAGTTTTTTTCTTTTCCTGAGAAACTCTGAATTCTGAATATCGAAAATGTTATCTCTTAGAAATAAATCAGTCGATGTGGTTTACATTAAAATACAGAAGCTGATAAAAATTCTCCAGAGAATTATGCTTAAAACAAATGTTCAATAGAAAAAATTAAAAAGTGATTTTTAGCCTCTCATTGTGTGAAGAAAGAAACAAAAACTGTTAAAAAGAAACCACATCGAGGTTTAGAGTCAGAGTCGTTTTAAGACTTACGTGGCCTTCCTCTTCTTCCACCGGTCTTCGCCGGCGGAGCCTTTCCGTTACTGGTGCGGCCGCCGCGTCCACGTGCTCCACGACCACGTCCTCTCCCACGAGCGCTCTGTTTCTTGCCATTGGCCTCTTCTCCATCTTCACTGTAGTCACTGTCTGCGTCACTACCTTGAACTTCCTTCTCCTTGTCGCTGTTATCTTCATCACTGTCTTGTTCAGAATCAGATGAAGCTTTTGATGTTTTCCTCTTTTTAGAAGCACCTCTTTTGGCAGCTTGTTGTTTTGGTGCCAAAGTTTCTTCCTTGACTTCTTCTACACTCTCTGCCCAAAACAATCAATTACATCAAGAAATGTTTAAACTCTGTAGGGGATTAATATTATTGTGATTATACCTTCTAATGATCCTTTCCCATCGTAAATCTCGAGCTGCAGATAAAGTAAACAGCGTAAGGAAACAGATGAGGAAATACCAAACCTTGAAGAAACATCATCTTGAACTTTTTATTGAGGGCTCAAATAAAAAAGAACTGGCTCTCTTGCTTTTGTTACCTGCTCAAGCCGATCAGCGATGTCTGTTCTGTCAACTATGACCATTGAATGGCAAAAACCGCATGCCACACTACAGAAAAACATACACAATGAATATAGAAAAACTTCCAATTTATCTCTGAAGCAAACACTTGAGAACTCACCCCATTACATGCATTCCCTCGAGCATATCAACCTTTTTAGGCGCTGCAGAGGATCTGAAACGAGAAATAATTAGGATTTATAGTGATAGTCGTATGTGGTTTTTAAACTAAAAGTTAGTTATGGTGTGGCATACTTTTGACCATTGGGGCCATAACCAAGTTCTCCATACTGAGCATGACCCCAACTAATGCAAGAACTATCGGCACCAACAAAGTGATGCATGCTTCCTGAATCCATCCAACGCAAGTTCCAACCACTGTGTGAGGAAGGAAAAATGTTACATTAATCATCAAATCAAAAGTAATATATCAATCGGTGGAATCTGATATAGACAAACCTTAAATCCATCATTGGTTTGGGGTACATCCAATCATCACCATTGTTCTTTATCTTTCCCCACATATATAACTGTCCTCCACCTGAAAATCAAAACAAGTTGAATTTAATTTTTAATATAGGACCAGAAGACTAACACAAGAGGCCAAAAGACAGTTCAGGTTAAAGTCACTTGCCAGCGGTACACGCGGAGTTTGCAGAGCCAGCGGAAACAATGGCATTAGGAGGCAAAACATTATTCCTTTGAAACACATCAATACGTCGAGGAGCCCACTCATCCTTCTGCTCCCTATGTCCAAGCCTGAAATTGGTAATCGAACATCTCATGAATAGGAGGAAGTTAATATCCATCTACAAAGCTTAAATATGAGCTAATACCAACCTTCCATATCCACCATAGCCCCACCTGTGATATGTTTGAAAAGATATAAAAAATGGATGCATCAGACATAACACACATAGAAGGACCAGATGTTCAAAGTAACCAAAATTTTGAACAGATAAGTTACTTACGTGTAAACAAATCCATTCTTATCTACGGCCACTGATTAAGAGAAATGTTAATTATCATAATGAGTAATAAGCTCCCTTGAAAGATAAAAGATTGAGGATAGAGAGAGAAAGAAATATGGTTTCTACCAGTATGATTTGTTCCACATGCAACTTTGACAATGGTTTCCCCTGCAAGAGAGGCGATGGCTTTGGGTCGTGGCTGAGCTTCGTAGGCGAGTTTAACTGAACTATCCTTCATATTGAACTGAAATGATACACAAACAATGTAACCTGGTTTAAAGTAAATGATGGAGACATGTTTACCTAATCTATTCATCAAGTACATTTCAGGGAGACTAAAGTAACTAAATGATTCATAGCAAAATTTTCATAACATTTCAAGAAACAAGGGCTCAAAAACTTGTTTGGAAGTTTGAAATAGTCACAAACAATTCTCGCTTCAAACACCTCCAATCATGATAATAAGCTACAAGTCAGAAATAAGAGTTGAAATTGCATTGGTTGCACATCTAAAGTACGCAGATAACTAAGTTACCTCATTATCAGTTCCATGACCAAGTTGACCATACTGTGGGAGACCGGCAGTCCTATAAACAAATAAACACTCTGAAAATGAACAAGAAGTCTTACTAAAATGAGACCCGTTAAAGGCGAAAGAAAACCCAAAATAACAGACTAGACCAAAGTAAGAAACCATACAGTATAGAGGCTCCTTCAGTAGATGATAACCACACTGTGAAGTCAGCCCCACAGGCAACGTTTGTGACCTCATCAGACACAACACAGGGAAGAGGCGTCGATTCAACTTCTACAGAAACAAACCCTGTAAGATACAAATTTCATACCATTAGAACGGTAAGACACAAGCAGAAGTATGTAAAGCTTTTCCATACCGTTTTTGGCTGAACCCGAACCCAACTGCCCATACTTATTCCAGCCAAAAGCTAGAGACTGTCCATCATCACTAACCACTACCGTGTGGCTCCTCCCTGCTGCCGCTTTCACAATTTTGTGCCTTCAATAGAAACAGAGAACAAGAGTTAGCAGCCATGTAAATGTTCAAACAAAGAGTTAGAATCAATCTCTCCACCAAACTCACTTAGAGAGTCCTGACACAACTGTTGGCCTATCACGTTGAATCATATCTCCATGACCTAACTGACCTTTCTGAACAAACATAAAAAAATTCCCACATACAAAAATCATTCACATTTTCATTTCAGAGAAGAAGACAAATAAAAAGTAATGGAAATCAGAACATACCTCATTGCGTCCCCAAGTGTAACAACGACCTTCAACGTCCAATGCCACACAATGAAACGAAGCTATAAAAGATAAACAGTATCAAATCCTCCTCCATTGTCAAAGATGAGAGAAAACAAACACACAGGCCTCAGAGAGATTGGAGAGTTACCGCAACCAGAGGCGACGAATCGAATGTTAACGCCGACGAGTGGTCTTAAACGAGTAGGAGAGACCAAGTTACCTTCCATGGCACCTTTACGTTTTCCAATGATATCCCAAGCCGTAGCACCACAGAACAAAAGCTCACCTCCTTTCTCCTCCGAGCTCTCATCCTTCTTCTCCGACGAATTCATCGCTGCCGCCATAACTTCTCCGACCAAAAATTTCAAAATTTCAAATTTCCAAAAGCAGATCCAAAGACGATTATAGTACGCGGCGAATCGTGTTGAAGCTAGAAAGTGGCGGGAAAACAACGGCTACTTTGAGTGATTGAGCAGATCGGAAAGCGACGACAAAGATTGAAGCAAAGGGGGAAAAAAATTGGAGACCAAATTCAGAAACCCTAAACACAAAAACAAAATAATACAGAGAAAACTACGAAAGAAGCAAAAAAAAGAGAGAGATAAAGTGAGAGGAAAATATAAAAGAAGGGATTAATTGAATTGAAGGGATTTTGGGGATTTCTCTATTACCAAGAATATACATATTTCTTTATTTAATTCGGTTGATATTTAACTTGTTCGGCTCTTCATTGGGTCTTTTGCTTTTGTGTAACGTTTGTCTCTACTTTTTTTGTCACTATCTTTTGTTTTGTTCGCACTGGTGGAGATTTTTAGCTTAATGTGCTTTTTTCTTGTTGTTATTAAGATACAAAGTTTGTCTTCCTAAAGAAAGGAATTAAAAGATATTTCTCTCTCCCTGTTTTGTTTTTTTTTTTGTTTGTGTGTTGAAGTGAAATCTTTTGTTAGTTTTTTATTTTGTTGTTCTACTATTACTATCTATCAGTGCAGAGAAATGTTTTTATGACCATTGTATAAATAAATACAATATTTTTACTCATAAGATAAATGCGAATAAGCAGATTGAAATAGAATATGTTATATTCAAACTGAAAAAGATAAATATGGAAAACAATATAGAAATTAATAAACCACTATACTATAGAGTTGACCATTTTTAATTCTCAGTTAAGGCAAAAAGATTCCATTTTAGGCCTTTAAAAAAAATTATCGTGTTACCAAATTCACCTGAGAAATTTTTGATAAACCCTATGGATATATTAGGCCCACTGGCCCAGAGCGAGAGAAAAACCCATTAGCAACCACGTCATCTATCCAACGCACTAGTCAACCAATAAAAATTGACTATAAGGATCTCCACGTCACCCCTCTATTACAAAAATTCGAAAATTGAATAGCAAATAACCGTCTTTTAAATAACTAAAAAGCACATGAAAAATGAAAAAAAAAAAAACCGCTATAAAATGACAGACACTATATAAGTGAAATCTCATGTGCCTTGTATCCATTACTCTCGCAAAGTCGCAAACAAAAGAAACTGTCGCAAGTTATTGACGGTTATCATCATCATCCTCTCGAAGAAATGGCACGTACGAAGCAAACTGCGAGGAAATCTACTGGTGGAAAAGGTCCAAGGAAAGAACTCGCTACCAAGGTTTGTATCAGTTAGATTAAGATTCACGAATTACGTTGTTGAATCGTTTATATGATTGGTTTCTAAGGTTTATGTTTCTGTTTATTCAGGCGGCGAGGAAAACTGTTAGACGACCGTACCGTGGTGGTGTCAAGAGGGCTCACCGTTTCCGTCCTGGAACCGTCGCTCTTCGGTCAGATTCTCTTTTCTCTTCCTCTTCTTTTGTTGGAATAATATTTTCTTCCTATGTGTTAAAATGGTTGTTGATGTCGAGGACAACAGTGAGATCCGCAAATACCAGAAGAGTACCGACTTGTTAATCCGTAAACTTCCTTTCCAACGTCTTGTTCGTGAAATCGCTCAAGATCATAAGGTTTATTCTAACTTCTCAATCAAGTTCGTTTAATAGATTTTGTGATACGCGTGATTTTCATTTGTTGTTGTGATTACTGTAAAACTTTTGGATAAAAATATGAACTGATTTCGATTTTATACGCAGGTGGATTTAAGGTTTCAAAGCCATGCGGTACTCGCGCTTCAAGAGGCAGCCGAAGCATACTTGGTGGGTTTGTTCGAAGATACCAATCTGTGTGCGATTCACGCCAAAAGGGTTACGATCATGCCCAGGGACATTCAGTTGGCCAGACGCATCCGTGGGGAACGTGCTTGATGAATCATCTTGATGATTATGTGAATTTGTATATTAAGTATTTTTAGTGTTGTTTTCGTTTTGTTCTATGTGGGGTGAGATAGAATCATGTATATAGGTTTCTGATTCGTACTCTAGATTAAACCCTTTGGTGTGTATCTTTCTTTCTGGTTGACTCAGTAGGAACTTGTTTTTGTGTCTTGTTTGTAAAATAATCTGTTTCGTGAATGTGAAGTGAAATGTAGTATTTCGTATATTTGTTTTATTTCTTCATGTTTGCTTTAACTGTATCACTAGTCAAAATGTGGCCAATCAAATAATTACATTCAAATCATATGTAAAAAATGTTTACCATAATGTTGAATAAAAAAGGTAAGGGCCTTTAATTTATTGTCTGTATAAAGTGTCAAAAAGGACATGAATTTTAATATTGATTATGTTAACCAAATTAATCAATTTCTTACATTTATAACAATTTCGTTAACTTCTAATCTTTATACTGTAGTCAATTCGATTGAAAATCAAAGGCCATTACGTGTGTTGTTAACAAACCTAATTATTTTACTTTCTATTACTATTGTTCTTTTAAGTCTGCAACTTCACAAAAGCTAGCATCATCTTCTTTTTTATTTTATTTGCTTTCAGTAATAAACATCTGCAGTTCACAAGATTTTAATTTGTAAATATCTATACTTAGATTTAACATATATATTACTCTTTAATACCATCAAGATCTGGAGAAGAAAGAAACAAATATCATTCGACTCTTGTACACTTTTACAAATTTGACTTTCAACTTCATTAGAATGATCCAAGTTGACACTAAAGAGAAATGAGTCAATTAGCTAACCTCTTTATATAATCATGCATGCAGTGCCAAATCGCTTTCTATCTTATGTCATACTTTGTCGTTGTACATAACTAATAAATTAAGAACCTGCTTTCATGTAATTAATTCATGACATAAAATGTAATCAAACACATAATTATTTGTTTTCGTTAGTCTTACTTCCTTCGTTGGTCCCCTTCATGCATTAGTCTTGCATTTTCTTAATACAACAAATTATCAATGATCAACCAACATAAAAAAAGAGTATCCAATTAATTTATTATCATCAAATTGTGAACACATATTCTTATCATATTCATGTACAATTGATTAGGTTCTCCAAAGAACCAATTCATTCAATAATAATAACACAAACACACAAAAATAAAGATATAAAATAAAAAGTCAATGAATCATTCTAACTTTACCCAAACACCTTCGCTTGGTATGTTTTGATTCACCACAAACATCATATAATAACCAGGCCATGCAATATTCGCCGACTTTGGAGTCCTCACTTGAACCTCATACGTCGGCGATTTGCCTTTTCTCGTAAACTTAACATTGTCCAAAACCAAAACCCTCTGATTCATCGCGAAGCTATGCGTCGTGAACGTCGGAAACACCATCGTCACTTTCACCGGAGTCTCAACTTCTCCGGCGACCGTAAACAACAACTTCAAATTCATCCCATATTTAATCGTCGACTGAGGTTTAGGAGATATAATCTTGGGACGAAGATTCGCAAACTCCCGTTGTAGATAAACCGGAGAGAAAGCTTCTAAGCTCAACTCCGTCGGAAAAAGCACTCCGGTGAAGTTATAAAACGCATGAGGATTGCTTCCTCCGACTAGAACCCTACCGTCACGTAGAAGAATAGCCGCGGAGTGATACATTCTCGGGATTGTAGTCGGCCTTAGCGTTTCAAACCTTGCGTTAACCGGATTCTCAGGATGGTATAGGTCCGGTGCTAAAACCGGTTCACGACCAAGCTCCCATGCAGCAGTACCAAAAGATCCACCGTTGATAATCAAAACATCTCCGTTTGGCAAAAGAATCATATCTCCCATAACTCTAGCATGTGGCATATTCTCCACCGTCCATTGAGGCTTCGCATCGTTAATCTTGATCCTTGCACACGTGTCAAGCGCTTTAACGAAAGTTTTCTTTCTAAAAGCGAGGTTGTATGATCCTTTCGGTGCACCTCCACACACCAGAACCTCCGTCTCGATTTGATCCGCTTCAAGATTCTTTAACGGTAATAACACGGCTGAGCCAGTGCTCGGATAGTTTCTCGGATCACCGCCGGGAATGGCCGGAAAAGTTTTCACCACCGTGTTCTTAACATAGTCGAGTAATATCGCTCTGTTATTACAGAATATAAATAAATTCCCATCGGTATTCATAAACACAAAAGGATAAAGATTATTCTCTTGTCCTTGATCATGAGTCTCGGTCAAAAACGGTAACGCGACTACGTTAGGGTTTGTCGTTTTGGGGAAGAACTCGTAATTGAATTGAGCTTGACCTCCGACGACGATTTGTTTACCGTCGGGAAGAATATGGTTGGAAGCGTACCATCTTCTATTCGTTAAACCGTTGTCAATTTCGACCCAATCACATTGATTGTTATCACAAGGAGAGAATGTTCTCGCCTTTCGTTGTCCATCTCGGTCTCCACCGGTTTGGACAAGAACACCGTCCGGTCTAACCGAACCGGATGAGCACCATGTGTTGGATTGTACCGTTAAGGGCCTGACGGTGTTCATTGCGACGTCGTATTCGATCGAGTGAGCTGTGCAGTCGAGCTTGGAAACGATGTCGTTTGGATTGTGACGGCAGTTACCGTTAGGTAGAGAGATGTTCGATGGTCCGAAGTTGGTTCGGTCGTACATTACGACACGGTCGTTATGGAGAAGTTGCATATGCATCGCGGAGATTCCGACGTTGGGGACCATGTATTTCCATAATCCTCGGGCGGCGGATGACACGTGGTGTGTTAGGAGAAGTTGGATTGAGGTTAGGAAGAGAGCATAGAATATGAATGTGGCTCGTGCTGCCATTTTTTTCTTTTAGATATCTTAATTATTTGATGTTTTGTGGTATCTGATGAGAATTGGACTATGACCGGTGTTGTTTATATAGTGGTCGATGCCGATGGGACATTCATTAGTATACGTTACGATATTCTAATAATGTAAAATTATAATAATATGATTGTTAGTTCTGTTAATATTTCAAAAGAGATATATAATTAATCAAGGTGTCGAGTGTATAATAAGATTTGATATGATTCAATTTTCTTAGTTTTTCCTCTAAACTCTTATTTCAATGACACTACCTTAGACGTTTGAAAGAATCAACTTTGAGTTTAAAACGATTTCAAACATTATGGATCTGTACAATATAACCAATAAAAACTCTTAAGTGAGACGTCACAATCTTTGTTCTTTTTCTTCTTCTGTTTTTCTTTAATTGAGTATATCATATTTATCCTCTGTTTCTCTCTAAAGTTCTGCGACTATTTAATGTGTTCTGTATAATAATTTATGAAGCAATTGAAGTTTCTTTGTCTGATTTTAGATTCAAAGCGAAATTTAAAATTTAATCTTCACTGTATATGTTTTGATGTTTGAGTATTCACATTTCAGTCAAGAGAAACATTTATGAAGATAAATATATATGATCCAATATCTCATAACTCTCTTTTAAAAAAAAATCCCTTTTTAAGTATGATTGTATTCAAATAATAATATCGTACTATTACAGATAATCAGATATACAGAAATCAGAATATGATTCGTCGTCTTAGGAAATACATTATATTATTGGATTTACATTATTAAAATAAAAAATAAAAAGAGGGACTTAATCTATAAACATCGATTATTTGAGATTAATTAGTTTGGGAGACTTCAAGGACGAATTAATGATGGAGATGTTGTGTCAACATCAAACATGCATGCAAACTATATATTATACAAGTCACAAGAGTTCTTTACGTTTTAGTTCACCCAGGGCTATTTCTTCTGGTTCTTTGCATGCTTAATTATTGTGGTCCTCGCAAGTTTTCTACTAATAAATAACAAACAAGTATATAAAATAACATACAAACGGATGTCAGTTTTTAGAAAAACATTCATGCACATAAAATTGTACTATTCATTCCATCTGTGTAATTCCAGTTATATATATATATATATATTTATATATATATATATATATATGTGTGTATTACTTTTTGGTATATGGATAGAAAAATACCTTAAAATACCACACTATTAACTTTTTGTTCTAAAAGTATGATCATCATTACTTTATTTTTCTAATAATACCACAACTTTTTTGTATAAAATATAAATAGTTTAAAATATTATATTTGGGTTCTCTATTTCTAATTTAAGTTTTATATTTTCACCACTTAAAAGAGATTTTGATTCATTTTAATATTGAATTTGTAGTAATATTAAAAAAAAAAACTAGTGATAGTATTTTTGGAACAAAAACTTAAAGATGTGATCTTTTAAGAACTGCCCCAAAATGTATTAGGTTAATTAGGTTGGTGAAAATTTTCAGTTGATAGATTGTCGTTTTTATGTGGTTCCTGTCACCGATTACTAGCATAATTTGTGGACTCTAATTATAACCAAACTAAATTACTTAATACTTTCAGTTTTCCATATATTCAAATGATTGATCTTAAATTGACGTTGTTATTGATGTACATGTACATTGATATTTGAATACTCGATTTAAAATATGAAAAAGTGTATTCTTACCTCTTAACATATTCACAATGACCAAACAAAACCAATTCGTAATTAAATAACGACTCTAGATATATTAAAAAAAAAAACCTCTAGATATATATTTGTAATCCAACAAGTAAAATCTCAACTAGTCAACCGACATGAGTTTTGGATTAATCCTGTTCCTATCACTCTAATCCAACAGATGGCACTACAAGAAAACAGATGATTTGGAGTTTGGACTAATCTTATCATCTAAATGGAAAGAAATACTAGCTAGTCATTGTCATTATGTTTAGTTAAATATATAAAAATGCGTAGCATATGAAACAATATAATACCTGTTATAGGATTAATAAACTCCACAAGTTTCATCATATATCAATGATCAAATTAAAGAAAAAAAAAGATTCATCATATCTCGATATATACACTAAAATCCTTACAATAAATTTTTGTTTCATATAGTTTTTAAATTTGACATTTGATATTGCTGTAATTTAAATTTCAAAATTAATCTTTATTTTCCAAAACAAATGTTACTATATATATTATTAAAACTAGGACTCCGGACCCCCGCGATGTCGCGGGGGAAAATATTTCAAAAATCGTTAAAAAAATATCAAACGAAAATTAATAATAACGATGGTAGATGATTAAATGTTATAACGATTTATAAAATAAACTTAAAGTTGCAATTTTTTGTGAAATAAACTAAATGTTGCAATGGTTCAACTAAACGGCTGCAATCATTTTATGAAAAATTACGATAAAAAGATGCAACCGTAAAAAATATTTACTCGAATTGCAACTTTCTCAAAAACATAACGTAAAATATTTTTTTTAGTTTAAAAAGAAATAAATGAAATGTTGCGATATATAAAAAGTTGTAGCGGTTCGTCAAGTTCGTCAAATAAACTAAAGATTACAATGGTTCGTAAAACAAAACCAAAAATTGCAATGATTGGTCAAATAAACCAAATGTTTCAACGGTTCAATTAAACGATTACAATCTCATTTAAATGCATTTTGGTAATTAAAAATTAAAAATATTAATTTATGAAAATTATACCGAGAGACGCGACGGTAGATAATTAGATGTTATAGCAATTTGTAAAATAAACCAATTGTTGCAATTGTTCGTGAAATACAAAACAAAATATATAAATCAAAGGTTGTAATCGTTCGTGAAATAAACTAAATATATAAATCAAAGGTTACAATTGTTTGTGATATAAACTAAAGGTTGCAATTGTTCGTGAAATAAACTAAATATTGCAATAATTCGAATAAAAGGTTGCAACTGTTTATGAAGAGATACAATAAAAAGAAGCAACCGCAGAAGATATTCGGATTGCAATTTTCTAAAAAACATACCCGTAAAATATAAATTTTAGTTTAAAAATTAAAAATATATCCATACGTAAACTATGAAATAAACTAATTTTATATGTAGTTTATTGGTTTACGTAAAAAGAAATTCAATAAAACAACATGACCGTACAAAAATAACTGTGAGAAAAACAACCATAAGTATTTAAACGAAAGGTTGCAATAAAAAGACACAACCGTTCAGATGTACAAATGATATTTATTGGAAACGACATAACCGTAAAAAAATAACCGATTAAAACGAAAATTACGATAAAAAGACGCAACCAAAATAACCGTAAAAAAATAACCGATTTAAGTCAAATAAACCAAATGTTTCAACGGTTCAATTAAACGATTACAATCTCATTTAAATGCATTTTGGTAATTAAAAATTAAAAATATTAATTTATGAAAATTATACCGAGAGACGCGACGGTAGATAATTAGATGTTATAGCAATTTGTAAAATAAACCAATTGTTGCAATTGTTCGTGAAATACAAAACAAAATATATAAATCAAAGGTTGTAATCGTTCGTGAAATAAACTAAATATATAAATCAAAAGTTACAATTTTTTGTGATATAAACTAAAGGTTGCAATTGTTCGTGAAATAAACTAAATATTGCAATAATTCGAATAAAAGGTTGCAACTGTTTATGAAGAGATACAATAAAAAGAAGCAACCGCAGAAGATATTCGGATTGCAATTTTCTAAAAAACATACCCGTAAAATATAAATTTTAGTTTAAAAATTAAAAATATATCCATACGTAAACTATGAAATAAACTAATTTTATATGTAGTTTATTGGTTTACGTAAAAAGAAATTCAATAAAACAACATGACCGTACAAAAATAACTGTGAGAAAAACAACCATAAGTATTTAAACGAAAGGTTGCAATAAAAAGACACAACCGTTCAGATGTACAAATGGTATTTATTGGAAACGACATAACCGTAAAAAAATAACCGATTAAAACGAAAATTACGATAAAAAGACGCAACCAAAATAACCGTAAAAAAATAACCGATTTAAACGAAAGGTTGCGATAAAAAGACGCAACCGTTCAGATGTGCAAATGGTATTTATTATATTGCTATTATATATAGATTTCACAAGAAAAGTTAAAATAGATTTGATATCAGATATAACGTACAAAAGAAACCATTTGTTGATTTATTTTGAATTAGAAATCCATAATAATTAACAATTTCGTATGGATTTCCATTATTATATATCCAGATTGTGCAGATTTATAAATATATATGGTCATTTTCGTTAAATTCTTTTCTATTTTGCTGTGGTGTCTTAGTTTGTAGTATGATTGGATTCAAATAATTTTTAACATATATATATGAACCATCATTATATATATATGAACCATCATTATGATTATTGGATTAAAATAATTTTAAACAGATAGATGAACCATCGTCGAATGAACATTTTTATATTATTGGATTATACATTATCCTCGACGGACTTATATATATGTTATTATCGATGATCTGAGTTTAATTAGTTCGGTAGACCGCAAGAACGAATTAATGATGGCGATGCTGTGTTAACTTCAAACATGCAACTATATATTATATAAGTCAAAGTCCGTTACGTTTTTGACCTCTCAGGAGGAGCTATATCGCCTGGTTCGTTGCATGTTAATTATTTTGGTCGTCCCAAGTTTTCTAATAAATAACAAATATAAAGAAACGCATGTCAATTTTTAAAGGAACGCAAAACATTCATGCATATAAAACAGTATACTACTGTGTTTATTCCAACGATGCAAAGTTAAAACATGTAAAGACAGTATAGTCTCCTTTGTATAATTTCAGTTGTATGTATAAAATATAATTGAAATTTTTTATATTCGAAAAATGTCCATCTATTTTATACAATTATATATACAACTGCATACATATGTAATTACATATATATATCTTTTCAATTTCCACTCTAAACTATGTACATACATTCGCATGTTGAGTCATTTTATTTGCACTATTATTGGCCATGCTTTTTTTCTCTCTCCCATATGTATCTTTTTTTGTTTTTTGCCAACAATCTCGCATATGTATCTTACATTTATAAATAAATATATTTTCGTATCACCAAATCTAATGATTGACCGTGACATTCCATTCCATTCATGAATGCGGTTAGTTGACTCTATAATTTGTTTTTATGTTGCTAATGCTAATCATGTGCACCCTATTCTCGCGTTACCATATTATTCACAAACATAATGTTTATCGGTTATTATTAGATTTTGTTTTAAGAAGTCAAAAAAAGAAAAAAGATTTTGTTTGGAAGCTGTTGATTTTATAACTACTTCCCACCATACCTTATAAGTTATAAGTTTCGCTGACTTATGATTATTAAACCTATCCGAAACAATAGTTTCTAAAAAAAAGTTAATCTACTTTTAAAACATGATTTATGTCACTATCCACTGAATCTAAGTTTATATCTGCCGAGGGCCTAATGGTTAACGTCGATCGACCCATCTCGCCATACAAGTGTCATCCAGGCCAACTACTACATGATGATTAAAATTTCAATTCATGTTGGCCGGCTTAAGCATTCATATAGGTCATGGAAGAAAGTTTCGAAACAGAACCGTTGTCATAGAACATAACAAAGTATAAGGTACAGAACAATATTCTAAGACATGATCAAACCCTACCGGTTACTATAAACAAGCAAAGCAAACACTAAACAATGCGTTATCTTGCAACTTTTGTTCTTCCTACAAATGTAATGAATAACAGTTACGTACAATACCAATAAAGTTTCACATTGTGCTCTTCTACTTTCTTAACTCGTCTTGCAACCTTTCGTTCCCACAAATATAGACTTCCACACGGTAACACATATCCTATTTAATATGCAAAAGAAGAAGCTAATCGTAATTCGAAGAAATCGATCAAAATAAACTGCTTTCCAATATGTTATGTATAAAAAATTGAAATAGCTAGCTAACCAAGCAACCTTTTTTCTTCTTGTAGTGTGAAATTAGTTTCATCTAGTGCCTATAATTAATCTCATCGAATCAAATTAAGAACCATGTCACTCACTAACCATTTCATTCTAATTTGGTCCGGTTCAGTGGACATGGGTCTAGCTAATTTTAAGTCCGGTTTAGATTCACGCGCCGACTCATGACCGGGCATTACTAATCAATCAAAAATCATATCATTGACATCATCAGATTGGTTTCTCTCCTTCTCTCTCAAATCTTCAATTGTCTCTTTGCCGATCAGATCTCAACGACGACGAGTCATGGCTTCTAGTTTCAGCGGCGATGAAACTGCTCCTTTCTTCGGATTCCTTGGCGCTGCCGCCGCTCTCGTTTTCTCCTGTAACATCAGATTTCCCCATTCCTCCGATCTCTTATCCCTTTTTCTCCGATTTGATTCCGATCCAAATCTGATCCGATCCGATCGGAATTTGTTTCAGGTATGGGAGCAGCGTACGGGACAGCGAAGAGCGGTGTTGGTGTAGCGTCGATGGGTGTGATGAGACCAGAGCTTGTGATGAAATCGATTGTTCCGGTTGTTATGGCTGGAGTTTTAGGTATTTATGGTTTGATCATTGCTGTTATCATCAGTACCGGAATTAACCCTAAGGCTAAGTCTTACTATCTATTCGATGGCTATGCTCATCTCTCTTCCGGTCTTGCTTGTGGTCTCGCTGGTCTCTCCGCCGGTATGGCTATTGGAATTGTCGGCGATGCCGGAGTTAGGTATCTCTCGTTAAACTGTCTCTATTTGATGTATAGGCTAATTCAATTGCTCGAAGATGTTGGAAACTTTTCAGAAAAGGCTTGGTTTGATTCTCTGTTAAAAATCGGTTCTTTGATTCAAAATGTTATTGATCCTGTGATCACGAGTGCTTTATGTGTGTGAACTTAGTTCTTGATTTGCCATGTTAAAGCCTCTTGCTTTGGTGTTAGTTGTTGTTGTTAAGAGTTGAAATGATTGAATCTTTTTTGTACTTGATGTGAGATTAAGGATATATGATAGTCGCAGCTCCTGATATTGTTGCGAAATGTTTGTATCGAACTTGAGTTTTAGATAGAGATGTTTGTATTTTTTTGTAATCTGGTGTGTTTTTGTGTTGCAGAGCAAATGCACAACAACCCAAGTTGTTTGTGGGAATGATTCTGATTCTCATCTTTGCTGAAGCACTTGCCCTGTACGGTCTCATTGTTGGTATCATCCTCTCTTCTCGAGCTGGTCAGTCTAGAGCCGAGTGAAATCCAGAGTATCTCTCTCATATGGGCTATATATCCTTGTAATGTTTTGGTATATTTTACTTTCAGTTTTTTTTCTTTTGTGGTATTTTGAGTTTCTCATGAAAACAAGCAACATGGGTGGAAATTATTTGACTTTTGTTTTCAAAACCGTTTCTTTTTTTCCCATTTGCACACTATATATGGATACATCAGTAAGTAATAAAATATGACTATTCAACGATTTGAGTATTGTATTGTTGAATCATGATTTTGGTCTTTTGGATATATGGTAAAAAGATTTGGATAATGTACCTGACCTTACGATTATTAACAAACTTCTCTCGTCAATCAGAACATTATTTGGAAAACATTTGTGAGGACAAAAACATGGATCCAAGGTAGTTTAAACAAAACAATGAAAGGTGAAACAAAAGCCTCATATAGATCACTAAGGAGCTTCAGGTCTTAAAGAGATGCAATTGGATTCTTTAGGCTGAAACAACGGCTTGTTGTTTGGCTTCGCTTTCTTGCAAGCTCTCATAGTATTTGACAAGAACATTCCATCCACTCGGACACATAAACCCATCTGGAGGATTCTCCCCTGTTCTTGCATAAGTTCGCATCTGTAAGCAAAACAAGAAAACCGAAAAAAATCTCAGGTGTAATCGCACATAAGCAATAAGAATGTGAAGACTCAACAATGTCCCTTACCTTTGTTCCAGAAATGAAAAGAAACTCTTTTGCTCGAGAGGGATCGAAAAACGCCATCTTCTTCTCGATTGTATCGTAAGCTGCAACCTGAAAGATACAAATCACAGACAAAAGAACACGAGATTGGGAATTGAAGCAGAGTATTCTGATAATCAAGAAAGTTTGGTTTTGCAGTCAGAACTGATTTTTGTGTTACCCTAAATGGAAGAATATTGAGTTTCTCAAGTCCAGGGGCCATGCTTAAGACTTTCTTTCCATGATCAGGATCATATAGATCTCTCTTCTCAGTAGGGTGGCCCATTCCTGCAGGATCACGACCTACAATGTAGAAATTAGCACCGGCGTTAATCCTTGCCTTGGCGTGCCATTGAACTTCAGTTGGACCAGCATAGTGCATCGGTGATGGAAATATCGAGACAATAGTAGTCTTCGGGTCAAGAACTCCATCTTCTAGAACCTACACATCATAAGCAAATAAAATCATAATCTATACAAATTCTTTATGAGTAAAAGAAACTCTCAAAGAGCAGCGAATATGCACCTTGCTATGTTGTTCCATTCTAACATCAAGAGGAACATCATCAGCTTTCGTGAAACCTCCTAAAGGATGAAGCAAGAGAATAGGATTCTTGTAACCCATTTCCAAAAGCCTTTTCCTGGTATCATTCATCAACAGAGCATGTCCATTATGCACCGGATTCCTTAACTGAAACGCAAAAACAGCATCCGCTTGACGATTATCGAACTCTTCCCTAAGCTGTTTAGGAGAGAGCCTGTAATGATCAAGCCCATCATTATACTTAATCGGCTTAAAAACTTCTAAATCACCACCAATCAACCAGTTTCCTGATGGAGTAATATATTCTTCCACATAAGGCAACCCTGGAGAAGTAGTTCCCCAAGTCCTAGCTATCCTTTCTTCCTTGTTGTGTTTGTATATCTCCACACTACAAATTACATACAAAGATTACACAAATCAACAACATTTCATATACCAATGAACCATTAACAAAGTTCTAATTTTGATATAAATATACCTTCGAAGAGAACCAATGATATCTCCTTGAGCGCTAACAAGAGCAACATTCTGGGAAGATCCGATCTGTTCCTTAGTCTCATCATCAATAGCAAGAACAATAGGAAGAGACATGTTCACAAGAGTCCCATTTTTTAACCTAAGAGAGTTAAAATGCAAACTTTGTAGATACTCATCTTCTCTCATGAACCCTTTTAAAGGACTAGCCCAACCTTCACTGATCACATGAACCCACTCAAGATCAATCTTCGTCAGTTTAACTTTCGGCATCGTCTCTGATTCAGCTTTCTTCGCTCCGATCTCAGATTCCGGTACAATCAATTCCACCAATTCACCACCGTCGGGATCAATCAATGAGCTCTTAACAGTCATTTTCGAAACAGATTGCATTATTGGGTTTCGTTTGTAGACCAAATTGAGAAAAGGGTTGTGATTGAAAGAAGAAACGAAGGAGATTTGATTGGTGAAAGAGGATGGTTTTGAATTTCTAGGTTGGAAGAGAGTGAGGTGAGAAACGTAAGAGGAGGATCTGATCAGAAGAGACATGGATCTTGGTGAAGAAGATAGCTACTTTGGGAAAAAAGCGAGAGAAGTGGAGAGTAGAGAGTGAACAGTGAAGGTGAGATTTGGACGAACATGTTGGAGGAAGAAGAAGAAGATCCACACGTTATTCCACTTTTGGCTCCTTTGCTTTTTTCTAGTTGCAGAATTTTTGGTTTGTGGATGGAATTATTGCCTTTTGTGTGAAATGTCTTTTTCACCCTTTATTTTTCTGAAAGCTTTGGGCCCTTGGGGACCATTTGTTTTCAATTGGGCTTTTGTTATTATTTCTCATGAAAGCCCTTGAGGTTTAATCAATTTATTTTTGTTTAGTTTGATTTTAGCTGCAATATATATATATATTTTGTCTCTAGCACATCTACATTTTACCAAACGTAAGGCAAAACAATATACATTGATGAGCACGTTCATACATACATACAATTATAGAATGATCAAGCAAGTAAGGTGTGTGGTGTGTGATTCTAATTAATAAAAATCTCATTTAAAAAGATTCTAATGAGGAAGAAGTAGTAACCAAACTCGACAAAAGACCAACGACAAGAGCACTGTTATAAGTGCTTGGCTCATTTTGCATAGAATTGTTCCTTGCGTCTATAAACGTGTCGTTCAAAAACGGTCCACCAACAAGTGCACCATAAGCTACATTCGGATTTGGTTCCTCCGAGTCAAGCCACTTAAACCCATCTTTGCATCCTGTGTTTGCATCGGCTGGTATTGAAGCTCCTCTATGATGCACAAATTCTGGATATTTCTCACCATATCCCACCAAATAACTCATTTTCTCTGGATTTTTCCCTAACATGTAATCAGCCTGCACATTATAGATATACCAAGTTATTATATGGTTGAGAGGAATAATAAAAAAAACCCAAATTAATATGTGTATGGACCTGAGATCTAGCGAATTTTCTGAGATCTGAAGGTTTAAAGGATTGGTCACTGCAAGATAGTTCCTTAATACCAGAGGTGAGCATATAGTCACTGTAGAGTGTAGCTAAAAATGCAGAGGACACAGGGTGTTGCAGTGCATTCCATTCACTTACCCATATTAGACCACCTATATATCCAAAACGAGATAATTAACAATGATGCAGAGATTTCTATCATCAGTTAACGTGAGATGTAAGAAAAGTACCATCAGTTCTACTAGATGTAGCTGTTGGTGAGCTTGGTATAAGCCCACACATGACAGCTTCTGCTGTTTCTTTATAACCTTGAAGTCCTTTACTTCCTGATAACCCTTTTTTGAAGAAGGTTAATCTTGATAATAGTATCTGCAAAATGTATTATAAGTCACACTAAATGTTTTAATGAAACAATCAAGAACATGATTTGTAAAGAAGTGTCTTGTTCTTTATACATGTGTTCCTGGAAGCTTGTTGTCCCAACTAAACCATGATGGACTTCCAAAATTACCAAACTCTTCACCATTTTCCGACACAAAGTCAAGATATGTTTTATCCTCTGTTGCATGGTACAACCATGAAGCTGCCCAAAGAAGCTCATCTCCATAACCTGTTGAGTTATAATAAGGCTGAACCTCAGGTATATTAACACTGTAAGAACCTCTGTTATTATCCGCAAAATCGAACAACTGCTTCGCATGTTTCAGAAGTGTTCTTGAATACTTAGTATCACTTTCTTTAAAGACTAAAGATGCAGCAGCCATAGCTGCTGCTGTCTCTGCAGCAACCTCAGTCCCTGGAGTCTCTGTATCAATCTTAGTAAGAGTTCTCTTCCTTGTCATTGTTTCTGGCCTATCCCAACATTTATGATCCGTCACCGGATCTCCCACCTACAATGTTAAATCCAAATTGACTTGAGAACTTATGAAAGATTTGTGATTTTTGATCACCACCGTGTACCTGAATATAGAGGACATTTGGAGAAGGATGAGCATTAATGAGGAAATCAGTAGTCCATTTGAGAGAGTCTTTAGCATGATCCAATAGGTTCACAGAAGCCATTTGATCACCGTACTCAAGAATGGACCATGAGAGAACTGTGGCAGTGAAAGCCATTGGGAAACCAAACTTCATGTGGTCTCCAGCATCGTATAAACCTTTCGAAAGGTCAATACTTGCTTCGCTTCCATCTTTAAGACCTGAATCTCCTCTCCATGATATCTTGTTGTTCTCCAGCTTACCAGCTGCACCAAAAACATGACTTACTTTGTGCTAAAAGCAGAAACAAATAATCAATGTGAATCAAGAAAATTCAAGAATCGTTTACATTTCTGGATATCGAAGAATTGCATAGCGATCTTGAGAGCATTAGCGTAATTTTTATCAATGGAGCCAGGATTATCATCGGAGTGGCTTGATCTATGCCTGAATGTGAAAATGACGGCGAGAATTACCGCGATTAACACGATAACGCCGATGAACCAACTACAACAACAACATCTTGACCTTGGTTTCGCCACCATTTTGTTCAATAAAAAAAAAAACAGAGGTGGATAGATCTGAAAATGTTAATGGAGATGCATTTCGCGATAGCAAAAGTTTTGCTAGATCTAGGGATTCGAAAATGACGACGATTCGAGAGAGGAAAGTAACAGATTTTGGCTTAATAAGGAAATTGTGAGAGACACCGACACTGATCAAACCAACGCGGGACGAGATCTGTTCTTTTATGTGTTTCCGTAATGACGGAAGTACCCTTGCCTGGAAAGGAAGCAATGTGGCGAGTACAAGGTCCCAATTGGTAGTTGTGATGTTGTTTATTATTTTATCATTTTTTTGGTTAATACATATTCTTATTATTACTTACCTGTAGAATTCATTTAGTCAACTTCAACAACCACGTCTGATTTTTATTTAATTGTTATGGGAAACAGATATATACTTCCTATAACTATACCAATATTCAGATTACTAGATAAGGACCCGTGCTATACAGCACGGGATTAAATATTTTGTATGAATCAAATTGTATAATTTGTTTGAAGATATAATATGATAAAATAATATAATAATATAGTTTGCAAGTGATGCGAGATAATAGTATAGGATTTTTAATATTATTTGGATATAATGTTGTATTAGATTGACTTGGTGTGGAAGCCCCCTTGACCCATTGGTTGACCAAGGGTTATATCTAGGATTTCACCCGTATTATATCTTCTCATATTAATATCGACCCAAATCCGTCCTACCATCTAACCCCGTCTCGTGAAGTTAAACATTATTTTGTTATTTTTGTTTTAATAATACTTTTATTTAAAAGACAAATTCAAATCAATTTAAAAGTTTGATTTCAAATAGTTTCCCTAATATATATATTCTTAATTATTATAAAATTATAAATATTTTTAACGTTTTATAAACTTTTAAAAATTATAATATTTACCTTTCAATAAAGTACAAATATTTATAATAATTGATTTTTAATTTTTAAAATATTTCTTATATTTTGAAACTTTTTAAAAGTAAGAAATATAAATTATTATATAATAAATAACAATAACAAATAACCCGTCACCACTAAAACCATCCGCTTTGCCGCATGTATGGTTGCACCACCATAACCTTTCGAAGTTGTGATTAAATAATTAACGCTAATTAACGCCATGAAATCGATCAAATGTTTTTTTGGTAACGTTAATTATTCAATAGTAGATTAAAATGACTCATCTAATATAGTTTGAATATTCGAGAAAATCAATACCTTAATTTTTTAGCATAATAATTTCAAAAAAATTAAAAAATGCTCAACGACGACAAAGAATCGATTACATGTTACACACCTTAGGTTTGAAGGGAGAGCAACGCATCACCACCACCAGTGCACCATGGCTACTCCGTTTCTTTAAAAGCTGTACACAAACATTATTCAACATTAGTTATCATCGATATTTATAGAGATTATGTAAACAATGAACAATGCAATAATGAAACTACTTTGATAGAAATCGAGCTTTTATTTATAGAGAAAAAATGGTGTTACACAATTTAGGTTTAGACGCAAAAAAATCTAAACAAATAAATGATATCACGGTGAGAATATTCACAAATAATTATTTTATTTATCTCATTACGATTTTGGTATTATTTATTTAAGTATATTAATTTATATTTTTTAATATATGGTTGTTTTTCTTATCTACCTATAGTCTATAATATATATATGGTTGTTTTGTTTAATTACGTTTTAGTGGATTAAATATTTACCAAGAAAATCTAAATCTTAATTGCATATTTAATTTATGATGATGAAATATTAGAAAATATTAATTTTTTATAATCTTAACAATTTTTTATTTATTCATTAAAAATATTGTTACGCATTATCACAATTACGATAATTGTAGTAGTGCAAAATCTAATTAATATTTGTTTCCAAAACAAAAAATATTTATTAGTTTACACTCATTAATAAAAAATGCAAAGCTTGAATTTGTCCTATAAATACAAAATTTAATGTATTACTTTTCTATATTAGTAATTTTTAAATATTTGATTGTGGACATGGAATATTAGTGACATGGAATAAAATTTTATAATTAGAATTCTCTAATGGCATATATTGTAATTTCTTACAAAATTAACATTATGATCCTTAGGATGTACTTCCCAAATATTAGTATAGGATAAACCAGTTACTTGAATTGTGTATATGATATTGTTAAAGAAAAAAAAAATTGTATTTGATTGTGATCAAAGATTCAATATGATAAGTGATGTCAGAACGGAAAAAAAAAAAAAACCTACGGGCTAGGGATTTAATGGGCAAGATCACTTCATTTCGGCCCATTAGTATAGTGAGCGGAGAAGAAGCGGTAGTTTTTTTGCTTTTTTGGAAGATCCAAAGTTCACTTTTTGCTAACTAATTTTGAATTACAAACTCGTAATACTTAACATAGCATTATAGTACAATTTGTTGATCCAAATAGAGTTTATTGTTAGTTCTAGAGTGATATTGGTTTCAAGATAAATCGATAAAATTTATCACATGATGATTATTGAGCTTACTTTAATTTGTTGATGGGAATTGTATGCGGCTCATACTCTTGGATAATAATGAACATGTACAGATGTTGGTGATTGAGCTTATTTTTAACATGTAGACAAGAACGAAAGAAAAACCGAAGTAATATATCTTTTTAAAAAGAAAGTTCCATTGTATCACAAGTTAAACACCAAAGAGTTTAGTCTTCTTCTTCGAAAGCTTTCTAATCCGTAGTCATCTTATACTTCTCAGGTAAGGAAAGAGGTAGCTAAAATAAACCACGAAAATTAGTGAGAGGTTTTAATCTGTTAAAGAACCAAGAATCAAGAGCAAATTTACGTACATGGTGATGAGCTATATCTTATTGTTGTGCCTGGCGGCAGCATAACATTAACAACTTTTGAGAAGTCCTTGATGGCCTAGTGGTTTCAATGAGCTTTCTCACACACGACTGCCAGAGGTCGCGAGTTCGACTCTCTGTCGGCGGGGTGGAACTGAAACCTCTCCAAATAAATCCTGTTGTAGATGGCCCACGGGTTTCTATGACGCATTAAAGGATTTTCCTGGATATGGGGCCTTTCGGGGTGGGGTCAGTCACTATAAAAAGTTTACCTGTAACAGTTTTGAACCAAGTGTTCTTGGTCTAGTGGTTGCCACTTGTGGAGGAGTTGCCCTGTTGGTCTAGGCCAGGGATCGATTCCCCGCAAGCGCGCAATTGCTAGATCTCCACTTGGCCACTGCGCAATTTACCTGCGGGGCGCAGCGTCCCAGACCACCAGTTCCGGGGGGCCCTTAAGTGGAGGCTTAAAAATCTCAGGCACGCGGGCTTAGGCCCAGTGGGCTAGTCGGATCACTGTGTGGTCTGGACACTGGGTTATCAAAAAAAAACATTAACAACCACAATATTCAATCCTCCCACGTCACATCCACTAAGTTCCAGTGCCTTCTCTATTGTGGCTTCTCCCATAAGATTATATACAGCTAAACATACTATTCAAAGTAAACAAAAAGACTTACATGAAGAGATAACATATTGGACTTAAACTCATTGGTTACAAACTCCTCTAACTTATCCTTGAAGTTTCTGAAGGAAAAATAAGTAACTATATCAATATCAATAAAATGTCAATACAAATTTTATGCTCGTTTAGGATAACTTTTCCAGAATATCCTATAATACAACTTTTGTATTGACTTTTTATCAACATTGATATGTTCACTTTATTTTTCGTCTCAAAACTGCAAGGAAAAGATAAAGGAGTTTGTGACAAATGGGTTTAAGTCTAATTTGTTACCACTTCCTGTAAGTCATTTTGTTTGTTTTGAATATATGTTTAGCTGTATATAATCTGTGTATTTGATATCAAGCTGTTATAATCTTCACCCTACTTACTATGTTTGATGATAGGGCAAAGCTTTTTATCTTGTTAGCAAAATATCATCGTCTATAATAATTCTTAATTATTGGTTCATAAAAGAATATTAGAATTACAACCTCTAAAATTTTATGGTTGACTCCTATAATAAATTTGGTCTCTTCAATAACTTATAACATACTCTACAAGTCTCCGAAAAAATCAACTTACTTGTGTTCCGGAAGACTGAAGTCTAAGGATTCCACAGTTGCCCATCGAGGATCAGCGAATTGTCCATCATACGGTGAAGCCTTAGCTAATACATTCCATCCTCCCGAATCACTTCCACTAAGTTTCAACCCAATATGAATGAAGGCATCTGTGAAACCAAAAGAAAACAACAAAAAAAGCACTGAACTTAACTTTGAGCTGGGAAAATTGGAGGAAGAAGCCACAAACCTCTTGAGAATACCCCTTTCAAAGTCTCTTCGAACAATAATATGTAAGATCTCTCCATAAGAAGCGAAATGTTTTGTCAACGCGAGCTTGAGATCATATACTCATGAAGCGATGTGTCATATCCCTCAAAGAAAATCCTGCTAAAGCTACTGTAATCAACAAAGGTTAAAGAGTGATTTAAAAAAAAAAAACGTAAGGAGAAGAAGATTACTTTGACTGCGGATTCATCCATTGAGAAGAATCGACTGCTAGGTTTCCGACCCTTAAAAGATATTTTTCAGTTTTTAGGGTTTTAGGTCGTATGAAGAAGGGTTTTGGCGTGAATATATAAGAACAAACGCTTGGGCCTTAATTTTAGTTCAGGCCTGGATGAAGCCCATATACTCCTAATCTTCTTCCCAGCCCATAATTCCATAATACGGAATGCAAATGGAAATCATGTTTGCGTTTACATTTTTTAATAAAATAATTTATACAAAAAACGGATAGTATATTCTATTTAGTAGAATTGGTTTTTTTTTTTAAAATAAAATATAAACAACATCTGACAATTAAATTCTTCAAAGCCATTCAAACTTTGGCCCCATATTTTTACATTGAGTGGGCCATTGTGAGGTTGTTATGAATATCTACCGATCATCAATATAGACGTTAGTGTTTCTGTTCAGTGTTACTTTTCTTTGCTTTAATAATTCAAACAGTACCCCTCATATCCTCTTTTTGTCGACTAATCTTTTTCCGGTTTGGCTTTGTGTTATTATCTAACCATGAAAATGTTATAAAAAAACTCTATTGGTATGATTGGTTTAACCGAGTAGTTTGATGCTCTTTTGTTTAACCGAAATCAGAGATAAGTATGCCCATATGGTTGTGGGATTTGCTGTGGGCGTGAAAGCAATTCACTGCTTCATAATTTGAAAAGGACTAGTATGCGCATATTATGTTTCTTTCTATTCATATAATTAACATGTTTTTTCTCATCATAATGCACAATGAGTTAACTTTATAGAACATGAAACCAAAGTCTTATTTTCATATAACAGTAAGTCAGTAATTCTTTAGCCTTTTGCAAAATTTTCTTAAGAAATTAACAGTGTTTTTTGTACATCCAATTTTCCAATTATTTGTTGAAAATCTTATGAACAAATAGAGCCGTAATTTCAATATTTAAATATATAATTACTGGTAAAATATAGCCTTACTTATCTATTATTGTGTAAAATGATGTATCTTTTTAAAAAGAATCCAATTGAGACAAAGGAAGAAAATTAGTAAAAATAATAAAATTTTACCAGAGAATTCAACAAAAGAAAAGCTACCATTTTGTTATAATTTTATAACAAATATAGCCATTCTTATTAATTATATTTTAGGGGAAAATGATGTAATTATTAATCAAATTAAGAAAATCAATACCAATGAATCAAAAGATGATCAAATTAGTAAAAGTAGAAAAATTCCACCACATATTTCCCTGGCATAATTCACAAGAAAATCTTGGGTCATAAGTTGGATTCAAGAGTAAATGGGATAAGCTACAAAGTGAATACAAAAGAATAGCTACCATTTTTGTCATATTTTTATGAACAAATATAGCCATTCTTATTAATTACATTTTAGGGGAAAATGCTGTAAATACCAATCAAATTAAGAAAATCAATACCAATGAATAGAAAAGGATCAAATTAATAAAAATAAAAAATTCCACCACATAAATCACAAGAAAAGCTTGGATCATAAGTTGGATTCAAGAGTAGTATAAATAAGCTACAAAGTGAGTACAGTAGATTCATTCTTTGAGTCCCAAATCCCAGTGATCTTAGCCGTTCATTTCAAATCTCAAGAAGATCAACCTCTAGAAATCGTAGTGTAGGCTAGATCATAACACAGAGGATTATTTAACCCCATCAGAGAAAGTAAATATTTGAAAAGGACTCATAACGAAACCAAAAACAGTGACTTGTGAAACAACCGCTGGTTTTTCCCAAGTAAAAGCCTCACAACAAATTTCAATTTATTATTAATTTTACTTTTTCGCTTTGCTTTTTATTTTATTTTATTTTCTCTCATTTATGTTTGTCTCTTTCCCCGCTCTCTCGCTCTCGCCGCCGTCTGCGTAACGGTCTCCGGCCACATTACGCCGATCAACCTGTTCCCTCCGCCGTCGTTTTGATATAGTTTCTCTCCAAGTCTATTCGAAGTATTCCGATTCGATTGCATTCTCATTCACTTTCCGAAACTTTTTTCTCAGAAAGGTATTGTTCATTTCGTTAAAGTAGTCTAGAAATCAATTCCACAGTTTCTTCTTCAATAGCGATCGATCTGAGCTCTGTATTAATCTCACTTGTTTGAATTTCTGTATCAAATGCATTGTTGTGAGTTCTAGCTTTTTAGTCGGTTGTTTAGAATCCGATTTCAAATTTGTGAATCTTCTCGAGATTCGATTTCAAATTCGAATTTGAAGGACGAGGATTCTGAGATTATTCAAAAATCGAAGTCAAATCTTGTTCACTTGAATCCTTTGTTCTTGTTTCTTATGCTACCACATTTGAATTTGCTCTAGTCATCTTCTTGTCGCCGACACTAATCTCATTTTACCTGTAGAAGCAAAGGATAGTAGATTTCTTCAATAGTATGTGTAGTTGGTTGAGAGAGCATTAGATGATCCAGCTATATGAGCATTAACTAGAGAAACTACTTAGTAGGGTTTCGTTCATTGATTGATTCTGCTTATTGTTTCTTGTTAGTTGAAATTGTTTACTCGCATCTTTGTTGTTCTCTTTTTCACATTATTTGAGGGATTTAACACAGTCTTTTTGTTTCTCTTTATCAGGTGTGCAAGATGATTGGATCGTTTCTAACAAGAGGACTTGTGTATGGCTCTGATCTCTTCATTTTGAGGTTCTAAAGTATTACTTGATCAAAGAATTTTACGAATTTGTTTTTGACTTATCATTTGTTGGCAGAATGGTATTTGGATATGCGTATCCTGCTTATGAATGCTACAAAGCGGTTGAAAAGAATAAGCCTGAGATGCAACAGCTTCGATTCTGGTGCCAATACTGGTTTGTGATGTTTGGCTTTCTCATTTTTTTCTTATCTTGAGCCTTTTGCCTTGAGTTTTTTCGTTTGTAAAGTTTTGCTTCCTTCTTGAAATTTGTTGCAGGATTTTGGTTGCTGCTTTGACGATTTTCGAAAGAGTTGGCGATGCTTTTGCTTCATGGTTGGTGTTATTGATATAGGAATATACTTTCAAATGAATTGAGATATATGTAGACTTACTTTGTTTCTGTCCTGTTTTCATGAAGGGTTCCACTATACTGTGAGGCAAAACTGGCATTTTTCATATATCTTTGGTTCCCCAAGACCAGAGTAAGTAAACTCTAGTAGTAGCTAAAAGAGAGTTAGTTAGTATCTGTATATGTGATCCATTGGGGTTCTATCTCACTGCTCTTTCCTTTCTTTCCACAGGGAACTACATACGTTTACGATTCTTTCTTTAAACCATATGTTGCAAAGCATGAAAATGAAATTGACCGCAACTTGATTGAGCTAAGGACCAAAGCTGGAGATATGGCAGTGGTATACTGCAGAAAAGCAGTGAGCTATGGACAAACAAGAATCGCAGAGATCCTGCATTTTGTAGCTCTCCAGTCAACACCAAAACCTCAGCCGAAGGTAATCTTATGCACCTAACAAATACCAAGAACAGCTAATCATGGATCCTTTCCTTTTCAACTTCTTCCATTGCTCGCTAGGGGATCAGTTAACATGTTTCTCCTTGTATAATAGTGTTATAATATTGAAGGATTTTTCTTGCTTCTAATTTTCATTAGGTAAAGAAGCAGGCCGCACCAGAAGAGGAGGAACAGAATCAACCGGATCTTAAGGCGACGAGCCAAGCAGCTTCTTCTAATCCTCAAGCGCGTATGCAATCGAAGAAACCACAGCTTGTAACCAAAGAACCTATATCACCAAAGCCTCTTTCATCCCCACGTAAGCAACAACAACTACAAACAGAGACCAAGGAAGCAAAAGCAAGCGTATCACAAACCAAACTCACTACTCTATCTCCACCAGTACCACCACCACCACCATCACCCTCAACCGCCGCGAAACCAAACGCTGATCCAGCACAGCCATTACCAACAGAGGCAGAGCAAGCGTCACAGACTGTTGCAGCGTTACCACCACCAGCGTCTGAGATTCAGCGAGCGACATCTTCGAAAGAGACTTTACTGGAGGAAACACTTAGGGTCACTCGTGGGAGTCTGAGAAAAGCTCGTTCTGCGGGAGCACCGCGCTAAGAGAATGATTAAGGGGAACACATAATTTCAGAACTCTACCCCTTTTTTTTATTGGTTTCTCTTTAAAACAGGAATAATCGATTTTATTAAACGGTGCTATTTGTTGTTTTCAGTCCGATGTAAATTCTTCAGACCTCAGAGGCTAATATTGGATCATGATCTGTCCTTAGCTGAGTAAAACCACCAAAAAAAAAGATATATACAAGGATCAAAACTCTGCCTTTCTCCAATGTTTTGCAATGTCAAACAATCGATTTTTGTCAGATGTACACCTGTTTCAGAGTCTTCAGACTCCAAAAAAAAAAAAAAAGTATTCCGCTGCCGGGCTTTGAACCCGGATTTCATTCTGTTTGAAATTAACCGATGTGCTACAGCGGATTAGTTGTTTATATATCCGATTAAGTAATATATAACTCTTATATAACTCTAATTTTGACGTTTGTTGGGCCAGTGCATACATTTGGGCTTATGCTCTTGGTTGTTCATTGCTAGCCCTTATAATAACCTCATCAACTCACAAACACGCCTAAAAAAGAATTATTATGAGGAATACATTTTCAGTAATTAAGTTAACTATACAAAATTGTTAAAAATGCCCCTTTTTCAATACCCCTTTTCAAAAATGCCCCATTTGAGAGTCCATTTTTAAGTTTGCCCTCTTTTAATTTTTAATGACCATTTTACCCTTATTTGAAACAAAATTAGGTCCACAAAATACAAAATATTTTTTGGCGGGAAAAGTGATCCCGCAATTTTCCCGCCAAAACACTTGTAAAAACCTTTAAAATACCTTGTACAATTTTTCCCGCCAAAAAATTTTCCCGCCAAAATTTTTTTTTTGCGGGAAAAGTGATTCCGCAATTTTTTTGGCGGGAAAAATTTACAAGGTATTTTAAAGGTTTTACAGAGTATTTACAAGTGTTTTGTAAGGTTTTACAATGTATTTTAAAAGGTTTTACAAGGTACTTATAAGGTATTTATAACTTGTAAAACCTTATAAAAAACTTGTAAAACCTTATAACTTGTAAAACCTTATAAAATAGCTTGTAAAATCTTATAATATCTTATAAATACCTTATAAATACGTTGTAAAACCTTTTAAAATACATTGTAAAACCTTATAAATACCCTGTAAAAAACTTTTAAAATACCTTGTAAATTTTTCCCGCCAAAAATTTTCCCGCCAAAAATTTAACGCCAAAAAATTGCGGAATCACTTTTCCCGCAAAAATTTTTTTTGGCGGGAAAAAAATTTACGGGAAAATTTTACAAGGTATTTTAAAGTTTTTACAAGTGTTTTGGCGGGAAAAATTGCGGGATCACTTTTCCCGCCAAAAAATATTTTGTATTTTGTGGACCTAATTTTGTTATATTTCCTTATATATTTGTGATATCTTTTATTAAAAGAAGGGTATTTAGTCATTTTGTACATAAAAAGGGGTATTTTAAAAAATAGACAGCCAAATGGGGCATTTTTAAAAAGGGGTATTGAAAAATGGGCATTTTTGTGAGTCTTATTTATAAAATGTCAACATGACTAAAATTGTAAATAAGTGAATGATCAAATTTTACGTCATTGCGATGAAAATGCCTTTTAATCGACTTTTCTGAAATCAACATGCATCCTTAATATTTAAAATTGAGGATTTTTTCATCCATTTTTTTTTTTGCTAAATGGTTAATATCATATAAATGAAGAAAGTTTGTTCTTTTTTAATCCATTTCAGTCATAATTTTAACAATAAAACTCGGTACATAAATTTACTATTTGTTATACATTAATATATCGGGAAAAATGTCGAAAAATTCGCGAACTTTCAAATTTGGGACGAAAAAAGCATGAACTATCGAAATGTCATTTAAATCATAAAGTTTAGGTTGACTTTTTGACAAAATAGTGAAGTTTAGTTTGACTTGGCCATTTCGGGCATGCCGTTAAATTTCCGTTAACCAGACGATAACGGTGTTAAATTTTCGTTAGATTTTTACCGTCCGACCACAATTTTTTAGATTTTTATTCAGTTTATTGTATGTGTTCCCCATCTTTTTTATTCAATTGGTATTATGAGATTCCAATTTATCCACTGGATAGAGTGAAAACACTTATGGATTAGTCTAAAAGATTTTTCTAACAGTTCATAAAAAAATTTCATGGTCGGAAAGTGAGTAAACGAAGAAAATATTTTTTTTTTTTTGTTTTTATAAATTTTTATTAATTGTAATAAATAATAAAATTAATTAAAATTTAAATTAAATGAAACAAATATATATTAAACAAATATAAGATGATTGTTCCATCATCTTTTATGACTTTGCAAACAAAAAAGTTAGTTTGGAGGTTTAAAGTGTTAGTAAAACAATCTTGGTGGTTTATATTGTTAGTAGAATTCTTTCGAGGTTTAAAGTGCTACCCAGTTACACTTTGAGGGTTAAAAATGTGATTTTCTCTAATAAATTGTATATTGTTTTAATTAATTGTACATAGTTATTTGTTAGTATATATATGTTCGGTTTGGTACAATACCAAAATGTTATCGTAGCGCAACGGTTGAGCACCTCTCATTAGTCCAGTAGGTCAGCTGTTCGATTCCCGACAGATCCAGTTTTTTCATCTTATTTTCTAATGAAACGACGTCGTTTCAGAGTTTCAAAACGACGTCGTTTGTACTCAACGGAGAGTTCTAACGGAAATTTAACACCGTTATCGTTTGGTTAACGGAAATTTAACGGCATGCCCGAAATGGCTAAGTCAAACTAAACTTCACTATTTTGTCAAAAAATCAACCTAAACTTCATGATTTAAATGACATTTCGAAAGTTCATGCTTTTTTCGTCCCAAATTTGAAAGTTCGCGAATTTTTTGACATTTTTCCCTTAATATATCCCACTGTTATTAATTTCAGCTATTCATATATTGACTTCAACTTGATGTTTCACAAATATCGTTGAAATTCGACATCCGTTTTGTCTATAGATATTTTGTCCAATCATGTTTGAATTTTGACCATTTTTTTTGTTTATGATTTCGCCATTTTGATACTTATACAATTATTATCTTTTTAAGAAATTAATGTCGGTATTTGACAAATTACTACATTTCTTTTTTCTTTTTAAGAGATAAAGAAAGAGTAGTAGCTGCTGATGACGTCAAAATGCATGTGTCATGCTGACGAGTGAAGGCCTCAATAATGGTGGTGTGAGTCAGTGAGTGGTATAGGTTTATTGTGTGGCGGCTGCATAATAAATAAATAATGTTGTTGCAAAAGATATCTTCATATAATCGTAGTGACTAGTGAGTAAGTAACACATGGCTTTTCTGATCATATCCACCGTTTGATCCCATCTCGACAATAAGATTATACCAAAACTTATTATAGTACCAATTATTGTATACTATAATAGTTTTTACATCTTTCATTGGTCGTTTACAATTTACCATGCCAATGCACACAATTTGTTATTTTATAATTAGAAAACCATTGAAAATGAGAGTGGATGTAGAAAAAAGATTCCTTCTCGTGTCTCTCTCGAGATCGACTATAATTATCCCCTTTTAGTTTCTCATTTTTTTTGTATGAGCACTCTTCACTCTTAGCAACCACGAGCACAAGAAAACATGAGCGACCCTAGCGGCCAATCTTCAACAACGACTGTCGGTGGAAGCGGCGGCGGCAACGGTAGTAACGGGGGAGGTGGTGGAAGTGGCGGTGGAAGCGGTGGCTCCTTTGGGAATCAGCCGAGGAGATCAAAGGTGAGGAAGCAAGTGTGGGCTGGAGTTCTCGGCATCTCCTCCGACTCCACCAACAATTAATAGTTTTTTTCTTTCTTTCTCTTTTCACCTAAAAAAATATGTCTAGTGAAAAATGGTGGTGGTAATTACTATGCTTTGATCATCGTTCATGTGTTAACTGTGTCTAAATAACAAGCAAGATAATTAGACCATCATCATCGTCATTGTTGTGAGATTTTGAAGTATATATATTTTTTTCTTCAACTAATTCTGCAGTGGATTTCAAAGTGAATTTTGTTTTGTCTAGAAACAATTAGGGTTTCTCCTTCGAATCGATGTATATAGCAATACCATAAGCAATATGAAGGTTAGTCAAGTAGGTGAGATCGGTTGCAAATAATGTTAAAAGTAAAATCTTATGACAAATTGACGCTAAAGTATAGTCTGAAAAACATGGTAAAAAAATTCAGAAAAGAATGTGCAATAATTATATAAAATGACCAGCCGAAAATAACTCAAATAAAATAAATATTCGATGGTGTGTGTTTGAATGGTATACAATCCATAATAATTGTTCTTATCCATCCTCAACAAATATTTACATGTACCTCCCCAGCTATCTTTCTCACAGATTATATATATGAAAATGAACCATTTTGAAATCGTACAATAGAATCGTTTCTCACGTAAAAAACAATGGGAACCAATATAAAAATTAATTACTGCAAAAATATTATCCAACAATCAATCAAGTCCAGTATTCAACTAAATAATTCCTGTTCCCTTATGCCTACCCTCATCCTTGATGAAATAAAATGATAGGATTTTCTTTCAAAAATATAAAATAAAATGTAGTTTAGTGTCACCATCCGGACTTAATTAGACAGCAACCTCAAATTTGTTATAAATTTATAGACCATTAGATATATTTTGGGTTTCATTTATACTATATGAGGAGATCAACAGACTCAGAGGGTCTGTAAATCACAACCAGTTATTAATAGATGAATCAAGAATGCACTTTTCTATACACTAAAAACATGAAACCAATTGAACCAGTCTTATTTAAATATTCGACATAATTAAACAGAATTAGTCTTAATAAACTGAGAGAAATGATAAGTACAGTAATTGAACTTAGTTATGATTATCAGGTGTTGTTTAATCTTAAAGTAGAAGACATAATCATAACTGTCTTAAGTTAATTGTACCAACAAGTAATTAGAATCCCTCATCCTCTAATCATTTCACCAAAAGCTTCTGCTCTTCTTTAAAAAAAACATACTCAAATTTAAAATCAAACTCTTGTTTTGTTCTCTTGGCAATTATCATTTTTTTTGATGTTAAAGTTACGGAATGGTCCTAAATCTTCGCCACTAACTAACTAGCTAGGTCAAACCCAAGTGTACAATGTATCTAGCAGGACCACAACGTATTTTCAACACCATGATTATTACTTACTAGTACTTCAGCTTTTAGTTTTGCCTTAATTACATATATAATCACTTAATGATTAACCGTTGATCAATTCTCGGCATCATGTTTCGTCACTGTCAACGAAAGGTCGGTCTCTGGAAATTAAATTCAACATTATCCATGGGATAACATAAGCTACTTCTAATTTTTGTACAAATTAGTAAAAAGTGATTTAATGTTTAGTTTCTTAATAAAAAAAAAGATTAAAAACTAGTCAAACGTAACTTAGCTTGTTTTCCCTTCTCTTGAATCATTACAAATTTACGACTTAACCATATAATATATTATTGTAATAATAATTAATATGAACAAAACGCAAATAGTTTAGCTGATTGAACTGAATCACTGGTGTTTCTTTGGAAGAAAGTATCCGCCTCAAGCTCAAACTAGAGACTCGATCGAGCGAAAACTACCATGAACATTTAACAATATTTATTTTGGTTTTCAGTGCAAAAAAAGAAAAAGAAAAAAACACACATACTGATATTACAAGACCTGAAATTTTAAATCACTGAATTTGTTTTTTTTAAAATAGTACTGTATTATATATATTTCATGTATATATAGAGAGAAAACTATACATTTGGAAACAATATTCATTTAGGTTTCAGCGGGAAAAAAATGCATATTACAAAGACCTGAAAATTTTGAATTCACTGAATTTCGGGAAGTTAGTATATATATAGTATGTATTTTCTTAATACACTTCTGTCCAAGACTTTCTTGGTTGGTCTTCTAATCATAGTAAAATTTACTAATACATACTGAAGATGTTAGCTGATTAATCCATACATATATATTTATCTATATCGAAGTTTAGTTTACACAAAGAGGTTCACTTTGCCGAAGACAAAGGAAGCCCATACAAATGATTTGTTCACATGCAACATCATATACACTTAATCTCTCAACTCACTTTTTCACTTAATCCTTCTAAGTTTTAATATTTTAATTTTTAAAACCCTTTATTCAAACAAAAAATCAATATTATATAAAGAAAATATAGATTATGAAATGCTCCTAACAACCCCTTACAATGTGTATAAAATAAGTCTATATATACGAACATCACAATCAAACAAAACACATGCAAGACAGGCTATAAGAGACTTTATAATACACACCAAACTATGCAAAAACCATTTCAGAGAGCTCATCCTAACACACACTCCTTCACTATTCATATAAACGAACCATTAAATCATCATCGTTACTTGGACCATCATCATAATCACAATAACAAGACCTTCATAGGTTTATCTTCATCCATGAAGCTCTTCTCCAAATTCCGCAAGATTTTCATGAGGATCATCTTCATCTTTCCTTCCTCCTCCGCCACCGTGCGTCCTCACAAAACAGCTGACTCCGGCAATGGTTGTGAGAGGCTAGAGACGCCAAAGATATCGTGCAGTAATTCGTACTACTCCTCACACTCACACTACAGTGAAGCTATCTCAGATTGTATAGACTTTTTCAATAAGTCTCAACAAGAAAGTGAAGACCGGATTGTTCATGATCATGACGGTTTTTACGTTTAGTCAAACTTCAAAAATAAAATAAAAATGATCTCATGTTTTGTTTTTTTCTTCTTCTAAATAACTCAAATGTTCTTCTCTTAAGCCAAACTCTTATCAATCCGTATTCACAGTCTCTGCAAGTTTCCCTGTAAGTTAATTTCGAGTTCAATAACCCAAAACGGACCCCACACTTCTTGTTGTCTTCCATGAATGTTAGAGAACATGGCGACCTAGCTATTTTTGTTGATCCGTTTCCAACCAATTTCAAAGACAGCAGGTTGTATTTTGTTCTTTCCACTATCATTCCAAGAGACCAAAAGTTGTATCCGTAAGCGTTGTGTATGAAATCATATGATCGTCGAGTCAAAACATCATCACAACTAAAATCCGATTTTAACTTTATTTTGGAAAGCTAATTCTAAATAAATGTTTCTTTGCTATCAAAAACTTTTAAATTATGAGTATCTCAAAAATCTCTAATCATTAAACCTCCACAAGCTCAAGCCCTCCATTTTCACAAAGCTTCTTACACCACACCAGACGGGAGACGAAGAACGAGCTGTCCACCCATTAAACTGTTCCCCAAAACAGAACAAATTCTAAATCTTTAGACATTCAAAACATTTCAACAATATTGTGATTATATGATGGGCGTGGACCAAACGTTTTTTACCTCTGAACATAGTAATAGCAGAAATCTGCGAGAATGAAGGTTTGGACGATTTCAGAGATGAGGACCATTACAGGCCACAGTCCAGACCCTAATGCAGTCAGTAACCGCCCTCGCGTATCCAACACCTACACGCATTTAAATCATTTTTAGAAACAGTACGATAAATAGATAACAAGAGCTTATTATTTGTAGTCTAACAAGAATAAGAACTCCAAAACCTGAAGGATCCAGTGTGCACAACTCAAGAACCTAGCGATTCCCAAAGCAAATACGTAATGAGCTGTGAATGGTTCCACGATCTGAGAAAAATTACATAACATTCGAGAAAGATTCAGACTCAGCCCTGTGGTAGCAAAAACCTCAAGGCTTCAAAGCGCAGTAGTATCGAGTACCTTAGTGTTCTGCATGACTCTTAATTGAGGAAGAACTGAAACAGCTTCAAGATAAACACAGAATGCCCAAGAAATCCTGTTTATGATGTGGTGACGTGTTGATGGATGAATGAAGAAAGACAGAACAGCACATGGGATTACCTGAAGCAAGTCAGAATAAAGCTCTCAACAACAATCAATATACAAGTTCCAAAGGTCTTTTCTTGATTTAATGCTCGAGTGTTTGAGACAACTAAACAAGTTGAAATTGTGAACACATAAATTCTTCTATTACACAAGTTCCACACTCAAAAACACATGTAACATTATCTATCAACAAAAAGTTTGGTAAACTTACGACGAAGTAGATAGCAAAATTGTCCTTGTCTTCCATATAAGTGGGTCTAAGCTTGAAACGGATCATATAAATGACCCAAAGAGTGGTCACCAAAGTAGCTGAATCAAGTAATGTATGAAGATCAAACTCCATTACAAAGCTACAATACAATCTCACAGCCAGAAACAAAGCCGTTAGCTCCTGTGTCTTGAGAGATATCCCTGTAACAATCATCAAATTTCACAATGTCAAATTCCATGAAACAAATTCGATCATAACAAATTTCAGAATCAAATCTAATAGAACCCAGAAATTAAAAGCCCGTTATACCAGCGCAAGTCTTCTCCTTTGTGAGCTTGTAGATAAGAACAGCGATTCCAAAGGCATGAACAGCCTCAGAGGCAATGAAAAGGTTGTCGTGTTCATGAACAATCACCCTGAGGAAAACAAGCACCGTCATTGCCGTTACGACACCAAGAAAAGCCTTTACCTTTGGCGGTTGCCGGCGAATCCACGCCATCACGGACTGAATCGGACTCTTCTCCGCCTTCATCGTTCGATTTCTCCTCCACAAATTCGCCAAATAATACAAGATCTCTCTTTCTCTCTGTCTCTCTCTCAGATCAATGTGTGATTAATGAATGATAATCACACAACGTCCTCTTCGTATTGAATCTGTAGAATTCTTAACGCAACCAAACAATGCCATTACTTTCGCGAGGAGGACACGTGGAAGCTGTTAGGTGAGAGACTGATAGTTTCTGGTTTTTTTGCAAAGGTCTTGACTTTGCGACGTCTCTTGTCTGATTCATCTATCTATTTATTACACTAAACCGGTTTGGTTTTAAAGATGAATTCACATGCTCCGGTTTAATCAATTGGTACGTGTGATCGATCGTGTGGAGAAGAACGAGCCCATTAAGGGCCCAATAAAGAGCGCGTGTGGCTTTAAAACTTTAAATGCATCGAAACTCTCTTCTTTTTTTTTTGGTCTTGCAACTCCTAACGGTCTTATATCTCTCTAGAAAATCTCTCTCTTTATCTCTCTACAATTTTTCTTACCAACTTCTTCTGTGAAGTGTGCTTCTTCGATTGGTATTTCGAACTTGGGTTTTGCGAGATGGGTTTGAAATCAGCTTCTGGAGATTCTTCGGAACGGGAAAACTGGGAAACAATTTTCAAGAGTTTGGTCAAGATTCTACAGACGAAACAGGACCAGCTCGAGTCGCTACTCAAAGACAGGAAGATTCTTGAAAGTGAAATCAAGACTAAGCACGAAAATTGGATCTCTGATGTTCAAAATTACGAGGAACAACTCTCTCTGGTAAAAACCCCCTTTTTGATTCCTTGTTTTGGATAAAGTTAGGGTTTTTAGGGTTTCGTTCTCTGCTAAACAATTTTGAAGTGTAATGTCTTTAATTCCATGATATTTTTTTTGTTATTCAGATGATGAAAGAAATTGAAACGACAAAGATGATTCAGTTGCTGGAAACCTCTAAATGCAATCTCTTGTGTGGCTTAAAGGAGAAAGATCATTCTCTTTGCAATTTGAAACTAGGTGAGTGGCTAATTTGGTAAAGATTATAAAAAAGTTTGTTCCTTTCGTTTTCCACAACATATAAAGTTCCTTTCTTTGTCCAATTTTGAAATTGCAGAACATGCGATGGACGAGTTAAAAGACTTCAAGGCTTGGTTTGATTTCCTCACTCTGAATACAAATGTAAGTGAAAGTTTCAATTTTGTAAGCTCTTGTTGGGTTTTGTTGGTTTTGTTTGTTTTAGGATCTCAGACAATGCTTGTTGTTTTTATATAAAATGTGCAGATGGAGAATGAAAGTGGCAACTCAGAAGCTTCGGCTATTAAGTCATTGGAAGCAAAAATCAGAAAACTGAAACTTGAGTATGAGAAGCTTGCTTCTGAAAAGAAATGTGAGGTATCTGATCTTTTACGAGAAAACGGGTTTGCGTGGAATCAGTTCAAATGTATCGAGAGTGGATTCACTGATAAGTTAAAGAGGAAAGATGATGAGATCGCGCAAGCGAATACGAAAATTTCTAGTCTTATATCTTATCAAGAGCAGCTTCAGTCATCTAATCAAGAGAAGGATGAGACTATCTCAAGGTTAAAGGCTAAGATGGCCGAAATGGAGACGAATTCTACTAAGAAAGATGAGGAAATCTCAAAACTCACACGGGATCTAGAGTCTGCAAAGAAGTCTCGTGGGCTTACACCGGTTTTAACTCGATGCACCAAACTTGAAACGCGTAGCAATGGAAATACGGTGGGATCTCATATATCTACTAAGAAAGAGAAGGCTGCTGCATCAACAACAAACGAAAAGGTAGTTATACTTTAAATTTGAATATGCTTGTGGTGTGTGTGTTCTTAAATTCTTAGGAGTAGATAGAACAGAAGGTATTTAATTGATTTCGATCATCTAACAGCAGAAACATCTTGATTGACTTTTGAATCTTTTGATCAGGTAAGCAAAAGGTCAAAGAGGAAAAGAGTGAACATGACACCGGTCTCAGTTTCAGAAGTCCCAAAGCTGTTCACTTCAACTTTTAGACTTCCCAAGTTGAAGTCTCCAACTTCTGGAGCCAAATAGATTATATTTTAGTAGATAATTTAGGTTACTGAAATCTGCATGTAACCTATTTGTATTTAGGATCAATCGCCTGATGTATATTGACCACACCCATTAGCATCTAGCATAACTCTTACATTAATTTAGTTAGGAAACTCATATTGCATCTAGCAGCTTGTCTTTATTTCCTCTGTATTATTGTGTCTTGAAGCTTAACCAAAGAAGAAAGCAGCAATGGCGGAACATCTGGCAATTCAACAAAGATTTCAAGCGGCTTTGAAGAAGAGTTTTTTTTTTTTTGGTTTATTTTGTTTGTAACTGAGAATTTCCTTTTGTATGGCTTTGATATTTTGAATAAGATCATTTACTTATTCTTGTCCTTGGTATTGTTTGTAGAATCACTGACTGTGAAAGTGAGCTTTCTCACTCACACCAATTTGAAATCCAACTTATTCGATTCTGTGTACAAGTATGACTTATTGCAGAAAAGTTGTCTTAAACCGGTTTGTTCATTAAACCACCAAATTTCGGTCCGGTTCAGTGAAATGATTTTGCTTTTTGGTTTAGACGACGCCGTCTCAAGCTTCCTTTTATTTTTGGATTAGGGCACAATTGACGGAGGAACACAGCGGTTTCTCCTTCTCAAATCTCTCACAAAATTTCAGCAAAGGTTTCGACTTTTTTTTAATTTGGTAGAAGAAGAAGATGCCACCGTCGGAGGATGCGAAGGCTATGAAGAAAAAAGAGGAGGCTGAGGAAGACAATAAGAGCTTGAGTTCCATTGTGAAGAAGAAGCCCACGAACGCCAACAATGCTGGTTCGAAGAAATTGAAGAAAGAAGAGAGCGATGATGATGATGATGATAACAAACCCATCAAGTCATCTGTATCTGGGTCTCGAGCTAAGCCAGTGAAGAAGAAGGAAGAGATTGATAAAGACGATGAGAAGAAGCCTGTTGCTAAGAGGAATTCTTCTGTTGGAGCCTCAAATGTAAGTTTAAAAAAAAACTTTCTCTCTGTGTTTGAGTAAAAATATTGAGGATGGTGACGAATTTGATGAGGCATTGTGTTGATGAGTCTCTCTTTGGTTATAGGAGAAGAAGAAAACAGAGAAAGAAGAAGAAGCAAAGAAAAAGAGAGAAAGAAAAGTATATGATTTGCCTGGTCAGAAGAGAGACCAGCCTGAGGAGGTATCTTTTTGCTGCTCTCTTTCTCTGGTTTTAGATTTGTTGGCGAATTCGTTTGAAGAATTTCTCTTGTTGATTTTGCAATTCTGCAGAGAGATCCACTTAGGATTTTCTATGAGTCACTTTACAAGCAAATTCCCACTAGCGACATGGCTCAGATTTGGTGAGCTTTTCTATTCCTTTCTCTGCCTTACTTTGTTCTGCAACTTAAAAACGCTTACACTTATGTATTGGTTTGGTGTGTATCTGATAATTTTGTGTTTGATCACTCAATGTGCAAACTGAGTCCTACACCTTGAAATATTCTTTTGAGACTTGATGCATACTTGTGTTTGATCTTCGATGGTCCCTTGTGTTTTGTGACATGGCACTAAGCTCACATGGATTTTGAACATCATAAAGAGACTCACATTGTTTGTAAGAAAAGAGTGTCCTTTCAAACCAATCACAAAGTCTTATTATATCTGTGATGGTTATTGTGTGGGTTGTTCATCGTTTGCTTTTAGATTGCTCTGTTTCTTTGTAACCCTTTTGTGTTTTTGATCACAGGTTGATGGAGTCTGGATTGCTTCCAGCTGAAAAAGCAAAGAAAGTTCTTGAGAAGAAACAGCAAAAGGGTGGAAAGTTCAGTTCTCCAGTAAAATCTGCAGCTTCTACTCCAAGAAGCAACTCCAAAGCAGTGACCATGAAGAAGAAGGAAGCAAAAAAGTCACCATCTGAAGCTTTGTCAAACAAAAAGAAGGGGAATGATTCGAAACCAACCACGAAGAAGAGGAAGAAGAACTCTGATGATGATGGTGATGATGATGACTCAGATGATGATTTTTTGGCTAGCAGAGTCTCTAAAAAGGCTAGAGCCAAGTAGGTTGAATTAAAAGACTGAAATCTCATTGTGTGATTTTTAATCCTATTTTAATGAGTCAATTTGTAGAATCCTTAACAGGTGAATTCTTTTAAGAGTAATGAGAGAGATGGCAAATTGTTTCTGATCTTATTGTGTGCACTTGTTCTCTAATTATTAAGCAAGCTAGAAAATAAAACTAAGACTTGGTCACGTTTGGCTTAGAACATGATGGTTACTCTTTATCCAAGTCACTACTTTGTAATATCGTCATTCTGCCTAGCGGAAAAGCCGTTGAACTGATCTTTGAGGCACTTTTCCTTGGAGCTTTAGTCTTCGATAGGACTCTCTGATATGACAAGGTCTAATAGGTCCTGATTCATTCCTTTCCCTCATAACAACTCGAGCTGTTTCCACAAGGTCACCAACAAACATCTTTGTGATACCACGCACAACGATATTCATAGTGTCGTCGATCTTCGGACCCCCTGTGATTCTCTGTACTAACTTCTCCATGTCTGATTTTTTAAAAGCAGATCTCCTGAAAGATTCATATCTGCTCATTTGATCCTCTGTGAATTGTGATAAAATGGTCTGCATCTTGTTAGCCATCTTCACAGGATCAGCACCAGTTGTGTTTTTGGTGAGCTCAACAACGGACGTTTTACATCTCTTCACAGCTCTCTCATCTTCTTCAACAGGTACTGCTTCAAACGGATCATTGGAATGCTTCATTCCTGATAAAACCTATACGAAAATCACATGTTTTTGGGATCTTAAACTCCCTCTACATATATATAAAAAGATTGATTAGATGGCTTATCTTAGACGTACCCGCAATTAAAGGCCGTTTGTTGTCAAGCCCAATTTAATGGCCCAAATTTATTAGTCGGCTAGGAACGCAATATCTTCGTTTATATAGGTAAATTTTGAGCTTCCCTTTATTTTTTTTTTACCGATGTGGGACTCATAAGAGAAGTAGGAAATTAACGCAGTAGCTTGAGAAGCAAGGAAGTATTAACTAAAATGGGAAATACATAACACCCAAAAAAATGGAAATTCAAACTTTCTTTCAACAATTACTTAAACAAGCAACAAACAAAAACACTTAAAACAAATTTCCCATTTTCTCAGAGTTTTAATTTTAATCAAATTTAAAAAGAGATATTATCAAGAGTCGTTTCCTTCTCTCTTTTTTTGAAGTATATAATGTTTGATGTGATGGATCAAGTCTCGTAAGCTTCCCCCTCTTCTTCTTCATCTTCATACTCACCTTCCTCATCAGCAGTAGCATCTTGGTACTGTTGGTATTCAGCAACCAAATCATTCATATTGCTCTCAGCTTCCGTAAACTCCATTTCATCCATTCCTTCTCCTGTGTACCAATGCAGAAACGCTTTACGCCTAAACATAGCCGTGAATTGTTCACTCACTCTCCTGAACATTTCTTGGATCGACGTCGAGTTACCGACAAATGTCGCTGCCATTTTGAGTCCCTTTGGTGGGATATCACAAACGCTTGATTTCACATTGTTTGGGATCCACTCAACGAAGTAAGAAGAGTTCTTGTTCTGTATGTTTAGGATTTGCTCATCGACTTCTTTTGTGCTCATCTGTCCTCTGAAAATAGCAGATGCTGTGAGGTAACGTCCGTGACGTGGATCAGCTGCACACATCATGTTTTTGGAGTCCCACATTTGTTGAGTCAGCTCAGGGACTGTGAGTGAGATGTATTGTTGTGAGCCACGGGAAGTTAGCGGCGCGAAACCCACCATGAAGAAATGGAGACGAGGGAATGGGATTAGGTTCACCGCGAGTTTCCTGAGGTCAGAGTTTAGCTGTCCCGGGAACCTTAAGGAGCAAGTCACACCACTCATTGTTGCGGAGATCAAATGGTTCAAGTCTCCAACTACATCATCATACAAAATATCAGGTTTAGTTTTAAACACATTTTGGGTTCTTGGAGGATACGGATTCAAAGTACTTACAGCTAGGAGTACTGAGTTTGAGGGTGCGGAAGCAGATGTCGTAGAGAGCTTCATTGTCGAGGACCATGCATTCATCAGCGTTCTCTACAAGCTGGTGTACAGAGAGAGTTGCATTGTAAGGCTCAACGACGGTGTCAGAGACTTTAGGAGATGGGAAAACAGAGAAAGTGAGCATCATTCTGTCTGGATACTCCTCTCGGATCTTTGATATCAATAGAGTTCCCATTCCTGAACCTGTGCCTCCTCCCAAAGAGTGGCACACCTGAAACCCTGTAGATTATTGCAGCTCCATGATTCATAATGATAGGTAACAATGATTCCATCAAATGCAGAGACAAAAGAGTGAGTGTTACGTTCATAGTCAAGCAAAACAACAACCATCCACTAGAGAAAACATGAATATCATCATCACTATCTGCAAAACAATGTTTATTGTGAATCCACGATGCTTAAAATCAATAATCAATTGAAAAATACATATATTTCTCCACAATAATATCAACGAACTAGTCATAGTTTATATCTGAAGTTCAATAATCAAAGTATAAACGTATCACGTGAGACCTGACCACGAATCACGTGAGACTGTTGTTGGGGCTCCACAAGCATTATCTCTAAACTCTTAAGGCAAAAGAGATTTTACTAACTTTTTACTACAAAATTCCAAGAAATCTATATCTAGTAGGACCACTCAATCTTTTACCCGCAATCACGGTGACCTTGAAATCAGTGGCGGATCTAAAAAAATATTTAGCATGGGGCACAATTTATTTATTTATATTTTTCAAAAATATTATATATCTTAGTCGTAATCAAAATATAAATTTCGTGATAAAATATGTAGTTCATTAATATAAATGTATTTTTTTATCTTTTACAATCTATGTAGCTGCGTTTAGAAAAAAAATATATTTTTGTAATTATTTTAACATATTAAAAATATTGTAGTACACATGATAATTAATCAGTTAATGAATAAATATCAAAATAATTTAAAACTGACAACTAAATAAGGATGTTGGAGCTAACTGGATGATTAAATTAATGTTTGTGGTGGAGGAAAAAAAAATAAAAGAAAAAATTGTGGCTTAGACTAAAGTCGAACCCTGGTATGAAGAAATATTGAACTTAACATAACCAACACAGCGGTATGATTCTATTACTACATGCTAATCAAACGAAAATTTATAGAAGTAGTGTGGGGCACGTGCCCCACCCATCCACTACCTAGATCCGCCCCTGCTTGAAATGTTTTGATCACGACATCGCAATGATATAATACCTTATCTCTGCAGCTTTAATATTGAAAAAAACTTGATAAAAATATCTCAATACTATACAAAACAGCTTGACCCTACCAATAATAAGTGATAACATCCCACTTCACACAAAACAGAGCACTTGCATTTCAATTATTATTTTTGCTGTCTTGCAATTACATTAAATAAGACGATTTGATAGATCGTATTATTGAAGAAGAACCCACACACCAATAATAGATAAACAAGATCATCAAAGTAAAATACTAAATAACATTGAAGGATAATGAACTTAAGTAACTGGTGTATGAAACTTATACTAAACCGTGATCTATTCATTGAACTCGTGACTATTTCTACTAAGTAGATAGATAGCATACTATATAACAAGAAGAGATCTATGAATATAAACGATGATGGATACAGTGACGTTAAACAAAATTACGAATGAAATTAACTAGAATTTCAACATTATAGAAAGTTTATGTATAATGGAAAATTCAATATAAGATATATGTAAATACCTTGAAGGCAATCGCAGTTCTCAGCTTCTTTACGAACAACATCAAGAACAGCATCAATAAGTTCAGCTCCTTCAGTATAATGACCTTTAGCCCAATTATTACCAGCACCAGACTGACCAAAGACAAAGTTATCAGGACGGAAGATCTGACCAAACGGTCCGGATCTGATACTATCCATAGTGCCAGGCTCAAGATCCATGAGAACAGCACGAGGAACGTATCTTCCACCTGAAGCTTCATTGTAATAGACATTGATACGTTCGAGCTGGAGATCTGCAGTGTCTCCACTATAACGTCCGGTGGAATCGATACCGTGCTCGTCGCAGATGACTTCCCAGAACTTGGAACCAATCTGGTTTCCGCATTGACCACCTTGAATGTGAAGGATCTCTCTCATTGTGTTAGTGTGTGTGGTGGTTCACAAGATCGAGAGAGAGAGAGATGGTGAAGGAATCTGAAAGATGGGGAGAGACACCTAATATAACCAATTGTCTCTGTTATTCACTTCCCTCGCTTGAGGTTTTTATCCTCTGTTTTTTCACCCCACCTAACACTTTTTTTATCTTAGTCATTTTCTTTACATTGTCTTATTTACTCAGATTTTTACTGCCCAAATCTTTTTTTTTTATGTATATTTTTAAAATAAGTCGTTTGATAGATCATAAACGTCATTTTTTTCTCTTGCCATTTATATCAATGTATGGCCGATCATAATCAAAATCTTTGTGAAAAAATTAGAACCATGGTCAATATAAATCCTGCATTTAATTTTCATTTAAATCATTTATTTTCAGGAAAAAAGAAATATGATTCTTTTCTCTGAGATATGTTTGCATTGCCAAAAAGAAAATAAAAAAAAGAGGTGACATGATTTGAGATTTAGATTCAGTGTTTCATTAGCAAGGATTGAGCAACTTGGAGCATGCATGTGCATATATTGCCAATATGTTGTATACACATGAACATGTCTATCAAAGACAAATTTTGTCATATTTTTTTCCCAGTTGTAGAGGGACATCAGAGGAATGGAAGCACGTTATGCAAAATGTTATTTATTGAAACCTATTGTATATTTCCAATTTTCATTAATATAGTTATTTTTTCATATACATAAATCGTGTGTTAACAAAAAAAAAAGGCAGGGAAGAAGAAAAATTGCAATTTCAGAATTCGATCCAGTTAAATTATAAATGGGCCATAAAGGTAGATAAACTTACGAGCCCACTAAATAAAACGCCGACGTATCTATAAAAGAAAACCCTAAACCCTAGACTATCGGCCTCATCGTCCTTTAAAAGGCTATCTCTAGTCTTCGTAAACATTATCGCCGGCTATCATCAACTTGTTCCTCTGTTCTTCTTTTTTATTTTTGTCTCTTAAGAGCTTTAACCTTTGATCTTGTTTAGTTAATTTTGCAAAAGAAAACGATTTTTATGTGAAGAAGTTAAATTCAAGTGATGAGATTTGATCTAAAATTCTCACGACGGTCGTCTGAGGCCTTTTGTGGCCGATTGATGTACCGATCACTCCTCTCTGATGATAAACTTTCTTCTTTCCCAAATCAAACTTTGTTTTTGTTTTTAACCAAACTTTTTTTGATTTTATTATAATTAGTTTGTATTGATATTGGTTTTGGTATTATCTTGGAGATGATCATGGTTTAATTCCCTTAAGGAGATGTCCGAAGCATTGAAGAACAACAAAGCATACATATTGACCAACTGTGAAACTATTTTTCACAGAATTTACTATCTAAACCATAAGTTTCTCTCAATTAACATAAACAAGATTGTGAATTGAATGTTGTATTAATTCTCTGAATTAGAATTCGATTATGGCTCAAAATTTGCGGAGGAATTATCAAAGTGTATATAGGCCCGTTGTTTCAGGATTTTGAAGTGAAAATAATAGTTTACTTCGAAGTTCGAACTCTATTTTATTCGATACAATCAAAGCGCACTCTAGCAAAAACAGTTTACTCTCTAGACACAATCATCTGCGTGACACTTGTGTTCTGCACAGGATTTGTCAACCCGGTTCGGTATTACATTTGATCCGATTAGTTAACCGGTAAGTAATTTTCGGTTTAAATAAATTGGTACGACCATGTTTTAACTTGTCTCCTCGATAGATATAGGGTAAACGACCTGTGTCCCCCTAGGAAGTTTCATATAGTATCACAACTACACAGAATTCGGACCTCGACCGCAGTCCACACAGATCAGAAGTTAAACTCCAGTTTCTCCCCAAATCAAAAGTTCGAGACCTTGGTCCCCAAAATTTTGAATTTCGTGGTTTATTTGTGATTTACTGTACCGAACCGATGCCATATCTGTGGTTTACTGTACCGAACCGATGCCAAACCAAAACCCAGTAGAATAAACCGAATTGAAATCCTTAAACTTAATTAAACATAATCGAGCAATGAATTTTGTAATTAATTTCAAAATTTCATTAATTTTCCGAATATATGTTTTATTTATAAGGTTTATTGCGTTAAGATGTGGGTGTCTTTCGATTTTGCCGAGTTCTCCGGCAGCTCAACGATGGTGACTCGCTTAAGACTCGTTTCGAGATCTTCTCCGCCTTCTCGCTATCATCTCCGTCGTTGAAACACGAATATTTGCTACAAAGTCAAATCAGTTTGTTAATTATTTTCATATATGGGAATGAATCGACATCTAACATGCCGATTGGCTTCAGATGTGTTTAAACCTTATCGCCATTGTCATCACCAAGGTATCCTAGATAATCACGAAACTCTTTTTTTATTTTATTTTATGGATAACTATTTTTCTTTAAAAGGAAATGAAACTAGAAAAAACCAAACAAAAAAAACAGTTTACCACCTCAACAATTCTTCGAAGAGATGGAGGATATGAAGCCATGTGCCGCAAACTCGCCGCCGTTGACCCCGATAGGTTTCTTAGAGAGAGCCGCCACCGTTTACGGTGACTGTACCTCCATCGTTTACGGAACTAACACCGTTTACACGTGGCGTGAAACAAACCTCCGTTGCCTCCGCGTCGCGTCTTCTCTGTCTTCAATCAGGATCGGCAGGTCCGACGTCGTCTCCGTTCTCTCTCCCAATACTCCGGCGATGTACGAGCTCCAGTTCGCTGTTCCCATGTCCGGCGCAATCCTCAACAACATCAACACACGCCTCGACGCACGCACCGTCTCTGTTCTTCTCCGTCACTGTGGATCTAAGCTTCTCTTCGTCGACGTCTTCTCCGTCGATCTCGATTATGTTTAATTAAGTTTAAGGATTTCAATTCGGTTTATTCTACTAGGTTTTGGTTTGGCATCGGTTCGGTACAGTAAACCACATATATGGCATCGGTTCGGTACAGTAAACCACAAATAAACCACGAAATTCAAAATTTTGGGGACCAAGGTCTCGAACTTTTGATTTGGGGAGAAACTGGAGTTTAACTTCTGATCTGTGTGGACTGCGGTCGAGGTCCGAATTCTGTGTAGTTGTGATACTATATAAAACTTCCTAGGGGGACACAGGTCGTTTACCCATAGATATAACATGTTTTAGTTGGAAGGAGAAATATTTTAGTTAGAAGTCATGAACCATATATGATTTGAAAAGAAAACAAATTTGATATGAAATCCATTAGTTAATAATTATATATAAAGACCACATTAATAACCAAAGATAAATGACAAAAGTTGATTATCAGACGGTAACAGAGAGACACTCCTTAATTCGCTTGGAATAATATCAAACAATCGAAATTAAGCAAAACCCCATTTTTCCCCTTTCTTATTAAAATCGTAAAATAAAAATAATAATAAATTTGTGACAAACAAAAGAAGAGTGGAATTTTTGTTATCTAGGATTTAAAATTCTAAGTTTTTATTTGACTTTTTCTCATGGAGTAATTCACGAAAACGAACAAAAGATAAACAAAAAACAGATCAAGGATTACCAAAAAAAAAAAACGCTCGCAAAACTATGGGCCGGGTAACCAGCCTAATAATTTAAAGTGGGTTTAGCTTAAGGCCCACGTTAAATAAATGGAAACTAGAAAAAAGTAAAAGTTATGTTAACCAAAAAAAAGGAAATTAGTCGTTACCAAAAAAAGGAAATCAGCCAGCTGGCACCGCCGTAAGTAGTGTTTATAAAAAGAGAAAGCTTATCAGAGAGAGTCAGAATTTTGTTTTGCGTTCTTCTTTCTCTGTTTGTCATATTTCTCTCGATCGCTATATCATCATGACGGAAGGCTATTTCTAGCGATAATCACTGTAAGAATTCTTCCAATTCTTTTGATTTCTAGGGTTTTTAAATTTAACTATTAATCAATTCTTTCTCTGTTTCGCATGTTTCTCTCGATCGAATCATTCATGACCGAAGAAGTTTTGTAGCGATAATCACTGTAAGATTTCTTCTCTCTTGCTTTCTAGGGTTACTAAATTTCACTATTATCAGTTTTTTTTTGTTTTGTTCTTTTGGTTTTCTTTTTGTTTTGAAGCGGCTTTGATAATTTGAAAACAAAACGAATCGCGACTCTGCGTTTCAAAGTTTTCTGAGAATTATTACAAGTTCGTTCTTCTTCTTTTTTGTGTGACTTGATTTTGTTTAAGAGGGTTTGGTTTACGTCTTTTCTTTTGCTTTGTAGCGCTTTCTATACTTTGATTAAGCGTGAAATTGTTGCGATCGTCTGTGGTTTGTTGCTCTGTGTTTTTCTGTTTTGTTTTTCTTAGATTTCTTCCTTGTTTTGTTTTATTTTTTCAAAACCCAAGAGAGATCATAGGCAGACACTCAACTATTAGTGTTCTGTCAGATTCTTTTTTGGGGACATTGTCCCGTCGAGTTTGGACCCATGGCTTATGAGGGATTTTTGACCTGAGACTGAAAACCGATCCATTACCCACGGCTTATTATTTTGACAAATATACTTGGGATTGGTTTCAGTTTAATGGTCAAAGATCCAGTTACCCACGGCTTAAAAAAGTCTTTAGACAAAGACTTGAGATTCGGAAAAACCAATCCTTTAGACAAAAGATTGGATTGGGTTATGTTTGGTGGAAGGAAAATGGTACCCACGGCTTCGAACTTTAGTCTTTAGACTGACACTGATTCTGAACATTGATCCTTCTTGGTACCCACGGCTTGAAAATCTCTAGACATATGGATCATGTTCGGTTTCTTGTTTCAGTCTTTAGACAAAGAAACAGTTACCCACGGCTTAAAAAGGTCTTTAGACAGAGACTTGAGGTTCTAAAAACCAACCCTTTAGACAAAAGATTGGATTGGGTTATGTTTGGTGGAATGAAAATGGTACCCACGGCTTAAACACAAGTCTTTAGACTGAGACTGATTCTGAACACTGATCCTTCTTGGTACCCACGGCTTGAAAATCTCTAGACATATGGATCATGCTCGGTTTCTTGTTTCAGTCTTTAGACAAAAAAACAGTTACCCACGGCTTAAGAAGGTCTTTAGACAGAGACTTGAGGTTCTAAAAACCAACCCTTTAGACAAAAGATTGGATTGGGTTATGTTTGGTGGAATGAAACTGGTACCCACGGCTTAAACATAAGTCTTTATACTGAGACTGATTCTGAACATTGATCCTTCTTGGTACCCACGGCTTGAAAACCTCTAGACATATGGATCATGTTCGGTTTCTTGTTTCAATCTTTAGACAAAGAAACAGTTACCCGTTACCCACAGCTTAAAAAGGTCTTTAGACAGAGACTTGAGGTTCTAAAAACCAACCCTTTAGACAAAAGATTGGATTGGGTTATGTTTGGTGGAATGAAAATGGTACCCACGGCTTTAAACTTTGGTCTTTAGACTGAGACTAATTCTGAACATTGGTCCTTCTTGGTACCCACGGCTTGAAAATCTTTAGACATATGGATCATGTTCGGTTTCTTGTTTCAGTCTTTAGACAAAGAAACAGTTACCCACGGCTTAAGATGGTCTTTAGACAGAGACTTGAGGTTCTAAAAACCAACCATTTAGACAAAAGATTGGATTGGGTTATGTTTGGTGGAATGAAACTAGTACCCACGGCTTAAACATAAGTCTTTAGACTGAGACTGATTCTGAACATTGATCCTTCTTGGTACCCACGGCTTGAAAACCTCTAGACATATGGATCATGTTCGGTTTCTTGTTTCAGTCTTTAGACAAAGAAACAGTTACCCATGGCTTAAAAAGGTCTTTAGACAGAGACTTGAGGTTCTAAAAACCAACCCTTTAGACAAAAGATTGGATTGAGTTATGTTTGGTGGAATGAACATGGTACCCACGGCTTCCAACATTAGCCTTTAGACTGAGACTGATTCTGAACATTGATCTTCTTGGTACCCACGGCTTTAAAATCTCTAGACATATGGATCATGTTCGGTTTCTTGTTTCAGTCTTTAGTCAAAGATCAAGTTACCCACGGCTTAATAAAGTCTTTAGACAGAGACTTGAGGTTCGATAAAAACCAATCCTTTAGACAAAAGATTGGATTGGGTTATGTTTGGTGGAATGAAAATGGTACCCACGGCTTTAAACTTTGGTCTTTAGACTGAGACTAATTCTGAACATTGGTCCTTCTTGGTACCCACGGCTTGAAAATCTTTAGACATATGGATCATGTTCGGTTTTTTGTTTCAGTCTTTAGTCAAAGATCAAGTTACCCATAGCTTTAAAAAGTCTTTAATCATAGACTTGAGGTTCGAAAAAAAACAATCCTTTAGACAAAAGATTGGATTGGGTTATGTTTGGTTAAAGGGAATGGTACCCATGGCTTCAAACATTAGTCTTTAGACTGAGACTGATTCTGAACATTGTTCCTTCTTGGTACCCACGGCTTGATCTACAAGACGATGTTAAACTAACCGGATTTTGGATCCTGTCATTGATCGTTAGCGATTCCACAAATTCAACTTGTTTTCGCATCGTTATGTAGATTTAGCATACAAAAATCTGTTGAAAACAAAAAACATACAAGTTTTCTTATTAGCATGTTACGAAGCTTGTAAGAGGGTTTGCTGATGTGTGGATTTGTGTACAATTTGTATGAATAGACTTTAAAAAAAATACATGGTTCAGTTTTTAAGATTAGAAAGATCAGTTAGGATCAAAGGGGATAATGGAAGATTCAAGATTGAAAGCAGAAAAGGAGAGGTCGATAAAAATAAAAGAATACATGTTGCTCTTTTTGTTTGTTATGGGATCAGCCAATCAATATTTCACCAACTTGCTAATATGTAAAAGACAGACAAAAAGAGTAACAGTGAAGATGATGGTTGTGATGTGATGAAAATCTATGCCGTTTAAGAAAAGTGAGTATCAATTAGCTGAGCTTTGTAAACTAAGAATGAACAAGTTCCAAAATAATTAGATCCAAAAGATCTTCCCATGGTGCTTGGTTGTGAAAATGCTAACTGAGATTTCTCCAACATGCACCCATTGTTGCAAAAGCTTTCCCTGCGATTTTACACAAACAAACAAACAAAATGTCACCATAATGTATGAATGTTTGTTTACCATGACAATGGTTTTAGGTTCTTTACCTCGTGGTATCGAGTAACCATGTGGCTATGCCTTTTCTTCTGTTAGAAGGTGAGGCCCAAATCGCTCTAATCCCACAAACAGCCGGTTTAGCTTCTTCCTCACATACAATTGCTCCGTAATCTAATCTATCATCTGATGCTCGACATCTTTTAGATACTTCTCTTTGTAACACAATGTTTCCAAACTGAATGGAGGTTGAAGGCGAGGAGGTGCTCTCTTTTTGTAACTGTTTTTCATCATCAGGAGAAGCTATGAGCTTAAATGCTTCCTTAGTTGGTTCTGCAACAAGACATCCGGAGATCCTCTGAGTGGATATGAATAGATAAACCTATACATAACGAGGTAGTTCTTGAAACAACTGAGGAAAGTAATTAGAGGTTATATCATCTTTCTTGTGAATTTGTTGAATGATGCATCTAAAGAAATCAAAGAAACTCTTCTTTTCAGGTTTCTTCTTATTTTCAGGCAATCAGCTTTCTTGTTTGATTCCAATGCTAATCATAGACATGGAAGGAATCAGACTAAGTCGAAGTTTTCATCTTTTAAAGTTAACCATAGTAGAGCAAATATTCACCATGCTTCCCAACAAGTTGTATCAGATACCAATTGGCTCAATATAGTAGACATCAAAATACTAAAAAAAACACTCATGAGCTATGGAATATATCCGCAAATGACTGTTAAGACGTGGAAACAGGCTCATACCTTACAATGTTGGTGAAGAATCCAATCCTCACCTAACTCAACCTCCATCATTTTCACAACCTCTTGCACCTGCAATTACAAAAGATCCATCGTTTAGGTCCTCTAAACGAAGAACCGGTACCATAAACAGGGGCAAGTTGAATTGTGAAAAGAATGGACCTTGTTTCTGTGTGCAGGGGAATCATTTTCTGATACCACAATGATGCGGTTCTTGTTGAACGAAGGCTTCCCGATGCATCCCTTAAGCACTTAACTTCTGAATACCCAAAAATAAGAGACACACAAACAGAAACCCAATTACAAATGGCTGCAAGATGGAATCCAACCTCACCCAAAAAAACCTCAAAGGGATTTACTTTAAGAAAACCCAGAAAATCAGGAGTTGCCTATCGCTTATTTTCGATTCTCTTACTCTGAAGAACACGAATAATGTAGAAAATTCGAAGAGAAGGAAAACCGCCAAAGATGATTGATTTACCTATCGGGTATCGCAGACGCTCATAGGTGTTGACGATGGCGTTCCGATTGTTCTCCCAGACAGCTAAGCCATGTTCTGTGTCTGCTGATGTTACTGGGGAAGAGATAGAAGATGAAGAAGAAGAGGGTTTGAAGAAAGAATTGATTTTGGCTTGCATCGTACAGAGAGAGCTCGAATCTTTCTTAGGTTTGTGTTTGTTTTCCCCTTTACTTCTCTGATTTTGGCGCTAATGGAATTTTTTTGTCAAATAAATTCAATTTTTATGCCGATTCCTACCTAAACTTATGTAAACCAAAGAAACTACAGATTCAAAGCATAAAAATTGGCCAACTGTGAAACTATTTTTCACAGAATTTACAATCTGCACCATAAGTTTCTCTTAATTAACGTAAACGAGATTGTGAACTGAATGTTGTGTTAATGACTTCATTCTCTTTGAATTAGAATTCGATTATGGCTCAAGAATTGCTGGCAGAATTTTTATAAAAATCAATTAAGCATCTATACTAGTATAATCGCAGCACTTTTTGTGACGGGTGGGTAAAAAAGCTTTCGGGTATATCGGATACCCGACCCATTTTAAAAATTCTTTCACAAAAAATTTGTTGGGTCGGGTTATATTTAACCCAACTCATACACCGGATATTCCATATTTAATAATTTAGATTTTTAGAAGATTTGATTAAGATTTATAATTATGATTCTCCTATCATCTTTGTATGATTTGTTTTTAACTGTTTTGAATCATCATATAATACATAAACTAAAAAAAAAATCTATTTTTTTTCTGCATATACTGTGATTCGAAATTTTAAAAACGGACATATATTATCCAATTGACGAAAATGTGTGTTCAACGTTCTACATCGATTAAAATATATAAACAATGATTCAGAATCATATCATAAATAAGAACATTAATAAAATAAATGAGTTTTTTTGGCGGGATGGGTTTGCGGAACGGGTTTTTGAATCAACAATAATAAAAAGATTAAAATATCATTAATCCGCCGCTTCAATACGGATTTAATCCTTATTTTTTTTAATACAAATCACAGGACGGGTTAAGAAATTACGGAACGGGTTATATTTCGGAAATGATTTATATGGCAGACGAATTTGAATCAATATTTATATACCGCTTTAATACGGGTTAAATCCTCAGTTTATTAATAATTATCTCGTGGACTCGTGGTATACCGTTACTTAATAATAATTGTAAACTATAATATAAATAAATATGTTATAAGGAGATACAATTTACAAAATATTTTTATACTAACTTTAAAATTAAATCATCCCGCGGTGTACCGCGGGTTAAAATCTAGTATAAACTTATAACAATACTTAATTAAAAAAATTTGTCAACAATATTAAGCTAGATATTTAAAGTTTTACCAGGCATAATTATCATATAAAAATCTTATTTATTAAAATTAAGAATAAATTGTTTAATTTTTTGAAAATAACCAAACTTATTGTTTTCTTCCTTAGTTCGCAAATTTATAATTTTGGTTAATTATTAATCTGTTCCGCTAACATTGTAAATAAATTTACACCAAACAAAATTTACTTGCTAATTTTTATTATGAACCTTACCAATTTCATCGATATTTATGCTTTTAATTTTTTAAGAAAAATTAACTATTTTTTTATATAATTATCAAGCAAACTTTATGAAAATTTTGATTTCTAATATTAAAGTATTCATATTTATTAAAAACATAATAAGAATAAAATCATTACAAATTTTAAAATATTATGTAACCAATTGATGTGACCATGATTCCTCAAGTTTTTCTCAAGTTTATATTTGTATAAATGATGTAACAAAGAAAAATTCCACAACATTTCCTCAAGAATTTCTCAAACTTCATGTCACCATCTAGACCCATATATGATTTGAAAACAAAACAAATTTGAAATATGAAATCAAATTTAATATTAGTTTAGTAAAATGCTTCATTTTTCAATAAATGATACACGTAGTTCATATTTTTTATTTTACTTTCAGTTATGTTTAGTATTTTTTTTCTCAAAATAAATTTTAGATTAATTAGTTGTTGTGTTTATCTTGAATTGTGACCTTTCACAAAAATATAAGTAAGAATTTTGAAAACAAGGTACGCAAAAAAAAAAACATGATATCTAATAAGAATAAAATTATCAATATGTAAGAAGATATTAGATATTTTATAATCATTTCTTAGGAAAACACAAACAAAAATGGAAAGAAAATTAATGTTAAATAAAAAAAGAATATGAATGGGGTCAAAAGTAGAAATATTATAGAAAAACATCTAATAATTAGTGGTAACTTATCTTATAATTATAAAATTTGCAAATTGTATGGGGATCAACTAACCTTTTTACCCATTGATTAGCTCCGTCCTTGTGCTAGATGAGTATTGTGAGGGGCATGCTGATCAGGAAGTGGACGCCGTTCAGGCGTTGGAGGATTTCGATAAAAAATTTGTAAATGTGGATGAAGCCGCCAACTCATAATGGTACGTACGTATACCTATAGATATAGATAGCTATATTATATTCATTGCATGGATATATAGCCTTAGGTTTTTTTGTGTTAGAGTTAATTCTTATTAATTAATTAATTTTTTTTTTTTTGTATTGTCAAGGGGTTCACGTGATATGGGGGTTGGCGGTCTTCTGACTCTTGCTATCGTCTATCGATCGAGCGAATGAGACAAAGGCCAAAATTCCGGTCATAAGCCACATCCCGACTCCCGAGGGATTAGGGAAAAAAATCAAAGTTATATATCATCGTCACTAAAGAATTATAAATATGTGTGTGTGTGTGAATTTCAACTTTTTTTCCTTTTTTAAGCATGTGTGGGTATGAGATTATTTATACTCTCTGTAAGAAAATAAAATAATAGAGAAAGAAAGTATATGGGTGATATTATTCATGTGTATAGCATTCGGAACAGCCTAAAATGGACCGTCTCACGTATAGTTCAGGTGATGCAACGATAGACCGAAACATCTTGGAAACAAGAGAGAGCGTTGGATAGTAGCATCTCGGTACACGTGCTATGCAATCCATGATCAACTCTCGTGGAAGTGATATCTCACAGGTAGACCAGGATTCAACAATCACCGAATAAAAAGAAAACAATTCACAACTTCAATTTTCTATACATCATTTGTGCTAATGTACACCATTTATATATGTATTGGCATCAATTGAAAAGTGAAAAGGTATAATAAAACATAATTTTGATCAAGTACGAAAGTTATGGGTGATAATATCTTGTCCAAAAATGAAACATTGTAAAGTATATATAAAGTTTTTGGTAGAAAATTTTATAATTAAAGTTTGACCACATCATATTTTTTGGTTTGCTTTATAATTAAAGTTTTTTTTTAAAAATTAAATAAAATTGGATTGTGTCTAATGAGATTTGAAACTTAAGGGTACTAATTTACTATCTATTAAATTTGTTCTGGAAAATGAAAAAGCAATATAATTATGGGATTTGCATACATGTGTTAAATTTTTTGTTTTGACATCATACTTGAGTTGATTTTCGTATTTTATACACACGAGATATTTAAAGGGAAAAAAAAAAGAAGAAGAGATATATAGCTTCTCTAGTCAAATAACGATAACCACAACTTTGATCAACGAGATACTCTCTTCTTCAAACCTCATCCACCCAAACACAAATGTCTTCTAATCCTTCTCTTATCTTTCTCCTTGTGATTCCTTTTTATATTCCTCTTATATTTTCTCTCAATTTGATTTCATTTTCTTGTCAATGGCGACTACCATGAATGCTGCTGTTTCTCTCACATCTTCAAACTCTTCTTCGTTTCCAGCTACAAGTTGTGCCATTGCTCCTGAAAGGATCAGGTTTAGTAAGGTACTTTTAAGCTTTTCTCAGCAGGATAATGATGAAGTCAAGTGTAGTTGAGAGTCTAGAGAAACTCTGCTTTTAGGGTTTTGCTAATAACCTTCTGGGTCTTGTAACTTGTTAAGTAAAGTTTTGAAATTTGGTGGGTTTCACTTAGAAATAAGATCAGTGTACTAAATTAGGTCTCTGTTTTTGTTGTTAGTAAAGTTTGGGACTTTGGATAAGTAGCTTCTAGGTTTTTACTTAGAATCTATTGTCTCAAATATGACCAAAAACTTTTGCAAGATCAATGTACTGTTGATGGGATCTTGATTAGGTCTCTGTGGTTTTGTTGTTGTGTGTGTTAAAGGGTGCTTTTTACTACAAAAGCAACAATGTAGTGACAGGTAAAAGAGTGTTTTCCATAAGAGCACAAATCACAACAGAAACAGATACTCCTACTCCTGCCAAGAAAGTTGAGAAAGTGTCAAAGAAGAATGAGGAAGGTGTGATTGTTAATAGGTACAGACCAAAGGAGCCTTACACTGGAAAATGCCTTCTCAACACCAAAATCACAGCTGATGATGCTCCTGGAGAGACCTGGCACATGGTTTTCAGCCATGAAGGTAGTGATTCCATTACTTGATTCTCACAACATGTTTCTTACTTTACAGTTCCTTATAATGATTCTTTTCTTGATGGTAATTGAAGTAGCATTTATGTGATAGGAGAAATCCCGTACAGAGAAGGACAATCTGTTGGTGTGATTGCAGATGGAATTGACAAGAATGGAAAGCCTCACAAGGTCAGACTTTACTCGATAGCGAGCAGCGCTCTTGGAGATCTCGGCAATTCTGAAACCGTAATAGACCATTTCCTTAACAGATTTTACGAAAGAATAGGCTTTGTTTTGTCTGGTTGAGTGAATGAAGGAGTTGTTTCAGGTTTCTTTGTGTGTTAAAAGACTTGTCTATACTAATGACCAAGGAGAAACTGTTAAAGGAGTTTGCTCAAATTTCTTGTGTAAGTAGTACAAATGAAAAACTCTTGTTAGTTTTTTCTTTAAACTTCTTCCTTTATTCAAGTTCCGTGTTTTCTTTTTCAGGTGATTTGGCACCAGGGAGTGATGTTAAACTGACTGGTCCTGTAGGCAAAGAAATGCTTATGCCAAAGGATCCAAACGCCACTGTTATTATGGTCTCTCCCTTAAACCTCAAATATCTTGACATGCTTATGATTAAACTCTACATGTTCTGTTTCTTGAAACATCATTAAACTCACTAGTAATGTCCTTCTTCTTTATGAACACCACAGCTTGCGACAGGGACAGGAATTGCTCCTTTCCGGTCTTTCTTATGGAAGATGTTCTTTGAGAAACATGATGACTACAAGGTTAAGTAAATAATTTTGGTCAATAATCTTTTTGATTTTGACCAAATATATTGGAAACTAACATCTTTGCAATCGCTGAAATGCAGTTCAATGGCTTAGCCTGGTTGTTCTTGGGTGTACCAACCACTAGCTCATTGCTCTACCAAGAGGCACACACACGCTAACTATTCTTCTGGTTTCATTCCTTCCAAATCAGAGTAAATCAATCCTCTTTTTTTTTGTGTGAAAATCAGGAGTTTGATAAGATGAAAGCAAAGGCCCCCGAGAACTTCAGGGTGGATTACGCGATAAGCAGAGAACAAGCGAACGATAAAGGAGAGAAAATGTATATCCAGACTCGGATGGCGCAGTACGCAGCTGAGTTATGGGAGTTGTTGAAGAAAGACAACACTTTTGTCTACATGTGTGGACTCAAGGGAATGGAGAAAGGAATTGATGACATTATGGTCTCATTGGCTGCAAATGACGGTAAGAAGAGCAAATAAATACTCCCTCCGTATTTTAATAATTGTCGTTTTAGAAATTTTATTTTTTTGAATTGGATGTCGTTTTCAAATTTCTATGCAAAATTTATTACTTTTTAATGTTTTATGACATCATAAAACATTAAAAAGTAAGAAATTTTGCATTGAAATTTGAAAACGACATCTAATTCAAAAAAATAAAAATTCTAAAACGACAATTATTAAAATACGGAGGGAGTAGCACTCTAATTCTTGAAACATCCATTGCATAAGCAATAACACTCTAATGACTTTGTGGTTTTTGTGATGGTTTTAGGTATTGACTGGTTTGACTATAAGAAGCAGTTGAAGAAGGCAGAGCAATGGAACGTTGAAGTCTACTGATCAAAAAGCCTTTGACATTCTGTAGCAAAGTATAGCTGAACAAAACTGTAATTTTCGCTTCTGAATTTCTGTAATTTCTTTAGATATATTATACTGAAAAAAGAGTTCTTTAATCATTATCATGCATTTCTTGCCACTATTTTGCTCTAAGTTAAATGACACATTGATAGGTTTCCATCTAAAAAATGTCATTTTCTTAGACTAATTGATAAGGAGAAAACAAATGGTTAAAGAATTGCCTTCATTTGACAGCAATCTGTATATTATGGTAGCTAACCAATCCTCTGACAATGAGATGAGTAATATCCAATCTTATTATAGTTAAACATTTACCAAATGAAATTCTTTTATGCATCTATTTAAACTAAGTAATGGTTTCTTAGGACACTTAAATACTCGATTAGTTGATTTTGGGTTAGACTACTAATTTATTTGCGTTATAGTGTTACCTCCAAGCCATAAAATATCATGAGAAATACAAAAAAGAATCTCGATTGAAGATATTTTCAATTTATATCAAGACAATAGTAATAATGGTTGAGATTTTTTCTTAGAGCCGACCAACAAAGGAGAAATCTAGCAGGCTAATGTTTCTTCTCACTTTTCTTTTTGTCAGAGGCTCATTTGTCAGTAACCGTTTGATTCAACGGCTAAATCCTATATCCACTAAAAATCAACCACGTCATCAGACATACCGTAACATACCAATATACAACAACACTTGATTGTAGCTAATAAAAAGATCGTCAACAGAATTAACTCTTTAAATCACTTCTCTGTTTTACCATCTCTGTTTCGCTCCCTGAAGAAAAAACAGAGCGTTCACATTTCTGTGCTACATTACATTATCATGGCATTGATCTTCTTCTTCTTCTTCTTGTTATCGAATTTGTTCTTCTCCGGTAAGAATCTTTCTCTAATTTATCTGTTAATCTCACAGATTCAACGACTGTGTGTGTAACCATTTTTATATTTCTTAATTTCTTCAATCCAGGAGTTATGTCAAGGAGCTTCACATTTTCGAACAAATGCGAATACACAGTCTGGCCGGGAATTCTATCTAACGCCGGAGTTCCTCCATTACAACCTACGGGCTTCGTCCTTCAGAGAGGCGAGACGCGTACGATCGACGCGCCGTCTTCATGGGGCGGTCGTTTCTGGGGAAGGACACTATGCTCTACCAATTCCGATGGAAAATTCTCCTGCGCAACTGGAGATTGCGGTTCCGGAAAACTTGAATGCTCCGGCGCTGGAGCTGCCCCTCCTGCGACTCTAGCTGAATTTACCCTCGACGGTTCCGGAGGACTCGATTTCTACGATGTCAGCCTCGTCGACGGCTACAATGTCCAGATGCTGGTGGTTCCTCAAGGTGGCTCCGGTAATAATTGCAGCAGCACTGGCTGCGTCGTCGATTTAAACGGCTCGTGTCCGTCGGAGCTAAGAGTGAATAGCGTCGAAGGCGACGGCGGCGGTGGGAAGGGGGTGGTGACGATGGCGTGTAAAAGCGCGTGCGAAGCGTTTCGGCAGCCGGAGTATTGCTGCAGCGGCGCGTTTGGGTCACCTGACACGTGTAAGCCGTCTTCGTACTCACGGATCTTCAAGAGCGCGTGTCCACGCGCCTATAGCTACGCGTATGACGATAAGTCTAGTACATTTACGTGCGCGAAATCTCCCAACTACGTCATCACTTTCTGTCCTGCTCCCAACACCAGGTAAAATTCCTTAAATACCCTTCTTCTATTTACTTTCACCCAATTCGTAAAAGGTGTGAGTAGAAATAATTTACTCTATGATAAGTAGGAATTTTGCTTGTTGTATAATCGAAGTCACTAGATACTCAATCCATTTAATTTTGCTATACAAGTTTTGTTTTCTCTCAATGATAATACATCGTTTGTCACGCTCCTATATAAGAGAGACACGTGGGAACTTCATTCATTCACTTATTCCTTTATTTGCAGCCTAAAATCAGCCGAGGAACAGAGCACAAAGACAATGACGACGACAAGTCCAAGCTCCGGCAGTACGACGTCGTCGCAGATGGTCTACGAAGGTGCTCTGGACGAAAGGAGTGGTTCACCATCTACGTGTCACGGCGTATCACGGGCAATCACAGTCGTTCTCTCGCTTGCTTTTTGTCGCATGTGGTTGTTCGTCTGACTAGATTATATGTCTTAGTGTCTGCCACGTATGCGCAGAAACAAGAACATATGGGCCTTAGAAGGCCTTTTCTCACTATAGTAAAATATTTCTAAAGTTTTTCCACATGACCCAACGTCGATTGATTAAACCATTATTAAGGAAAAATCAAAAATCAAGAATGGTAATAACTCTTTAAATTCAACTAACCTTTTTATGATCCTCAACTCCCGTGCCTACTTGAGTAAAAATGAAACACTCGCCTCCGGCCACTTTTTGATTAAAAACTTCAAAGGCTCACTCACTAGTTTTCTATATAATAATTTAGGTCCATTGTTTAGTATAAATTACGTGATGTTTTAGATAAAAAGAGTTATGAGTTTTTTTTTCCACTAAGTAGAAATGAAAAGTAAAACAATTAGCCCATTAGTATCACAACTATTTTCTTCTCAACCGTGAATGTTACCTAAAAAATGATGGCTTGGTGCATGATAATACGAAAGGTTGATTCTTTTGTGTCGCGGATTCAATTTCCCTGTAATACAAAACTCCAAAAATTGTGAGAGATTTTACAGGTTGAAGTTCAGAATTCTCAGATTTTTTTTTTTTTTTTTATCATTGATGATTTAGTTACCTTCTATATCAAACTGGAGTTTGTTAAAAATGTTGAAAGTTTGGTTAGTGATTTTCTAGAAATTAAACAAAAGAAAAATAATGATTTAAAGTTACTCTTTCATTTTCTACTCTAGCTTTTTTTAATATATAATTGGGATAATGATGATAACTATTACTTTTAAAAGATTTTGATTAATATGAATTTTTTTTTTCTCTTTAAACACTGCTCCGTATCTTTAGGCGCGGTTGAGATCGTACATAGCGGCTTCATCTACATTCAAAAAACTATTATCGAACTCCTCCAACGCTTAACAGCGTCGACTTTCTAAAGAGCACCCACCTGATGCTTCACACAATACTGTAGCACCGTTTCTTTTGGATTCAGAAAGTTGAGACTCACCGTGAAATTACAGGTACAACAAAAAATAGTGGTGAAACCCAATTAGGACGGTTTATTTTTATGAAAGGTACATGGCTAGTGAAGAATGGATTGACATTGATCAACAAGATAAAAATTAATGGATCGGAGCATCTTCATGGCAACACGAGTACTATAATGTATAATAAGTCTTGTTCGAAAAATCTTCGCCTAGCTCGTATTACTCCTCGCTTAGTTGCTAGATGCACCATATCCGTCTCGATTAATTTATTTGCTTACTCTAGCATATGCTTTCCGACATACTTTCTTATTTAATTTTTGCTATAAACATTATTTTGGGTCTAAATGGTAATCAATGAATTTAGCTTTATTAATGAATCTGACTGAATTTATTTGAATTTTGTTGTGAAATCTAGTTCAAATGGTAACCGCTAAATCTTGCTGAATGTTTTAAGTAAATATAAATAAATAAACTCATAAAAATTTAATTAAGAAATATTTGTTGCTCAATGATAATAGTCAAATAAACAAATAAAAATATTTAATTTGAAATTTATACATTTAATAATCTCATTAAACAAAAGATAACAACCAATTTTACATGTTCTAATATTTTCATTTATCAAAATAAATATAGAATGAGATAACTAAATTATCCGTTCGGATAAAGTTGTAAAAACTTTTGATTACTCGCAAACTTAACCAATTTTATCTATATTTACGTTTTTTATTTTTTAAAGCAAAATTTAAGCAAAACATATTTTTTATATAATTAATCATGCTAACTAATCAGAATTTACAAAAATTGACTTATAATAAGAGATTATTCATACTTTATTGAAGAACATAATAATAAGAAGAAGAAATTAAATTTTTTTAAAATATTATGTAAAGAAATGATAAAACTTAATATTCCTCAGCTTTTCCTCAACTATTCCTTTAACTAAATGATGTAAAAAAAAAAAAGTCATAAGTTTTCCTCAATTATTTCGCAAACTTGATGTCAGCATTTAGAGTTTTAGACCCTTAGGTCCGGTTATTATGGCAATAGCTACTACTAAAAAATCCATTTCCTATTTCTAAGCTTTTGATTATCCTTATAAGCAAACGGAAACATTTGTGTAAGGGATTAAAAAAAGAAAGAACAGATGGGCCAAAAATTGTACTCGGATCTAGTCCGGCTAGATAAAGGATATGGATACCCGGATCAACCTTATTGATTTCCACATGTGCCTCTCGTGCATTCCTTTTGGCTATGTAAACCATAGAGCCTGACTTTATATCTGCCACCACGAGGTTGAACGCCAGGCCATCCTAGCAAGTCTTAATACAAACTAGATCAAAACCCGCGCTCCGCCGCGGGATAGTTTTTGAATATTATTTTTATTTTAATATAAGTATAATTTATACAAATTTAAAAGAGTTTTAGGATTTGGTCTGTTATCTACCGCGTGATATTTTTTGAAATTAATTTTGTTTTAATATAAATATGATTATTATAGATTTAAAAGACTTCTAAAATTTGGTTTTTTTTACTTTTTTTTGGGATTTTAGTAGATTCAGTTTACTATTTTATTATATATATATACATACATTTATAAATACATGTTATATATTATTTTTAAAAAATTAATATATTGTATTATCCCTACATATCAATATTTATGTATAATGCACGTGTTTACACAATATTTCACCTAATGTATTCAAACTCTTAATGTCATATATTCGTTTGTGTATTTTATTTTGTTTATTGTTTTCAGTAGTTTAATTTTACTTTAAGAAAAAAAAAGACTTATTTTATTATAAGAGCAAAAAAGAAAAAGAGTGAGAGTAAGAGAAAAACAAAAAGATAATTTGGAGCCTATTAAATACTATCTTTTTGTGCTCATTTTGTGATCAGAGGATAATGGTTTGTGGTAAAATTACTTCTCAGGATTAATTTTGATTTTTATGTGGTTAGATTTTGTAGTTATAATTATAGTCTCTATTTCAATTCTTAGTTTTTTTTGTAGTTTATACAAATTTAATCACCCAATTTTATATATTTTTTGTTGCTAGAAAAGTTATTTATTTCTCTTTTGTTAATTTTGTAAAATATAACTGTTTTGAATAATAGTTCCATGTATGTCAAAGTACAAATACATTTTTTTTAATTTAATTTGGTTTTGTGTTATTCTTGGCTAACATTGATTTATATTTTATTTGTATTATATTTATATTTTATATGATGTATATAATAAGCCTTTTATAATATTTTTATAAGATGTATATGTTATAAGATGTTATAATATTTAATATGTTTATACTTTTTATAAACACCTCATAATATAAACTTATAAACATCTTATAAATATTTCTAAAATATTATAAGGTTTTATAACCTTTATAAAATTTTTTATAAGCTTTTATAATATTTTTATATAAGATGTTTATAAGCTTATATAATATTTATAAGATGTTTATAAGCTTTTTACTTATAAAACACATATACATCGTTCTAAAAAACCTTATATGATTTCTGTAAGCCGTTTTTATCAGATGTTTTATAATAATATACGATTTATTTAAATGTGTTTTATAAGTTAAATTGTAAGGCTTATGTAAATGTAAATTTTTTATTTTTTAAAGCGTAATTGATTTATTAATTTATATTAAATTTAAGCTATAATTTTAAACCTTTGTTTTTAGAAAATATTAATATAATGTGTATTTTTTAAATATTATTTTGTTTTAATATAAGTATAATTTGTAACAATTTAAAAGATTTCTAAGATCTGGTGTTTTATCTATACTTCAGAATATTTTTAATATTAATTTTGTTTTAATATAAATATGATTGATATAGATTTAAAAACTTCTAAAATTTGAGTTTTTACCTTTTATCATATTTTAGTAGATTTAGTTAGCTATTTTATTATATATATATATATACAAATATTAATAAATATATGCTATATATTACTTTTACAAAATGAATATATTGTATTATCCCTCCATATCAAAATTTATGTATTATGCATGCGTATACTCAATATTTCATCTAATGTATTCAAACTCTTAATGTCATATTTTCAAGTGTGTATTTTATTTTATTTATTTTATTTTTTCAGTAATTTTATTTTACCTATAGAAAAAAAACAAAATTCTTATTTTGATACTTTATTTATTTTATGACGATATATCATACGATACATATTGATACTTAATTTATTTTTAAAAATATGATTTTAATTTTTTGGAAAATGTGTATTTTTAAAATATTATTTTGTTTTAATATAAGTATAATTTGTAACAATTTAAAAGATTTCTAAGATTTGGTGTTTTATCTATACTTCGGAATATTTTTAATATTAATTTTGTTTTAATATAAATATGATTGATATAGATTTAAAAGACTTCTAAAATTTGAGTTTTTACCTTTTATCATATTTTAGTAGATTTAGTTAGCTAGTTTATTATATATATAAAAATATTAATAAATATATGCTATATATTACTTTTACAAAATGAATATATTGTATTATCCCTCCATATCAAAATTTATGTATTATGCATGCGTATACTCAATATTTCATCTAATGTATTCAAACTCTTAATGTCATATTTTCAAGTGTGTATTTTATTTTATTTATTTTATTTTTTCAGTAATTTTATTTTACCTATAGAAAAAACAAAATTCTTATTTTGATACTTTATTTATTTTATGACGATATATACGATACATATTGATACTTAATTTATTTTTAAAAATATGATTTTAATTTTTTGGAATTAGATTAATCATAAAATAAATGAAGTATCAAAATAAGAACATCAAAAGTCTTACGAAATTGGATCTTACTAAGTTTTGTGCTTTCACTTTGCAAAAACGAAAAGATAATGACCGAGAGTGTTGTTGTAGTAATTTAAATTGTAACACATTTTTTTTTCATCGATTCACTTTCGTTTTGATTTTCTTTAATATTTAAAATCAACAATGGGTTAAAATTGAAATATATAAAAGTTACAAATTAATTTGGAGGAATCGAAACAGATAAGACAATGAGACTGTGAAAACAAATCTAGAATATACAAATAGATGTTTATTTGGTTTTGTTTTTCTTTTAACAAAATTAAAAATATATATGTTATTATAAAAAAAATTGTAGTGTATATTGTTTAATTTAATTTGATTGGCTATAATTTTAATGAGGTATTTTTTTAGTGAAAATCTGATGTGGCAAGATGGAGAGATGATGTGTATTAATTGAAATGTTTTGATTGGTTTGTCTTTTTAATGATGTGTCAGCTCCAGAATACACCAAATTGCTGATGTGTCAGATGCTGGAGAGTTCCCTAGTGTTTTTATTGTATTGATTGTAACGGAGAACAGATGGGCCAATAATCCAAATTTAACTAATATTTAGAAAAGCCCATGTATATATTCCTGATCTTCGTGTGGACAATTTTTTCAAAAAACGAAAAAAAAAAATATAAGATAATGTCAGAAGTGGGATTTGAACCCACGCCCTCTTACGAAGACCAGAACTTGAGTCTGGCGCCTTAGACCACTCGGCCATCCTGACGCTTCTGATTGTACTTCTCAAAGAATTATCATAATATAAAACAAAAAGTCTCATTCCGATAATTTACTTTGACCATTTATTACTAAAAAAAGACACTTGAGTGAATAAATTTCTGGGATCGAGGAGATTAATAGTAAGCACATCATCAGCACTCAGATCTAGTAAAGAGTTCCACTAATTCACATTGGGTCATTGACCAGAAAACACAGAGAGAGAAAAAAAACATGGAGGACTTGGCGCATCCGTACGTTCCGAGAGATCTGAAACTGCCGGGATATGTACCAATCTCCATGTCCATGTCTTCCATTGTCGCTATCTACCTCGGTTCTTCCCTCCTTGTTGTCTTCCTCGTCTGGCTTCTCTTCGGTAATAATCCCCATTCCGCTCTCTCTCTCTCTGCATTGTTTAGCGAAACCAGATCATCGATTTAAGTTGAATTTGAACTGATGCGAGTAATATATAGTCGACAAAATTGACCTGAGTTTGACCCAAATCGGAAACTTATTACTGAATGGTTTATCAGGGAGGAAGAAGAAAGCTAAAGTTGAGAAATTGCTTATGTGTTGGTTTGCATTCTCTGGTCTCACTCACATCATCCTCGAGGGCTATTTCGTTTTCTCTCCTGAGTTTTTCAAGGACAATACTTCTGCTTATCTCGCTGAAGTCTGTAAGTTCTTTTATATTCTTCTTCTTAGTGTTGTTATTGTTGTTCAATTAGACCAATTCGTAAGTTCTTTCACAGGGAAAGAATATAGCAAAGGTGATTCGAGATACGCAGGTAGAGATTCTGCAGTTGTATCTGTTGAAGGGATCACTGCTGTTATCGTTGGCCCTGCTTGTCTCCTAGCTATGTAAGAAGTTTCCATTCATTTCTAATGAACCATTTTGGTTTTTGTATGAACTGTAAAGTAGTTGTTGTTGATGAAAATCAGATATGCTATTGCTAAGGAGAAGTCGTATAGCTACGTGCTTCAGCTTGCGATTTCGGTTGGCCAGCTCTACGGATGTTTGGTTTATTTCATTACTGCTATCTTGGAAGGAGACAACTTTGCTACAAACTCTTTCTACTACTACTCCTACTACATCGGGGCTAATGGATGGTGGGTCTTGATACCTTCACTCATTTCTTTCCGTTGCTGGAATAAGATTTGTGCAGCTGCAAACAACAACGTTGAGATTAAGACGAAGAAGAAAACCCGTTGAAGCAAGGATCAAAGAATCTTCTTCCAACATTCTACCTAGTGATCATCTCTTTATCTCTTCAGGTTACTGCTATTATAGCAATGAACATGAGTCTCCTTTTGCAGATAATTTATCTATTTTAAAAACTTTTGACTATGTTCTGTCTCTTTACATTTATGAACAAGTGGTATAAGATGAGTCTCCTTTTAAGGATAGTTTATCATTATTCATATGATATATTTGCACTTTTGTGAAGTTTTCCTTACAGTAACATCATTCTCCTACTCCTTGCAAACATAACTTGTTTACTTTCTTCCGGGTTTAACAATGAACATGTATACGCTACGACTTAGGAGGATCAGGTGGGGACGGATTTGACCATCTTTGACAATTAAATGTGACTTGAAAGTTGAAATGATACACAAATGCAAATGAATCTGATAACAGAGCTTGTTTTCCAAAATTTAAAATATCTCAATTGTAATAAGACTTCAAAGTTGAAATATTTCAGTTTCTTTTTGATATATATACAACCAGGATTTGATATTTTAAACCTTGTTTTAAACAGACAATAGAAGGTACAATAATATGTTGATGTAAGTTTGTTTGATAAATCTTAGAGATGAAGATTGTTTGTTAGGAGGCGGAGGAGAGTGACACTCCCTTGGCTTCTCGGTTGTGACACTGTCGTCTTCTTTCCACCTCTGGTCCCCTGCAAGTGAAATTGACAACTTAATCACACGATTCGATCTATTAAACTTTTTACCAACATTGTCAAAGTTTGCTTCTTTGTGTCTAGTTCGGTCATACCTTTAGCTCGGCGATATCATCCTCGATTTCTAAAGTGTTTATTTCTCTTGTTAATAACACAGACGAAGCAGGTTGGAGTCTCCTGTTACAGGAACAAAGGTTTTCTATTTAGTAAACTTAAAAGAAGAGACAGAGAAAGAAGAAATATAAAGAGTGGCAAAAGAACAACCTTTTTGGTTTCTGTCCATTCCTCTGTTTCTTAGTTGATGCAGGGTCTGCTTCACGGGCAGGGACTTCAATTTCCTGACCTTGGAATGATTCTGCTTTCTTTTGAACACGAGTCTTGGCGGTTTTAACCTAGAAATGAGAATGAAGTTTGGTTATACCAGTTTTGGAGCATTGTGAAATTTGATTTTTTGTGCCATGAGGTGAAGTTGTCAAGGTTTGTGGAGGAGCAAGAGATTGAGAATGGCCAAACCTGTGGTTTCTCAATCTGGTTCTCTTTTATGTCCAAGTCATTCATTTCCTCAGTTAGCGATCTGGATGACACTGGCAACAGTCTTCTGTTTCTGGAACAGAACCAAAGATAATTTAGACTGAGAAAGAGTGACCGGTTACTACAGCTTCAGTAGAGAAAACTGTCTTTAAACTGTATGTGAAGATCAGAAATCACTCTTAACCTTTCTTGCTTCTCTGAATCTGGAAATCTACGGGATATTGCGGATTTTGTTTGAACATTAGACATCCGGCTGTTGATGCAATCTTGACTAACTTCAACTTGTTCTGGTGAAGGTGTTGGATCATCTTGATTCTGGATGGCCTAGAGGAAAATCAGTTTTGATTTCATTACGTTCTGGGGTGGTTGTATCTCTCGGATTGACCCAATGAATGAAAATATTTCATATACCTGATCTCTTGGAAAGTCAGTAACTTCAGCTTCAACATGAGTAGTCGCAAAAGGAATCCCCACATTTTCTTCAGAATTGACAGACTGCTGACAAGTGCAAACACACAACAAAGCACATGATTTAGTGAACAAGTTTCTGAATTACAGAAAGAATGTATCAACTTGAACTAGCCTTACTCTTGGCTCAGCATCATTCGTAGAAGACAAGTGACATCGAACAAGTTCAGCATCTTTCACCTTAAAACACAAATGGAAGGTTATTAATATCAAATAAATATTAGGACATGCACAGCCTTAGAACGAGAAGACATAATTAGTAAACAGATATATATACAACAACATAGCAGCCAGGCACTATATTTTTGCTTGGCACAGGAGACTCGCTCGATTCTTCTGCGCTGGCTTCCCCTCTTGGCTTGATAAGGTTGCAAGAATCAACATCGACATTTCTCTGAAAATTTGTGAGCAATAAATATCTTTGGCAGATATGAGAATTGAAGTATTAAGAAGAAAACATATAAAAATTTACTACCACAATAGGCACAGACGACTCGCTGGATTCTTCTGCGCCAGCTTCTCTTCTTGCCTTGACAAGGTTGCAAGAATCATCATCCACATTCCTCTGAAAATTTGTGATCAGAAATGAATATCTTTGGCAGGTATGAGAAGTGGAGTATTATGAAGAAAACATATCCAAACTTACTACCACATTAGAAACAGGAGACTCGCTGGATTCTTCTGCTCCAGCTTCTCTTCTTGCCTTTATAAGGTTGCAAGAATCATCATCAACATTCCTCTGAAAATTTGTGATCAGAAATGAATTTCTTTGCAGGTATGAGAAGTGAAGTATTAAGAAGAAAACATATCCAAACTTACTACCACATTAGGCACAGGAGACTCGCTGGATTCTTCTGCTCCAGTTTCTCTTCTTGCCTTGATAAGGTTGCAAGAATCATCATCGACATTCCTCTGAAAATTTGTGATCAGAAATGAATTTCTTTGCAGGTATGAGAAGTGAAGTATTAAGAAGAAAACATATCCAAACTTACTACCACATTAGGCACAGGAGACTCGCTGGATTCTTCTGCTCCAGTTTCTCTTCTTGCCTTGATAAGGTTGCAAGAATCATCATCGACATTCCTCTGAAAATTTGTGATTAGCAACAAATATCTTTGACAGGTATGAGAAAGTGAAGTATTAAGAAGAACCCCTATCCAAACTTACTACCACATTAGTCAAACTCGCGTCAACCTCGAAGTGTTCTTTTGCATGTACAATGGCTTCTACCTCAGGTATACATGGCTCTGCCAGGTAAGAGGACTTGAGACTGATCAACTCTGTCTCCAATCCAAGAGATTTTAGCTGTTCTCTTCGAAGGCTATCCTTGAGAGTGCAAATTTCACTTTCTGCAACCTAAGATGATAAAAAAGGGAACAATATATTTCAACTGTGATACATTATAGCTTCAAGGAAATAAGCTCAATCACAAACTGTTATATGTAAACAGAGGCAAATGAAAGGCAAAGATATTACTTTTAATTTCTCGTTGTACTGCTTCAAAACATTCCATAAGACTTTAGAGAAATTCCGCATGATGATGTGCTCTCGCTCATTTTTATCCTGGGCAACATGTTCCAGCCTCGGAGATGATATGTCTGTTGGATCAGCTTTCTTTCCCTGCAAATTCACTGGTGAGAAAACGTATTAGACATTTGCTTTCTTGTTTGTAAACAGGTCTTTTCTGTGATCTCTCATCTCCTTGTCTCTCAGTGAAGATGAGAGATCACAGAAAGAAAGCTACCAATGAATTCCGTGCAGTCAAAAGTGTGGAAAATTTGTCAGAGCAAAATCCTACCTTCCTGAGAAATTTGGCATCTCTCTCCATGAGAAATTTCTTCAATCTAGAGATGGCAAACACAACTTTTTTTGAGTAAATAGCATATACCAATAAATTTTCAGTTTTGCTGAGAATACAATTATTTGCGTAGAGGAAGCCAAACTTACTTGGGAAGTCTTGGGAGCACTAAGTTTAATCTTCTTGTTTTTTTCAGCTCTTGGAAATGTCTTGAGCTGTCTCTTGTTGCAAGGTTCCTCAGTGTCATCAAATCTAAATAAAACAACAAATATGAAGGCATTAGCACTTGCGAGAAAAGTAGACTTCCTACTGGAGTTCATAAAAGCAAATATTACTTGATTTTCATATACGGTGATGCTTGTCTCAAAAGATAGGAGGTATCAAGATAATCCTCTTCCCCTGCTTTGACAGTTAAAATCTGTAAAATAGATAGAAGAGGAGAAGAAAAATTTTCAATATTTGAAAATTAAGTCTTGTTAAAGAACTCAAGAAGAAATCCCACAAATCTGTTACACATACCAAAGCCATCCTCTTTTTCCCCTCTAGGTAATCTCGCAAGTACCTTGTTAACTACATAAAGCCAAAACCATATTAGCATATAGAATGAGAGAAGATTGAATAACTCATAAATCAGTAAAAAAAATTCATGAAATAATGTTAACGGGTTTTAAGGTAGACGGGTAGACGCTACCAAAGAATTTTGATGATGTTTCTGCAATCCCTTCTTTCTGTTCTTCTGGTACTCCAACAGTGACTGCCAACAGATACCGAGTGTTCATGGATAGTGGGATTGGAGGAATAAAAAAGAGATAAAATAAGGGTCAGCTCCAGGGAGTCCAAAATCAATGGCCTTACCCGTAAACATTGACCGAAAACCATGGATGTATTATTGATGAAATTACTCTCAACCAACCTTTCTCCCTGCAAAACAATTTGAACAGGAAAACATGGACCAAGTTTTAGTTTACAGATGTTATATTTTAATAATCAGTAATTAAGCTAGGAATCTTTTCTCCTAACTATTACACTGAATCTGTGTTGATAAGACAAATACATTCAGACATGACATATATTTGTGGCTTTGCATATCAAATATGTAAAGATTCCATATACAAAGTGTAAACAAATAGATAAAAACCTGATTTCCAGTTCTTTTCTCTCTTTCTGCTCCCGCCAGGTCCACTATCGTCAGCATAGCATCACTAGACTGCATTTTTGTTTCGTTGGAAAAGCCATTGCATGATGCTCGTATGTTAATGATGCATTGTGAGCGACTGCGAGTAATTCCAGAGTTAATATAGAACATGAAGACATCTAGATAAACATTATTGAAAATGGCTCTATCTTCCATGTGAAAGGGCTTCTAATTCAATTAATTTATCGATTAAATAAAGGGTAGAAGGGAGTGTTGGCAAATGTTAAAATCAAGTTGGTGTGCAAAACTTTTGTATCCATGTACCTTGATTGGCTATTTGAGTTTGTTGTAGCTGTTGCACGTTTCAGCATAGCTTGTCCAATTAAAGACTCTGCTTCCTCCAAATTCTGGATTGGGACCTACTTAACACAAAACATTGAGAAAAAAATGAAGAGTTGCAATATTCATCTATCCTTATGAAACGCAACGGACTGTTGTTGTCACCCAAGAAACAGCACACACATAATAAAAATCACAAACCTCTTTCAAACCCCTGATGGTTGATTGCTGCACAGACAATTCAGAGCTCTCACCACCTAGTAAATCATAAGCTTTCTCCCCTTTCCCTCGTTCGGAGCATATTTCAAATATGGACAAGTTAAACGTCCTGAAGTAAAGTAAAGAGAGATTATGGAAAACAAGATACAAGCTGTGTGTAGTCCAAACAAATTCATTGTTTCATACCGTTTGTTTTTTCTGCTATTGACACATCCATGGTTTATCATAATACTACATAACCTATTAGTAATTAAGATGAACAAACAGTACCTCAAAGGTCCAGAAGAACTCTCATCACTCTTCTTGAAAATTCGACGGAGTGTAATTGGCACAATTCCAGGATCCTTCAAAGTTCCAAAGACGGTATGAGTCTTCCCCGAGCCACTAGGTCCCAATGCTGCCAACATTCCGCTTTTCCCTTTCATGAAATCCTCCAACAAAGGTTGGACCATTTTATCATACACATCGTTCTACAACCAGCAAAAAACTCATCAACTCTGATCTAATCTCAAATTCCACCAAAAAGAAAGTGAAATCGATACGAAATTTGATCGAACCTGAGAACAATCAGCCGGGAAAACATGAGAAAACCCTTCGTATACTTCAGTCTTACTTCGTTTCAGCTCTTGCAACGATTGAGGCGGAGTTAATGTGACTGAATAAGGATCGTTGAGAGTAATACAAGCTTCTTCGTCCTTCTTCTTAACCTTCTTCGTAATCTCCGGATTCCTATTCTCTTTCGCGTTGTTCTTCTTCGAAGGATTCTGTGGCCACACATTTCTAGGTCTGGCCTTCGTTGTGGTAACCTTGGTGAAGCTTCTCAAAGGTTTGATTCTCAGGAAAATCTTCAAACTCTCTGGAATCGATTGTTTTGGTTCGGATTGTGGGATTTGGATAGAGAGAATCTCGTCGATCGGAAAAGTAGGAACGTCGTGGGTTATCGCGGAGGCTGAAGAGGAGAGAGGTGGCTTAGTTGCAGTTGTATACGGCGTTGCTCTAGCTCTCCTCGAAGGATTCCGTCGAACTGTTACAGTGGAAGGGCACGGCGGAGGACTGAGACTTTTCTGTTTATCCTCCATTGTCTCTTTCTCTCAATGGCGGAAAAATGGAGCGTTTCAATTTTCAACTTTCAATTGAAAATGTAAAATCAAAATTATCGCCAATTGTGGAATTTAATTTTGTTGGTACGAAATTAATTTAAATAAATACTTTCAGTACAAATTTGAAGCCCATTATATTGGGCTTTTGTTTGAAGCCCATTATATTTGTGCAATAATAAAATTTTCTTTCTTCGTCCTCTTGTCTCCGCCTCCGCTGCTTAATCGTCGCCGCCGCCGGAAAATGTAAGCACAAACCATTAGAACTCTAAACCCTTACCTTCTCGTAAATTTCTGCTCTCTCTACTCATAAAGTCTGTATTTAAGCAAGGTCTCTCCCCAAAGCTTCTGTTTGCGACATTTTTGTTACTATAACATGTCCTGACTTTTAGAGTTCGTGCTTAAATATGGTTCCTAGCTGTTCTCCTGTAGAATCATATGATGTACGGAGTTTTGTTCCCATTAATGTGGTTTTTCTAAGCAAATGAAACATTTATGTTACTTCGTTTGGGTTTTTGTTGTTGTTTAAGGTTCTCTAATGGAGAAAACTCGTGAAAGTGGGTTCCTGTTCTGTAATTTGTGTGGGACGATGCTGATCTTGAAATCAACCAAGTATGCAGAATGTCCACTCTGCGAAACAACGGGAAATGCCAAAGGTATCCATGAAATCGTGTTGGATTTGTTATATCTAATCGAACAGTTTTGGTTCTTGGTTTGGTTAATCTTATTGTGGTTGAAACGTCATTGTTTTCAGAAATCATTGATAAGAATATAGCTTACACAGTTTCTTCTGAGGTATGTGTTTTCCTTTATTCAGCATTGTGGATTCTTGTTTGATTAGTTTTGCTGCATCATATAATCCATATGTGTTGTTCACAAGTTGTTTGTAAATCAATCGAATTTGGTTTCTATTTCACGGATGTAGCAAAGATCTCAGCTCTTGATTTCCTCCGGTCCATTGTTATTACTTATTAGGCAGTGAACACACACACACACACACAGACCTGTACCTGCTATCTAATTAGTTTCAAACCTGAAAGTGGAGACTGCTTATGTTATTCTTGCAAGAACTAATGTTGTTCTTTGGATTTTAGGGAGATAATAACAAGTCATGATCTTTGGCTTTTTGCAGGATATTAGAAGAGAACTAGGAATATCTCTGTTCGGTGAAAAAACGCAGGAAGAAGCTGAGCTACCAAAGGTTTTTAAGAAAACAGACTCAATAACATGTTACAGTTTTTCTTAATCCTTGCCATCTGATATTGAATGTTCTTTGCAGATCAAAAAGGCATGCGAAAAATGCCAGCATCCGGAGCTTGTCTACACAACAAGACAGGTATGTCCAAGCTTCAAAGTTCTTCTTCTTGTCTTCAATGTTCAAAAGAGTTTCCTGATTTGCAGACAAGATCAGCTGATGAAGGACAGACAACATATTACACTTGCCCCAATTGTGGACATAGATTCACAGAAGGTTGAGATTATTATCATCACAGAGAAGACCAGTTTTGTTTCTTACATTGATGTTACAAATACAAACTCAGTATTCAATATCATCAACATTGATGTTACAAACTCGATATTCAATGTCATCATCAGAAACTTTTTTTTTATTTTAAGAATGAACGTAAAAATGAAAATCTATAACAGCCAGCCAGGCTAGTTTGTGCCAAGAGAGCCTTTTTAAAAAAGTCATGGCTAAGCAAATCACACAAAGTAGAGAAGAGTGCTATTAATTTTAAAAAAAAAACAAGACAGACCCAAGCCCAATAAAGTATTAAAAAGCCCATAGGCTTATTTATTTGTAACATATCAAACGTTACGTAGCACGTACCACCTTTTCACCGGAGCTGTAAAACTCGCCTGATGTTATCGGCGGGAACGTCATTTTTGCCATTAGCTTCTACGTTGCAACGAAGCTTCGGTTTGATAGAAAACCTAGGCATGGGCAAACTACTCGGCGGTGGAGATAATAACATGATCGCTGGACCTGGGTAACCATCAAATCCTTTAGGAAAATCATGCAGGTTATTCGACCGGACCGGAACTGAACCAGTTCGAGTCAGTATTGGAACCGATTCAACGAAGTCTGCTTTCTTGTGTGTTTCAGAAATTGCTTTCGTCTGAGCGACGCAATTGAGAGAAGAGTTGTTGTTGACTCGTGGTCGAGAGCTGTTGACTCGTTGCAGAGGAAGAGTTGAGCTGTTGACGCGTGGCAGAGGGAGAAGAGGAGGCTGAGAGTAACTTGGCGGCGGCGGATATACCGGAGAAGATCCCCAAGACGACGTTGGATTATTCGGAAGAGCCAAACTTCCTCCGGATCTTGAAAGAGAACCACGAGAACTCCTTCTTTTAGGGTTCTTGAATGGTCTCAAACCCGAAACCTGTTTACCCGGTGGACGTTGAACTGCTATTGTTTCCATTGATATAACTTAAAATATTTTAAGTTTTTAAAAAGGTAAAGTTTTATGAAGATTTGGAAGGATAAATCAATGAAAAAAAACAGAGAAAGATATTTATATACGTTTAAATGGCGACGATCTACCAAATAATACGATCGAAAGCCCTAGAAGTTTGATTAAATTTTCAAAAAAGGTTTATGAAAAAAAGAGAAAAACGCAGAGTTTCTATAACATGTTAATGTTCAAATTAATTAACTCTCATAACAAGATCCAAAGGATCGTTCGATAGAATAAAAAAGCTCTCTAAAGAACCCTAACCTCGAGAGGACAGATGTTGCCAGGCACTGAGCACGGCTGATTCTTTTTATAATCGAAGCTACCAATAATAATACGTATTTTTTAAAATATATTTTTAAAGTATATATTTATTTTAGACTAAAATATCGCAGTTTTTAATGTTTATAGCTTCAAGATTACAATACCAATTGCGCAATAGAGCTCAAGTCCCGGGAAACACTGTAGGACGGTCACCGCCGATTGAATTTGAACCGTTGGATCGTGAAATAAGTATTACAATAGCCGCTGAGAGAATCTGAGCCGTGTGATTAGGGATCTGCTTTAGGCAGGATCTTGACCATACACGTCGGTATCATCGGTGGCGTTCTTCGTTGATGACCTCACGTGGAGGGAAAGTGTAGGCCCCAGTCCATTCCGTCGTCGTAGATCTTGACAGGTGGCATAATACCAGCCATTCATCGTTGTCGTGAGGTTTTCCAAGAATAGGATTGGTCGGTCTTTCATGCACGGTTGCATGTGCTTACCATAAAAATAATTCGAATGAAGAAGATATTAGATATCGAATAGTATTTTACATGGTGGACATTATAATAGAGAGCATTGAGGAATGAGGATATCACTACGATATTGTCTATTGCGTAAATATCAATTTTAAAAATCGTTATATAATATTGAAATGCAAATGATAGGTGTAGTGTTGAACGACTGAGCCTAGAAATCGAATAAACTGATTAATGCTGCGAATCAAAACTTGTCATTTTCTTAATGTTACCATTTGAACGATTGAGCCAATTAGCACTACCGAATCTTTAATAGGGGGAATTTTATATTGAAGAAAAAATCATAGCTGATCGATTATTAACATTACACAGAATTTACTATCAAAAGTAGACTAACATTTCTAATCTTTTTTATTAAAATGTGACAACTTTTAATTTTTGAGCTAATTTTTGGATTAAATTAAACCAGATTTCTAATAATATCGAAACAACATAACATATTATCTGATTGTATTAATATTGCGGATGGATTCCAATACTACATTTATATATGAACTTATATAGTAGTATATTATATTTTATGTGGATGTGCTTTGAAACACCCAAAAGTAATATACGATGAATATCATCATATTTATGTGTATTTCTTTAACTTGGTAGTCTATAGGTTATAATTATTTATGGGTATCTTATACGACGAATTTCATATATATATATATTATACGAGGGTGGTTGCTCGATAGTCTATATAAAGGGTAATTGTATATTTGTATATATATAACTTGGATGATGATTGCAGCTTTTTCTTAAACTTGTTTTGGCATAATCATGGTTAGGTGTGGTCACTCTTTTCTTTTCATCCTTTCGTCTCGTATGTACATATTTAATACATTGCAGCGTGTTTGGTATAACTTTGATTTTATTTGTTGACTTGCATTTTCAACCAAATAAAATCAAAGTTTAACGCAAATTGCACATAAGTCCAACATAGGCGGTAATATATATCACATTTTATTCATAATCGGAGATTAAGACTCATGATCTATAGTATTTTAAAAACCCTGTACGTAACATGATTTTCCACTTTGATAATTGATATGTAGTCTGAGATCTTTTTTCCCATTTTCACCAAATTTTTTAAAAAAATTTCCCACATTATCGTAGCTGCTAGCTAGGGTTTCTGTGGAGTTACCACGAGAGTCAGTGCATTGCTACTTTTGGTGTCGCCTTTAGCGGATGACGTGCTCCATCATGATTATTATTACTTTATGCACCGACCATATCTAAATCCACGTACATCACCTTTTTTTCTTCTTTAAAGAATGTACATATAACATTTTGTATACTTTTGTTTTTAGACCTGCTTTTTATGATCCTTGGCTTGCTTCCATATTAAGAAAATGAAACACTTTGGTTATAGATTCTAAGTATAACCCATCGATTATCGAACTTTAAACATTTCTTCGCTATAAATAATACGCAAGTAGGTACATGAATCATATGATACATCTAATTAGCATATTCTTTATAACTTTTTCTGTATATAATACATCTAATTGTTGGTCGAGACTACTACATCATGTACCAAAATAACATTGTTGGTGATATCCAGTTAAGTGTATAGATGGATATGTAGAGTGTAATGGGAAGGCCTACCCATCGATGGGTTTACTTTGGGGCGTATATCTTAAGGCTTAAGAATTGATCCAAGTATATATCTTCCTCGCCCTTTCTCGTGTTAACTTTAGTTTAAGTTACGAATAACTTAAATCCACTGTATTGTGCGATTAAAGAGAAAACATCCTCATTTAAAAAACTTATTGGATTTTCGAAATATTTTTAAATTTATATGCACCATATACAATTGTAGACTGACTTAAATAAGCTTTTTGTTTTGTTACGGTCGCAGACTTGTACCCATAAAACAAAAAATAAAAGTTCAATATATTAATCCAAATAATAATCATGTACTAAAGAACAGTTACCTAAGATATAAAAATAACAAGAACATGTTTATTTTTATCTACTTAATATTACGATTTATCCATTTATTTATAAACATCATAAAAACGATGTAAAAAACATCATAAAACAATGTACCTTAATTCACTACTAAGAAAATATGGTAGTGGACAAACAAGAAGAAATCGTTACATTATAAACATAAAAAGAGAATTTTAATGAGTAAGCAATGGAGAAGTTGAAGCAAAGGTTTTTATTGAAATAGACAATCACTGATGATCCCTTGCAATAAAGTCCTTATTTGTCGATATTATTGAACTATAAAATCACAGCCAAACAAATGGACGTTTCAGAGTTAGTCCGTACATAACGCTCTTGAAAATTTCCTATTCGAAACCGTTTTTTTATCAAGTGAAGGAAAATAGTAATGTGACTATCTATGATCAGTCTGGGGATTCCTTAATTTCTCTAACGTAAATCCATGGTCATATCAAAACATTAATTGATATTTAATCTCCCCTAAGTAAATGCGATTTCTCTTTTTGGATTAAAGGTTTGGTTTTCGTAGTTCAAAGAATCCGAAGAGTGTTTTGCCAGGAGATTTTAATTGATGAGAAATGGGGATAATCAGCACAATATTGGGTGTGATTGGTTTTGGATCTGGAACAACGATCGGAATCGTCATTGGTTACTACTTGTTCATCTATTTCCAGTCTACTGATGTTCAGGCATGTTTTTTTTTCTTTTCCATTTTTGTTGTGAATTGATCGATTGGATTTTCTTAAAACATACGAGAGGATTGATATCTCAATAATTTATTTTTATTTTTGAATGTTTGGAGATAAGCTTTTCTGTACTTCTAATGTTCTTCTTGGTTAGCCAAAAGTTTATTGCTTAATTTGTTGATTTTTTTGGTTAGGATCCTGAGATCAAGCCACTGGTGGAGTTAGATTCAGAGACTATAGCAAAAATGTTCCCTGAAATACCTTTGTGGGTGAAAAATCCTGATTTTGATCGTGTACGTTTCTTTACATTCTCTAAATCTCCTTAGTTTAATATGCTAATATATATAATAGTCTGATTTGTAACAAAGTCTCTTTTTCTATTTGAAGATTGACTGGCTTAACAAGCTCATTGGCCATATGTGGCCTTATTTGGACAAAGTAAAATCTTCTTCTTAGCTTTCATATCGTTTTCTGTCTTTTATCTATAATAACTTGTGAAACAATGTTTATATATTGTAATTTTTTTTTTCAGGCTATTTGTAAGATGGCCAAGTCAATTGCCAAACCTATTATCGCTGAGCAAATTCCAAACTACAAAATTGATTCAGTTGAATTTGAAATGCTCACTTTGGGTTCATTACCACCAAGTTTCCAAGGTTTCTCCTTGTGTTTAACACTCAATAGATACACATTCTTGTTCTTTACATTCTTTTTCCTAAATGTTTGTTTTGATTCTCACTATCATTTGCAGGAATGAAAGTTTATGCAACTGATGACAAAGAAATCATTATGGAGTTGTCAGTGAAATGGGCAGGGAACCCTAATATCATTGTTGTAGCCAAAGCATTTGGGTTAAAAGCTACCGTTCAAGTAAGTTTTTTGATTGCTAAACCGCTAAGAAAATTAGTAAGTTTTCTGATTAGTTGCAAGATTGCATCATCAGGTGGTTGATTTGCAAGTTTACGCAACTCCAAGGATTACTCTGAAGCCTTTGGTCCCATCTTTCCCCTGTTTTGCCAACATATTTGTCTCTCTTATGGATAAGGTATAATCCAACAAGGATCAAAAACCTTTTTCATATAATACCATAAAACACAAGATAGTCTAAAATGTGATTTCTTCTGTAGCCACAAGTCGATTTTGGACTGAAGTTGCTTGGTGCAGATGTAATGGCGATTCCTGGCTTATACCGATTTGTCCAGGTAAAGAAGTTTTGGAAGCTGTTCCTTTACCTTACCATCTAAGGAAACATTCTTGTTCAGACCTAACACTCTGTTCTTGTGTTCTTTTTATTATTATTGTAGGAACTCATTAAAGATCAGGTTGCAAACATGTACCTATGGCCAAAGACTTTGAATGTTCAGATAATGGATCCTTCTAAGTGAGTTTTTTTTTTGTTTGTTTGTTAAATGTCACACTTATGTTACTATTTGATATTTTTGAAATTTTTTGTTATAATTCAACTTTGCGCAATCTGCAGAGCTATGAAGAAACCTGTTGGATTGCTTAGTGTGAAGGTCATAAAGGCAATAAAGCTTAAGAAGAAAGATCTGCTGGGTGGATCAGATCCTTATGTGAAATTAACACTCTCTGGAGACAAGGTTCCTGGCAAAAAGACAGTTGTTAAACACAGTAATCTGAATCCTGAATGGAACGAAGAATTCGATTTGGTTGTTAAAGAACCAGAGAGCCAAGAATTGCAGCTCATTGTTTATGACTGGGAACAGGTAAAACATCTTTATTTACTGAATCTCGCCTTTTCGGTAAAACCGCTGGAGATCATTTACTGATCTTGTTTGATATATTTCAGGTTGGTAAACATGATAAGATAGGAATGAATGTGATTCAACTCAAAGACCTTACACCAGAGGAGCCAAAACTCATGACACTTGAGCTCTTAAAATCCATGGAACCAAACGAGCCAGTTAGCGAGAAATCGCGTGGACAGCTCGTTGTGGAGGTCGAATATAAACCGTTTAAGGATGATGAAATTCCTGAGAACCTTGATGATCCAAATGCAGTAGAGAAAGCACCAGAAGGCACACCTTCTAGTGGTGGTTTGCTTGTGGTGATAGTTCACGAAGCTGAAGATCTAGAAGGCAAATATCACACTAATCCTTCGGTTCGTTTGCTATTCAGAGGAGAAGAGCGTAAAACAAAGGTAGTATAAAACTTCTCTTAAACTCAAAATCAAAACATGTGAGAAGACATCAAATTTACACATTTTGGTTTGATTTTTGTAGCGTGTGAAGAAAAACAGAGAACCGAGATGGGATGAAGATTTTCAGTTTCCATTAGATGAGCCTCCCATAAACGATAAGCTTCACGTTGAAGTCATAAGTTCTTCTTCAAGATTACTTCATCCCAAGGTAGAAACAAAATCAGATCTCTTTTTAAATCCCTTTAAAGATTGAATCAAAATCAGATCTTTGAGCAAGAACAACGTTTTGTTTGATATGATCAGGAAACTCTTGGTTACGTTGTGATAAACCTTGGTGATGTTGTGAATAATCGGAGAATCAATGATAAGTATCATCTGATTGATTCCAAGAATGGTCGGATTCAGATTGAGCTTCAGTGGAGAACTTCTTCTTGACTCCAAAGGTTCGTATTTTCGTCTCCTAGTCGTAGGGTTCACGAAACAACAACACTTTTTGTTTGGCTTCCTTCCGATGTACGTAGAAAAATTCTATATTTGTTGCTATGACTCGATTTGAAGCATAATGGGCTTACACAAACATAATGGGCCACGTATACGCCTTAATTTAGATGGATTTTATGGAAATTATTGTTTTGGTTTTATTTCTTTGACATATTCTGATTTTTTTTTGTCGTTTCTGATTTTTTTTTGCAGCTTATTGGATTATGGATTGTCCTTTTCATCTATTTATTAGAGAATTCTGGTCAGTAATTTAGTTATTCTATCAAAAAGGAAAAACGATTTTTGAATAGAAAAGAAGTGGAGTTAGTTAATAAAGAGAGATGGTCACTGGTTGGTGAATAGTTGGTAAGCTACTAAGCTTAACTTCTTTGATATCATGATTTGGTTAATTCATACCTTCCGCATACAATTTAGTAGTTTGTGTTACTATTGTTGAATGTGATTATTTAAATCCAAATCCGAATAATACAGGTTATTAAAAAAATATGGGTGGTTTAAATCAGGAAAAGATTATAATATTTTTGTACAAATTATTAAGGTCATTGGATAAATATTTGTGGGTAATTTTTATTTGATTATACTATAATATTCATAACTAAACTCAGTAGGCATAATCAATACTTCATAAGCTACTCCATAATCAATATTTAAGGGAGTATTTCTTTTTGTCAGTAAAATATATGCTTATGGATTGAAAAAGTTGAAACTAACACATGATAGCAATTAGCTACTGATTATGTATCATCAAATTTAACAATAATTATAACAAGCTACCGTCTGGTGTGATTATGATTAGGTGATGGGACAATGAGTGACGTGGTGGATCGTTAGTGGTTGATTTAGTTAGAGTTGGGCACGTCCCATTGGACTCTAGTCGCCTATGTTTCGTAATCCGAAGGGAATCGAAAATAAGTAAAACATCATAAATAAGACATATAGGAATCGTGCCGGCACGTTCTTGATGAGTGAGAGTTGCCAAATCCAATGATTAAAGATTTCATTCATGCCTCTCCGTATTTTGCTATACTATAAAGTCTCAATCTCAAGCCATCTTGTTTTTTTTTTTTTTTTTTTTGATAACTAACCATCTTGTTTTGTTGCTATACTATAATGTCTATATCTTTAGATCATGTGAATTAACCTCCCTTGAAATTAAAGACACACGAGATACTTACCAGTACATTACTCGATATGCGGATTCGAATTAGCTAGCTAAACAAAGTTTTTGTAAGAAAATCTATGGTTTTGAGACGTTAGAATATTTTACCAACTACTATTTGTAAATTTTATCGATAAAATGGTTAAAATAAGATAACAACTTTTAGTTGTTGTTTTGGTAAATTGATCAAATTCTATCTTGTTTTGGTAGGTGCCAAGAGGATTAGACGGATAAGCGACTTAGTATACTGATATTGATTGGTTTGAGTTTAATTAAATGATCAAAACTTAGACCATGATTATTGGTAGGCTCTTAGCCAAATCTTAGGTAAATCTTAAGTATTAAAAAGTATTTAATTAAATGGTAAGATTGGTAAGAAATGTTTCTTAGCTAAGAGCCAAAACATGTTTGTAAGAGGTAAATCTTAAGATTTTAATACTAAAAAATTACTAAGAACCATTGTTAAGAAACCCTTGATAATCATGCCCTTAATTAGTTCAAAATTTGATTTTTAATAAAGTTGTGAACAAAAAAATGTTATGGAAAAATTTTCAGAGCTGGTTAAGTCTCATGCGAGGGCAAGTCCGAAGACACTACACTAGGATTTTTAACTAGTCATTACTTGCATTGGTCATAAGATTATATATCAAACTCGACAATATATGATAGTCCAAATTTAAGAAGACAATTTTAACTCAAAACAACAATGAAAATATCCCCAAAAAATATGTGTTAACTAATTGCAATATTTTAAAAACCGTTAAGAAAACAAAGAGATAATACAAAAACATTCATGACATTTGTATTTTTCTTGTTTATTTTTTTTTAAAACTGACAGATCTTCATTTCAAAATTCAAAATCCGTGACATAAAAGAAAAAGAGATTTCAAAATTTTGAAAAGAAAAGAAAAAAGAAAAATAGGAGGTGAAAATAAAAAGTATAATTTAAATAATAGGGGAGTGAGTGTATATGATAAGGAAGGAGGTGTTGGTGTTCTCTTAGCTGTCTCAGAGTTGTTGTTATTGTCTCTACTCCTATAGGCTCCTCTCAAAGTCATCAATCAACCGCCAATTTAACCTCCTCCTTCTTCTTCAAGCTTTCGAGCTCGAAATGTCGAGGATTTGAGGAAGAATCAACAACAAAACAAAAGGGGGATTTTAAGTTTTTATTTTTTTTTATTTTTTTTCTCGATCTTGCGGCGGAGATGAGTGCGTCAAGGTTCATAAAGTGTGTGACCGTCGGAGATGGTGCCGTCGGAAAAACTTGCATGCTGATTTCTTATACAAGCAATACTTTCCCTACAGTAATCTTTCGTCTTCAATTTCAATCTCTTCGGTTTCTTATTTCTATCTTTGTGTGTTTGAGCTCGTTGCAAGAGTAGATTACTGATCTCGAAGCTTATTGGAATTTGACCATGTTTGTTTCCAAAATCGTTAGCAATTTTAGCTGACATATTCAGTTTAGGTCATCTCTTACAAAATCGAAGTTTTCGATTGGAAAATCATGGAGCTGTGTATACTAGAAATTGATTAGACCGTTTGTTTTAACATTTTTTGATAATCTAGGCCAAAGCATTGATCTAGAAGCAAAAGTGATGTTTTGTTATAAAGGATGAGTTTGATTTTAATGTAAATCTGTGACTTGTGATTGGTTTTCAGGATTATGTGCCAACTGTTTTTGACAACTTCAGTGCTAATGTCGTTGTTGATGGGAACACTGTCAATCTTGGATTGTGGGATACAGCCGGTAAATCTTTTGTAAACTGGTTCATTGTGGGAATTTCCTGTTGTTTCGGCTTTTGACTTGGTTTGTGTTTGGGGTTTGAAACAGGTCAAGAAGACTACAACAGGTTACGACCTCTGAGTTACCGTGGTGCTGATGTTTTCATTCTTGCTTTCTCTCTCATCAGCAAGGCTAGCTATGAGAATATTGCCAAGAAGGTTTTGGCTCTTTTGCTAATATTCCAATACAGTTTGTGATGTGTGATCTAATTTGATTTCCTTCCTCTCTCAGTGGATTCCTGAGCTCAGGCATTATGCTCCTGGTGTTCCCATTATCCTCGTGGGAACAAAACTTGGTATTCAAACTCTTTCCTACTGGAACTGATCATGCTTTGTTTTGAATGAAAGGCCCTTGCTTATGTCCATACAAGCCTTGCAACTCCAACAAAGTATTAAATTTTTGGTATTGGCTGCAGATCTTCGAGATGACAAGCAATTCTTCATTGATCATCCTGGTGCAGTGCCAATTACAACAAACCAGGTAAATAATTCTATAAACGAATAGTCTTGTCATGATTGCCAGTTCTTAACGATATATTGTCTAATATCGTTTTGAATGATTCAGGGAGAGGACCTGAAGAAACTGATTGGATCTGCGGTCTACATTGAATGTAGTTCAAAGACACAGCAGGTATACATAACATATCGCGTGTCTTGGTTCTTACTGTTTGCATAGATTGATCTTGTCAAGAGGCTGAACTTTATTTCTTAACTTTTGGGGCTTCTGCAGAACGTGAAGGCAGTGTTTGATGCAGCCATAAAAGTGGTGCTTCAGCCACCAAAGCAGAAGAAGAAGAAAAAGAATAAGAACCGTTGCGCGTTCTTGTGATATGAAAAATCTCTAAGCTAGGTAAACCAACTAAAGAAGAAGAAGAAGAAGATGATTTCAACTATTTGATTCGTCCCCATTTTAATATGATAATTCGACGGGAAGGGAGACATCTCGAGTAGCTTTTTGTATAGTTGCTAAATTGAGCTTTGTTGTTGTGTCTTTTACTCTTTGCTGGTGAATCGTTTGAGTTCACAGAGTAAGAGACCGTGTGTTCTACTCTTGCTATGTAGACTAATCTCTGTCTCTCTCTTCTCTTTTGTTCTTGATGGGGATCATTTTGTATTAACAAATGAATCTAATTAATATTGCAACTGTTTTTGTTTTTAAAAGCTGTTGTTTTCTGCTTCTTTCCCCAAAATGTACATGCAAGTGATCTTACAAAGAATCATGCGTTAAGAGATCTTTCTCCAGCTGCCTGAACAACACTTAAACTGGGGAACAGCCTAAACTGATCAACTTCTTGCTAGAATTGCTTATTGGAAGGAGCCAGCTTTTGCAATCGCATTGATCAATTTAACACAAAAACTTCCAGTTGCCAAAATTTATGAAGAAGATAATTTAGTACGTGGAAACCATAATTTATGATTAGGGTCAAAAATACAGAGATCATACAACAAGTATTATAGATCACTGTGGTTGTACTGTACAAGCTAAGGCCTATGGCTAAGTTGAGAAAGAACAAAACAATATGGGACCTAAAACGGGACTGTATACGGTAATGAAAAAATTCCGACTTCAGACAATAACAGAGCTCTAGGATAAGAGGAACAATCTCCTGAAGTCTGCAAGCTCATGAGCATGTCTTCATCAGTCTTATTAGAAGACTTGGCAGAAGAAGCATTATCTTTCCGACCTGTTCCAAAAAGCCAGTCATCACTGTTGCTATCATCTCCCTCCAATGAATTGCAAGGAGGAACCCATTCATCAAACAATGAATTGTACCGAGATTCTCTGCTTGGCTTATGTTTCTTTCTCTTCTTGGATTCAGAAGGAATTGCAATCTTGTCACTCTCAAGAGAAGATGAGAGTATATTCTCATCATGATCACAGGTCTTTGGAAGAGAGACAGAACTTGGTATTTCGCTGGGTCTCTCTGTCCCTGAGGTGGAACAAACACGATCCTCTTCTTGAGGTACAACCTCAGAAGCTTCTTTCGGTTTCTTGAAGACAAAACGAATCCGTAGTGGTTTACCAGCTACAGGTGTAGCTGCATATGATTAAACATCCCAAGTATCAGAACATAAATTCAAAATACAAGAAACATATTCATCTTATCTGAGAAGAAACAAAACACAAACCTTTGATTTGACTCTCAACAACAGCAGGAGAAGTTTCCCTTCTTCTCTTCTTACTGTTCTGGCTACCATCAGACAAATAACCAACAGAGTGAAGTAGCTCATGTTCTTCCGTCAAACAACTCTTCTCAAGCTGTTCTGATTCATCAGAGACTGTCTTGGCTGGGGAATACTGCTGTTCAAGAGATTTCTTCTCTTCCTTTAATTTCTTTTTCTCCTTCTTCTCTTTCCGATGCACCTTTTTCGAATCGACTATTTGTCTTTCGATCTTTATAATCCATCAGAATAAAGGATTTAGACTAGAGGAATGATTTATCAGGTAAACAACCAGAAACCCATATACGTGGGTTACATCAATCAGTCACAAAAACACAATGTTAATTAGTCAAAACATATACAAACACGTCTTTATGGTTGACTTATTATTGAAGACCAAACCAAACCTAACATACATGTCTACACGACATCTTTAAGAGTGAAATTCAATATGCTAACACATGAATAATATAGATTCAATTCATAGATCTATTAGCATAGAGAAGATATTTTTCCTACAATTTAACCAATCAAAAACTTATATGCAACCTAGCCATATATTGAACTACAAAGAGGATATTATCAGGAAATTTGAACTCTCTCCGAACATAGAAACCCATGTTCAGACAAGAGAACACCGTTGCGAATCAATCACAAGAACTGAGAGCTCGACGAACCTTAGTCGATTCGACCAAGTTCTGACCGTTCGCCCAGTTCCTCGCATACACAGGCGGTGGAGATGTGAAATAACGCGACATCGTTTTTTTTCTCTCTCTTTCTTTCTCAGATCGAATCGATTAGTGAACAAGACAACGGACCGTAAATTCGGACAGGACTAATCGAACCTAGGTTTCAAATTCGCGCCTAATAAACCTTCTTCTTTGTGGTGCGAAATCAAATCGAAATCGATAGCTAGAGACAGAGAGGAGGAGAAGATAACCCTAATTTTTTTTTCTCGATTCGTATCGTTCAGCGATGAGAGAGAGAGAAGAAGAAGAATAAAACCAATTGCGGTTGAGAAAATAATGGTGAAGGGTAAGGTTCTATTTAAAGACGCGTGAAACACTCAGATCCGCCGACTCGGGCTATACTTACGTTTTTGGAAGAATAATGTGAAAACCCTAATTTTTAAGGGCTATTTCCGTCAATTAGTCGTTATCACTCCGTGAAGTTCGGTCCAAGATTGCTACGTCATCTGAAATACCCTTTTTATCCTTTGCGTCTTTCTTACTCCAAACTTCATTATTGGGCTTAACAAACTAACAAGCCCGATTCCATATTACCAAACCGAAACCCAATGTTAATACGAGGAAAGTAATTAATTTAAATTGACTTTGTGATTAATGGGTCTTGTCCGACTTGGTTCCTTACACTTGCATAGAAAAACAGCTAGAATTATCTGTGGGCGTATCCATCACGCGTTGGAACCATCTCTTACTTCTAATCAACGGTTTATAATACCGCCACGTGTATTATTATTAAATAAACAAAAAAGTTTGCGACACAGACAATCCTTCCCTTACCAAAATATTCCCTTGACTCTCTCGATCTATCTTTCATCTTCGTCATCGTTTCCTCTTTCCGATCGAATTATCATCGCCGACGTAAACTCCACTCACCGATTCAGCGATGCAACAGGGAGATTACAATTCGTACTATCACCACCAATACTCTCAATTCCAAAACCCAACTCCGAATCCGAATCCTAATCCCAATCCTTCTCCGCCGGCGCCGGCAACCGTAGCTGGTCCGACCGATCTTTCTCGAAACACATACGCATCAGCGCCACCGTTCACCGGCGGTTACGGTTCCGCCGATTACTCTAACTATTCACAGAATTACACTCCGTACGGTCAAAACTCTGATCATGTCCCTCCTTCAGCTCCTTCCTTCACTCCACCATCACAACTACCTCCTCCTCCTTCACCTCCGGCGATATCGCTAAACCCTAATTCTTATTCCACCTTCAACCAACCACCGCCTCCCCCCACGATTCATCCACCACCTCTATCCTCTTACGGATCATTTGATTCTACTGCTCCGTATCAGCAATCTACAACACAGCCGATGTATCACTCACCGTATGATCATCATCAAACCTCCGGCTATTCATCTGCGCCTCCTCATGCTCCTCCTTCATCTGCGCCTGCGCCGAATCCTAATCATGCGCCTTACTCATCATCCTTGTACTCTGCACCTTCTTATAGTAGCGGAGGATCTTCAATACCTCCTTCGTATGAGAAACCATCGGTGAAATTTGATCAATCTGGTTATGACGGTTATAACCGGAGCAGATCGGATTTAGGATCTGATCTATACGGAAAACGATCTGATAGCGGAGGTTACCCTGCTTTTGAAGATTCTTATGGTGATGGTATTTATGCTTATGAAGGAGGCAAAGCTGAGCCATACGGTTCTCGTGGAACTGCGCCGAAATCATCGAATTCAACATTGTTCGATGATTATGGACGATCCATTAGCTTTTCTTCTGGAGGGAGAGATTCGTCTGTTAGCTCGAATTCTGCTAAGATCGTTAGAGCTGTTCCTAAGGCTGATGTCCAGGAAGATTCCACTGGTGGTGTGCAGAAATTTCGTGTCAAGTTGTTGGCTGAGACTTATGGACAAACCACAACAGATGTTCTTTGCCAGGTAATGTCAGTCACCATTTCAATTTTCTTTTGTGTTACCTAAACTAGTTTTAGTTAATTGGATGCTTGTTTTGTGGTAGCAGATTGGTTTGGATGGTCTCCGTATGCTTGATCCAAGTACTAGCCGAACTTTGAGGATATATCCTCTTGAGAACATCACGAGATGCGAAGTAAGAGATTAGCTACCTTCCTTCCTATGACTGAATTTGTTTCATTTTCGTGACTGGGAAGTCTTATATCTATTGTAAATATCTTTCTATCAGAAACTAGATTCGTCTATTCTGGCTTTCTGGTCTAAGACTCCGGTAGATATTGAAGCTAGACGTATCAGATTGCAATCAAATAGTTACACCACTAACACGCTTCTGGACACTGTCACAGCTGCAATGTTTCAGGTTCCTAATCTTGCAATTTTTATATCATTTAAGTCTATATGTCAATTCTGTCGTGATTTCGATTCACTAATCCAATGTTCTTCTGTTGGTGGGTTTTAGGCTAAGGAGATCGGAGGAAGTAGCAGGCCTCCTACCTCTGGAAAGCTGGTTGAACAAACTGCTGAGAAGAAAAAAGGATTGGGTGATTGGATGAACATTATAAAGCCTGTAAATGAGGAGAAAGATCATTGGGTATGAGTTTTTTTGTTTTGTTGGAAAATAACACAACTCTCTTGTAGTCAAAGTAGTAAAAGGCTAGCGTAGTTTTGCTGATCAATTACATCACTTATCGGTAGTTTTATTGCATAGTTGTGGTATATTGTTCTCAATCCATGTTATTTTTGGATTTAGGTGCCTGATGAAGCTGTATCTAAGTGCACATCATGTGGTTCAGATTTCGGTGCATTTATACGAAGGGTATTATTTTCCCCTATCTGACAATCTGAATTAAGTTCTTGGCCATGTTGGGACTATCAAACCTTACAGATTTTATTTTATTTTCCAGCACCACTGCAGGAATTGTGGTGACGTCTTCTGTGACAAGTGTACTCAAGGCAGGATTGCTCTCACTGCTGAGGATAATGCTCCTCAAGTCCGTGTTTGTGACCGGTGCATGGTATGCTTATCTTTACTGTTCATTTTTCCTTCAGTTGAGGAATCTAGTGGTTCCATAGATTCCCGAGATTGTGTTGATCTACCTTGGTTACCTACTTACCTGTGCTGGTTAAACGTGTAATCTGCACTGGTATCTTGTTTTTCTGTGAATGCCTCTAGGTTCAAAAAGTGTTAATGCTCATGTGTAAGTCTGTTTCTGGATGTGCAGGCAGAAGTGTCACAAAGGTTGAGTAATGCCAAAGAAGCCACTAGCAGGAATGTGAGCGTGCAGAGCCATGAAGACCTTGCTAGGAAGTTACAGGTGAGCTAATCGTCCTGGGTTCTGTATTATTTAATGATCTACAAGTTGAGTTAATCTCTTGCGCAAAGTACATAGTTAAATTCTGATGGCGGATATGTTTGATACAGGAGGAAATGGAAAGAAACCGCAAGTCTTCTTCTGGTAATTCATCAATTTAATATACTTCATACTTATGATATATTGTTTCTGGTAATTTATGGTTGCTGACAATGGTAGCTATGGTTATACCAGGTTCGAGGGAAGGATCTGGGAGGCGGATGAAAGAAGTAGCTTGTCCAACATGCACAGTGCACTTACAGGTTAGATCCTTTGATAGCATGTCTTTCGTTGTATGATTTTGGGACCCAATGTTTTCTAGAATAAGGAAAACAGGGAGGTCCTCATAGGTATCATCACTTGTGTCAGTGTGTATGATCATCTTGCAAACTACATTGACGAAATAGAATAGCTAGACAAAATGTTGATGTCTTACCGTGCGAGCTCTAGTGTTAAACAGCTACGTATGGTCGATGTGAAGTCTATTAAAATTGGATTATGGAGATTGTCGCTTAATCATCTGAACAGTTAATTAAAGCAAGTTGATAGATGACTCGAGACAGATTGGAAATTTGAAGTTGGTTGTTTTTAGTGTCTCTTGATACCATGTATGCGATTGATTATGAGAGCATTGCCATTTAAATTGCAGGTCCAGGTTCCAATCTCAGGATCAGAGACCATTGAGTGCGGAGTTTGCCAAAACCCTTTCCTCGTTAGCGCACATTGATCTTCCTACCCGTTTTTTTTTGCTTGACATATCAATCAAATGTATGAGATTTGGTTCATTTGGTTATTGAATTGGGTTTGATCACACCAAAATAAGTTCTTGTCCTGTCTCATGTGGATGGTGTTTCCCCTTTGTGTGTATATGAAAGTCTTTTGAGTGATGAACAGTAGTTCTGTTGTCTCCCTAATGACTGATTGGTTAATTTACTTTGTCAGACCTCTAATGTCATTACTTCAATTTCTCTGACCATTCACATGAAGTCCAATAATTCCGCTGTTTTTTTTTTACTACTATTATATGAAATGATGGTGGCACCATTGAAGTTAATTAAGTGAAACAAAGACCATTAATGATGGTGGTTTATGGATGTCACATTTTTGAATCCCAATGAAACTTACTATTAGTTATCAATTATTATGTATAGGAGAGGACGATGCTATTCAAATCTTATAATGTTTGATGGTAACGTGTATTAATATAGCATGTGATGCTTTCCTTAATCATCGCACTTATATACACTACCTTAATCTTCCGACAGCTATGCACGGAAAAGCATCTTCCAAAGACCAACGCCCAAAGAGCAATATTAACTCTACTCCTGTCCTGTCTCTTGGTACAACAATGAAACAATATAGTTTGATTTTGTTTCTCTCATCCGTTATTGTCTTCTTCACGACGACCACGGCCACAACCACTTTACCGGCGAGTCTCTCATCAAATGCCACATTCCCGGCGTTGATAGTCTTTGGCGATTCGTATGCCGATACCGGAAATAACAATTACCTCAACACGATCGCAAAATGTAATTATCCACCTTACGGTATCAATTTCGAAGGTGATACTCCGACTGGAAGATTCGGCGACGGTGAAGTTTTTCCCGACTTAATAGGTTCGTTGTATACGGTTAGAGAATAAAATCCCACAATTTTTGTTGTTTTCTTCTCTTTCTCTTTGATGAATCAATCGTATTATTGTTTCCCTAAAACAAGTATATATTTTATCTACATAACATTCTTTTTCCTAAAACATAGTAGGCTCATTTTGCAGCCGAAGGTTTGGGAATTAAACGAACAATACCAGCCTCTTTAGATCCGAGTTTAACACCTCAAGATCTTCTCACCGGTGTTAGCTTCGCTTCTGGTGGTTCTGGTTTTAACCCTCGGATATCCAAAAGCAGGGTAATAACATAACTAAACACAGAACTATTTACTAAGTTTTTCTATAACTCCATCTTCTATTAAGCATCAAGTATTTATCAACGAGAATATCTAGATATATGGATCTCACTAATCAAACGTCGTTTGCGTTTACAAGGTAGTTATGTTTTTTTGAACAAAATAGACAACATTTTAGTAAGTATTCTGTTTATTTATCAAAACATATATGATTTTACAGTTTTTTTGCCGGTGAAATAATTGATATATGTATATTTATCTAAAGTAAACATGTAATCACAACTACAAAGACAACAAAAAAAGTCAATGCTGAAACGTAGAAAATGTGATATAGATGTACATATATAGTTACACCATTTGAAACGTACCTAGCAGTTTAATTATTTGTACATAAAACAATCAAAAATGTTAGTGTTTAAAATTATCTCGTTTTGTAAAGTCTTCTACTCATGTGTCTTCCACTATGTGTATCAATGTTTACCATTTTTTTTTTCTGTCTTTTTCTTATGATATGACAAAAAAAAAAGTCAGCGTTGTCAATGACAGACCAGTTGAAACAATTAAAAGAGTACATAGAAAAATTGAAACAAAATGGAGGAGAAGAGACAACGGATTATATAATATCGAAAAGCTTATTCCTCGTGGTCGCCGGCAGCAACGATGTGCCCAGCGCTACGGCTGGGAATTTTCAATTAGACGTCCCTTCATACACCTCTTCTGTCATAAAACTTGCCTCTGATTTCATGAAAGTAAGTTACATTCTCGCATGATTTTCTCATCCATCAGAATTTTTTTATATGATTAGATATGAAATAATATGTTTTTATAACCATTCATCGCTCACGGTACTAAAATTATGATGTAAGGGATACAAAATTTGTATGAATATAAAATATCTGAATTATCAATCTACGAAAATGTCCAACTATTGTATATTTTTAGGAATATCAGTTACTATATATTTGTTTTGATAGGGAAAAAAACATTTTTTTCTTGTATATGATATAGAAACTATATGGATATGGAGCAAGAAGAATATTGGTCGTAGGTGTACCACCATTTGGATGTCTACCATCACAAAGGACATTAGGAGGAGGTCTTCAAAGAGATTGTGATCAGAATTACAATGATGCATCAAAGCTTTTCAATTCAAAGCTCTCTTCGATGCTGGATTCACTATCAGAAACCTTACAAGACGCCAAATTGGTTTATTTTGACTACTACAACTCTCTTCTTGAGCTCATCCAAAGCCCACAAAAATACGGTGTGTATCGATTATAGTTTATGTGAAACTTATTCTATAATGTTCATCATGATAAGATAAATGATTATATGATAAGAATGATTTACTTTTTTGGACAGGATTTGAAGTGGCGGATAGAGGTTGTTGTGGAACAGGATTGATAGAAGTCATTTGGTTGTGCAACAAATATACGGCATCGGTATGTCCAAATATATCTGCATATTTGTTTTGGGATGGTTATCATCCAAGCGAAAGAGCTAACAGGATCATAATCTCGAAGCTACTTGACAAATCAATCCCCATGTTGTTGTGATAGTATGTATATGTACGAGTGTTCAAACTGCAGCATTTGAGTTTGTTGGTCAAAAATAAAACAATTGCTATCAACCATGTTTCTTTTAAGTATGTATTTTTAAAACAACGCACCATGTGAACCTTTTATCAAAAACAATGAATCATGTGGGTTTGAAACAAATGATAACACAATAACCACATTAACAGAGTATTAATCATTAAACTACGTGTTCTGCAGGTCGTATTTATTTTATACAACTTTTTAACCTTTAAACAGAAAAAATTACTTAAAACAAACATGGTTATGGTGTTAATAACAAAAAGTTACTTTGATGTTACCCAAATCTTTAATAGTTTAGTTGTTATTTTGGTTTTGTTTTACTTTTTATTTATGATTTTTGTTTGATGATCAAACTTTTACCAATGTGTGAATGAATTATTTCGTTTGGATTTGTTTCAATCTCTTTTAACAAAAGTAAGATTCTTCACACCAAACACTGCAACACAGCTGTTGAATTTTCTAGTTTTCTACAAGCAACCTCGAAATTGAGTTTCATCAATTCCCCACATACACATCAAATCTCAACATAGAATTTTGACAAGGTTCATGTCCTGTTTCACGTTTACACTGTCTTCTTGAATGGTATTTGCAAATCCTCTGGTTCTTGTCGGTGAGTGCTACAATGGGGTAAATAAACTTTCAAGTAGTATTATATAACGTTTCAAAAACTCAATATTCTTGTCGATACTTAATCTTTCTCGAGCTTATGTATGTGATCATTTCTTCGAGTTTTTTTTGGAAAGAAACAATGTTCTAATAGTGTAGATATTATAGTAATACGACTACGAGAGTGGGAGTAGTTATGGATTACTGAATTTAAGGAAAGCTCGATGTGTGTGAATGAGAAGAAGCCATAAGAGACAAGTTTCTTCTTCCTCTAACCATCTAAAGCGCATGCTTGTCTCCACATTTTTTTTTTGCTATGTGAGTAATAAAACACTTTGGCTACTTTAGTCTCCCACTCTTTATAATTAGGAGTTTACAACGAAATTCCCTTTTTCTTATCAGACATATAATTATCTAGTGAATATGTTGCAAGATACTGTGGTTTCTTGTTCTTTTTCTAGTTCTAAAATATCTCAATGTGTTTTGTTTCTCTCACTCTTTTATTTCTTCCTCTTGACGATGCATGCCTCAGCAAACCGCTTACAGCGAGTTACAAATCCAGGACCTGCCCCGGCACCAGAGCCTAAGCCATGTCCGAGTCCAGGGCCAAACCCCGGACCAGCGACACCTAGGACACATAACACTACGTTTCCGGCTATCTTTGCCTTTGGGGATTCGATCTTAGACACAGGAAATAACGATTATATTTTGACCTTGATCAAAGCTAATTTTCTTCCATATGGCATGAATTTTCCAGATAAAGTTCCCACGGGCAGATTTTGCAACGGCAAAATCCCTTCGGACTTTATCGGTGACTTTCCTCTCCTTTATCATATCATGAGAATAAAGATAGAAAATATTCATGCTTCTATATCTACGTAGGCTCATATGTCATTGTATGATATCATATGAAAAAACAAATATATTTACCCTAAACTAGTATGAAGATAGTATATTGTATGTACTATATTTTCAATGGAAATATTCTTATGAAAGTTGGTTTTTCTTTTTCCGAATTTCACAGCGGATTATTTAGGAGTAAAACCAGTTGTGCCGGCATATTTGAGACCGGGACTGACCCAGGAAGATTTACTCACTGGTGTATCCTTTGCTTCGGGTGGTTCTGGCTACGATCCTTTGACACCTATCGTAGTAGTAATAACATCAATTTTTTGACTTTGGAAATTACCTCCTTCATGTTTAGTGCTTCCATTTGATTTGATTTGGTTTTAAATGTGTTATCGATGTTATAAGTAGAGTGCAATATCGATGTCAAAACAATTGACATACTTTCAAGAATACATAGAGAAAGTGAAAGGCTTTGTGGGAAAAGAGAAAGCCGAGCACATAATATCCAAAGGCCTAGCCCTTGTGGTAGCGGGCAGCGACGATCTGGCCAATACCTACTATGGTGAACACTTAGAGGAATTCTTGTATGACATCGATACATATACCTCTTTTATGGCTAGCTCTGCTGCAAGTTTCGCTATGGTACGTGAAACCAATCCTCTGATTTAATTGTTTATATGAACTAGTATATCAAACCTAAAGGATATGAGTTTAATTTTGGCAGCAACTATATGAATCAGGAGCAAGAAAAATAGGATTCATTGGTGTTTCTCCTATCGGGTGTATACCGATACAGAGAACCACAAGAGGAGGACTTACTAGAAAATGTGCTGATGAATTAAACTTTGCAGCTCAGCTTTTTAATTCCAAACTCTCCACAAGTTTGAACGAAGTGGCTAAAACCATGAAAAATACCACATTGGTGTACATTGACATCTACTCTTCTTTCAATGAAATGATTCAAAACCCCAAAAAATATGGTAACGCTCAACTACTCACTCTACAATGGTGTTTTTGTGAGTATAAGTTTGAGATTCATGTTTTTGTTTTTTTTTTTTGGGATTTTTTGCAGGATTTGATGAGATTGATAGAGGATGTTGCGGGACGGGGCTAGTCGAATTAGGTCCGCTTTGCAACAAATTCACATCACTTCTTTGCAAGAATGTGTCTTCTTTTATGTTTTGGGACTCTTACCATCCAACGGAAAGAGCTTATAAGATCTTAAGCCAAAAGTTTGTAGAGAATGACATGGGCCCTTTCTATGACAATTAAATATATGTAAATTTAAGATGACCCATTTGATCACGTTTTAGATGGAATTTAGCTAAATAAAAGCTGTATCTCATTTGGATTAATGTCTTAAAACATGTTTATTGTATTATACATATAAATTGACATGGAGCGAGAAATTCAGTTATTTTTCTAAAGATTTGTATTCTGTGTGCTTTGACAATAATCGGACAGACAAAAGTGTAAAATGCAATTATATTGTGTGAATATAGCCGAATTGACACACCTTCTTCTTGTTTCAATTGATCGAATCCATCTCATTCCAACAAAATTTTAACTAAATATAATTTAAATCATTGCCATTAAAGAAAGTTTAAAAGAAGGCCAATCCGCTAGGAACTTCTCACCCTCAGACACAGTCGCACAGGCATCAGCTTTGAAATCGGGTAACCTAATGGCTCTATGGCTTCACTAGGAGATCCATGGATCCTCCTCTAAGTACCATCTAGTTGTACTCTGTTTTTTATTTCTTTTTTGGCAGAGCTCAAATCTTAGGTTTTATTCTGTAACACCACTTTCATTTATATGATATTTACAAGTTTAGCAAAAAAAGAAATCGGGTAACAAAATTTTGTGGGAAGCTATATATATTACATAGACATAAACCCTAACTCCAAATCCAACTGTAGTTACTCTGATAAACTTTTCTGGTTAAGTCAAAGATAGGGAATATTTAATGTAGTTCATTCCTCATGAGTTTCTATATATGGATTGAGAAGTCACGAAAGATGCTAGAAAGAGTACTTAAGTTCCTACTTGAAACTGGAGACCGAATATAAGGGAAGTCCTAAAACGTGTGAAGAAAGAAGCCTTGAGACACAGGTAACTTGAACGAGGCCACATTAATTGCATGTCCTAATCTACGTAATGCATATATATACATACTCAAGTACATATTGACATGACATTGGCAAACACTTGAATTAAAACTGTCTTTTTACTACTTTTAGTAAAAACCATGAAGCGATCTTCCTTGGTCGATTCTTGTTCATATTCGAGAATATTTCGTAGTATTTTCTATCTCTTATCCTTTTGTATCTTCTTCTTGACAACGACCAATGCTCAGGTCATGAACAGACGGCTCTGGCCTTGGCCATTGTGGCCACGACCGTATCCACAGCCGTGGCCAATGAATCCACCAGCACCTGACCCATCACCAAAGCCTTCCCCACCACCTGTCCCATCACCAAAACCTGTCGCACCACCAGGCCCATCTCCATGCCCGTCACCACCACCAAAGCCTCAACCCAAGCCACCACCAGCACCTAGCCCAACTCCATGCCCATCACCACCACCTAAGCCTCAACCAAAGCCAGCGTCACCACCAGCATGCCCACCAACACCACCTAAACCTCAACCAAAGCCAGCACCACCACCAGCACCTAAGCCAGCGCCATGTCCATCACCACCTAAGCCACCAGCCCCAACTCCAAAGCCTGTGCCACCACATGGCCCACCTCCAAAACCTGCTCCAGCACCAACGCCTGCCCCCTCGCCAAAACCTGCCCCATCACCACCTAAGCCAGAAAACAAAACCATACCGGCCGTGTTTTTCTTTGGGGATTCAGTCTTCGACACAGGAAATAACAATAACCGAGAAACAAAGATAAAAAGTAATTATCGTCCCTATGGTATGGATTTTAAATTTGGAGTTGCTACTGGTAGATTCAGCAATGGAATGGTTGCTTCCGATTATTTATGTTAGTACTTTCTCTCCCTCTCTCCTTTCTTTTCTTTTGGGCCAGACGTTGGCCCAATAGGATTGATATTGGCCATTAATTACAAATTTTCAACATACTTAAAAAAAGGGAAGGAAAACCAATTATAAATTCTTCTAATTAATTACATTTTTTTTGGTATCCTAATCCCAATAGCCAAATACATGGGAGTAAAAGAAACTGTACCGGCATATTTAGACCCAAAAGTACAACCAAACGATCTTCTTACGGGCGTATCTTTTGCATCGGGTGGTGCTGGCTACAATCCTACGACATCCGAAGCAGCGGTAAGTTCGAATCACTTTTATCATCATATTATCATATGGAGTAATTTATATTTGCAACCATAATCATCATTTGATTTATTTAAATCAGAATGCAATACCAATGCTGGACCAATTGACATATTTCCAAGACTACATAGAGAAAGTAAATAGGTTAAGACAAGAGAAGAGCCAAGAAAAGTTGGTAGGTTTAGAGAAGACTAATCAGCTAATAGCCAAAGGAGTAGCAATTGTCGTCGCCGGAAGCAATGATCTTATCATTACATATTTTGGAAGTGGTGCTCAACGACTCAAAAATGACATCGACTCTTATACCACTATCATTGCTGATTCTGCCGCCAGTTTCGTTTTGGTACGTATTATTTTAGCTTTCACATCCTCCTTTTTTTTTTTTTTTTTGCTTTTCCAAATTCACAAACATTATTTAATTTCCTTAAACTAGTAAAATAACGTAAATGTATAAATTGGGCAGCAATTGTATGGGTATGGAGCAAGACGTATTGGAGTGATCGGAACACCACCACTTGGATGTGTACCATCACAAAGATTAAAGAAAAAGAAAATATGCAATGAAGAGCTTAATTATGCTTCTCAGCTTTTCAATTCTAAGCTCCTCCTTATTTTGGGTCAACTGTCAAAAACCCTACCAAATTCTACATTTGTTTATATGGACATCTACACTATCTTCAGTCAGATGCTAGAAACTCCTGGGGCTTATGGTAAATAATTTACTGTGGCAATTCATATAACACTTTAAGTTATTTATAATATATGATCATGCATATGAATTTTACAATTTTTGCATGCAGGATTTGAGGAGACAAAGAAACCGTGTTGCAAAACAGGATTATTAAGCGGAGGTGCCCTCTGCAAGAAGGCTACATCGAAAATCTGTCCCAATACATCGTCTTATTTGTTTTGGGACGGTGTGCATCCTACTCAAAGAGCTTATAAAACTATAAACAAAGTACTTATTAAAGAATACCTTCATGTTTTATCTAAATAATATTACATGATTTATCACATATGAAAATAAAATCTTTTGCTATGTACTAATGATGTAGAAGACATGGGCTGTTTCTGTGACTAAAAATGTAGTTAAGCAAACAACATTTGAGATAGTAATGTAAGAGTTTTCTTTTGTGTCAAACAGAATCCCCATTGAGTCATGTTTGTATTAGTGAATGATCATGTTTGTGGTGTAATGGCCAAATAAATTTAATCTGTAATTTCTTAGTTCTTGTTTTTTTTTTTAAATGAGAAATTCAGTTATTTTCTAGGATTATATTCGATGTGTTAAAAAAAACTAAAGCGGTGAATTTTAGACTATATACATAATCTCGTGTTCTTAGGATAGATGAGTGCGACTTGATCAATTGAGTTTCAGGTCTACTACTAAAATCATAAAGAGGCCCGTTAACCGATAAAAATTCAATTTGAAAATACAAATAAGTTCATATGAAAATGGGGATTTAGATCTTTGAGAAGTTGGAACCACATCCGAACAAATTTCTTACACCGCGGCTACCATATTTGATAACAAGAAAATCCGAACCAAATATGTTTTTAGCAGGGGTACATATATCCAAGGGGTTCTTATCATTTCTAAAACAATATATGGTATAATCTAGGAAACTATGGGGACATATCAAGAAATCGCAGACACTGATTGATGGACTTCAAATGCATGCTCTTGAGTAGTAAAACCAGAAGTGCCCGAAAGAGTTGAGTCTGATTGATACCAGCAGAAGAACCTAAATATTAGGAGGTTCAAAAATGTGTGATCAGAAAGAGACACTTCACACACCGTCACATACATCGCATGTCCGAAACAATGTATTTACTATTTTCTTAATTCGATTTTAAGAGAAAATTTCATTTACATGATTTCAGATATCCACAATTTTGACATTATGAAATAAAAGATAAATCATACTGAAATATCCATCACTAGTAAGAAAAAATATAAGCAAAAATTTACTGATCATATATGTTACTCTATACATTGCTGATCATATAGATAGTTTCTTTCTGAGGAGCTTTTAGTAAATCAGTCCGTGAGAGAATAAATTAGATTGGCAACTGGTTTACACTTACGTAGGAATACTTTTTGGATCTTAATAAGGAAATTTTAATGTAAGGAAATTCTCAAAACGTGTGATAAAAGAAGCCTTGAGACATACGTAACTTTAATTTAACACGGCACAAAAATCGCATGTCCAAATAGAGATTAAGATGTACACACATACAGAGTGACATCACTAGTGGTATAAACACATGCAAAAGAGTATCGTTGGTAAATTTTTCATCTTTATTTTTTTGTTAGAGAAGCTTTTTTTATTTCAGAGATTGATAGCTAGGTATAGAACCATGAAACAATATAGGCTGATTTATTCGAGATTAACTGGATGTGTTTTCTTTCTTTTACCATCATTTTGTATATTCTTCGTGACCACCACCCATTCCCAAGTGATCCACCACCAACGACTGCGGCCGTGGCCACCGCCAGAATTTGGGTCAGGCCCATCACCTGGCCCATCTCCATCACCACATAACAAAACCACACCGGCAGTGTTTTTCTTTGGGGATTCGATCATAGATACGGGAAATAACAATAATCTAACAACAGAAATGAAATGTAATTTTAGTCCTTATGGTATAGATTTTCCGCTCGGAGTTGCAACTGGTAGATTCAGCAACGGAAAGGTCGTTTCCGATTATATATGTTCGTACTCTCTCTATCGTTCTTTCTTTCTTTCCTCTTCTTTTGTGCCGGACTCTTAGAAGATTTGTTTATTTCATAGCATGTACGTTATGGGAGTTTGAACATAATTGGTGATAGAGTGATAATACTATCACAAATTACTAGGTTATAGTATATAATATGATCATCTGTTAAAATTCTTTGTTTGTTTAAAATAATGTTAGTTTGTTAAGTGAACAGAACCCTAAAAATAAAGTATAGTATGTATAATTTTGTTTTATCAATACTATTGCTTCCTGTAAACATTGACAAAATAGCAAATTAATGAGAAAAAGAGTTTATATTTATGATTATTTTTCAATTTGTCTAAGTATTGTTTTTTGGTTTTTGTATTTATTTAAATTTACAGCTGAATATTTGGGAGTAAAACCAATTGTACCAGCATATTTTGACCCCAATGTACAACTAGAAGATCTTCTCACCGGTGTATCATTTGCTTCAGGTGGTAGTGGCTATTACCATTTGACACCCAGAATATCTGTAAGATGCAAATCGATCCTCTCTAGGTTATATATATATCTAATCTTTTATCCTAATCATGTGGGCAAAATATAATCAGAGAGTTACGTCAATGTTGGACCAATTGACATATTTTCAACGACACATATCGAGAGTAAAGAGGTTAATAGGGCAAGACAAGACCGATCAATTGTTAGCCAAGGGATTATCTGTTGTGGTCGCCGGCAGCAACGATTTGGCTATTACATACTATGGTCAAGGTGCGCAATTGCTCAAAGACGATATTCACTACTTTACTTCAAAGATGGCTAATTCTGCCGCAAGTTTTGTTATGGTACGTACCTCTTCATCCATCTTTTTTTTCTTTCTTTCTAGAGTTCATAAACTTACACTCCAAATAAAATTAAAAGTTCATGCAATTACGTTCAATGATTTCAAAAACTATATATTATGATTTATTGTAAGATAAGAAGACATTCCAAAACTATCATAATATCAAAAATTTGCATGTAATGTATTTAAGTTTTAAAAAGCGACATTTGTCAAAGGTAGTAAATCAACTTGTTAGAATTTTAGGACTTTAGATTTGCTTCTTAAAAATAATCTTAGTAGAAAACAGTATAGCTATTGATGTAATGAATTTAATTTTATACAAAAAAGATCTAAGGTACTTAATAGAATAATAATGTAGATGACTAGATGTACATAAACTTGACAACCAACAATATTGAATTTGGTCATGATTAATGTTTTCTTTTTGGGATAAAATGTGAAATTATTACCAAAAGGAATTATTGTTTACAAAGGTTTTAAACTAAACTAAATATGGTCATGATTATGTTTAATAATTAATATATGGTATACATACATAAAAATGACAATCTTAGCAATTTCCTTTCAAAGATTTTCTTTACTGGCACTAACGTAAATAAATTAATAACTAAATGTTTTTTTTTTATAACAATAACCTATCTCTATGGATACAATTGAACAGCAATTATATGAATATGGAGCAAGACAAATAGCAGTTCTAGGAACACCACCACTTGGCTGCGTACCAATACTAAGAACTCTAAAAGGAGGTCTTCGTAGAGAGTGTGCTCAAGATATAAACTATGCTTCTCAGCTTTTCAACGTCAAACTCTCCATCACTTTGGACCAATTGGCAAAAAACCTACCAAATTCCAATCTCATTTACATTGACATATACTCTGCTTTCAGTCACATCTTAGAAAATTCAGCAGATTATGGTAAATATTGGACCGTGAATAATTCTTATAAGCACTACTGTCATGGGATCATGTATATATAACTTGAGTTGAGAATTAATGCAGGTTTTGAAGAAATAAAGAAAGGTTGTTGTGGAACTGGATTTGTGGAAGCAGGTCCACTTTGCAATCGTTTCACAACATTTGTGTGCTCCAATGTATCTGCTTACATGTTTTGGGATAGTCTCCATCCTACCCAAAGATTCTATAAAATCTTAACCAAAATACTTTTTGAGAAATACATCCACAATTTAAATTGAGTAGTAAATGACTCACATTGTATGCTTTTGCTTTCTTTAAGCTTGTGCAGTTGTTATAAATTGTATAAAAGTATTGTAAGTCACTATATATATTGATTATTAATTGATTCTAAGAGAATCTTCTATCACTCTTCACATGGTTTCAAAGATCATATCAAAATCAATCAGTTCATTTGATCTATAGCTATCTTCGAAATACAGCTTTTTATATAGTTATTATCATTTTCTTTTTTAAGTCATGATGATGTAATAATATAACATGATATATAACCAAATTATATGATTTAATCTGCACATTGTTGTGGGGGTAAATCAGTCAAATAATTGAATACAACTGAGTGGTAAGACTTGATTTGCTGGATTGGCTAAATATATATAATCAGTCCAGTGATACAGGGAAGAGTGTTGTTCTTTAACCACAAAAACAAACAAGTTTCATACCATTATTCAAGGGACTCGATGAACTCTCTCAACCTTTCACCCATGTATAAAAAGTAAGACGATAAAGTAAAAAATTCATTTAAAAAAAAAAAAAACTAAATTAAAACTAAAATTCAAAACAAAAACATAGTTAGAAAAAAATAAAAACTTTAAAATTTCTTTGATATGGAAAATACAGCCATCAAAGTTTTAGTAGTATTATTTTCTATATGGATTTCATGTGTTCAAGCTCAAACTGGAAGATTTTCAGCAGTTCTTGCATTTGGAGATTCGATTCTCGATACTGGTAACAACAATTTGCTCATGACAGTGTCAAGAGGCAATTTTTTGCCATATGGACGTGATTTTCCTCATCGTATTCCTACCGGAAGATTCGGGAATGGAAGAGTTCTATCAGATTTAGTTGGTATTAATTATTGTTCTCTATACAACATAGACCAATTTTTTCTTCACATTCTTTAACCTAATGAGTAATCAAATAGTTATAATGAAAATGTACATGCTATATATGTATGTAGCCGGCGGTTTAGGGGTAAAAGATCTTTTACCTGCCTTCCGGAGCCCATTTCTTAAAAGTAGTGAACTCGCTACCGGTGTTTGTTTTGCGTCTGGAGGTTCAGGGTTAGACAAATTCACTGCATCTATACAGGTAAACCACTTGTTACTTATTACTTTTAATAAGATAAAGTAATATATGTGTTTACTCATTTACTATATGGTAAACTATATAGGGGGTTATATGGGTACAAGATCAGGTGAATGACTTTCAAAGATATATAGAAAAATTAAATCAAGAAGTTGGAGATCCAGCTAAAGTCAAAGAGATTATAGCCAATGCTGTTATTCTAGTTTCTGCTGGTAATAACGATCTTGCCATCACATATTTTTCAACTCCGAAGAGACAAACAAGATACACTGTCCAAGCATACACTGATATGCTCATCGGTTGGAAAACTACCTTCATGAATGTATACAACACACATTTATCTATATAAGTTTTTTCTTCATAATATTTTGCTACCTATAATGATTATTTTGTATGAATAACAGAGTTTATATGATTTGGGAGCTAGAAAATTCGCAATTCTTGGAACGTTACCGTTAGGGTGTTTGCCAGGGGCGAGACAAATTACCGGGAATTTGATATGTCTTCCGAATGTAAACTATGGTGCTAGAGTATATAATGAAAAAGTAGCAAACTTGGTCAATCAATACAGCCAGAGGCTTCCCAATGGCAAATTCGTCTACATTGATATGTATAACTCACTTCTTGAAGTCATCAATAATCCTAGCCAATACGGTAAAAAATTGATTAACACACGCTAATTTTGAATATACAGTATATAGAAAAAAACAAGGGTGCTAATTTCTATATTTGAATGAATTTCAGGGTTTACCACGGCAAAACCATGTTGTTGCTCGGTGATGACTCCGATTCCATGTTTAAGATCTGGTAGTCACGTGTTCTGGGACTTTGCTCATCCTTCTGAAAAAGCCTACAAAACTGTTCTACCTAAGATCCTTAGTACCATCCAAAGCAACCTCGCTTAGTCACTAATTTTCTCTTTCTTTTGATATTTAGACTATAAGAACCATGAACCGTGGTTTGAGAATGATTAGTTTCTCGACGATGAGCCATTTGTAGGTCTCTATTGTTTAGATTGATTTATGGTACCATCAACTAATTAATCATTGACTATTTCATTTGCAATGTAGGTGCTTGTTAGTTTAAGAAACCAAAAAAATACGTATTTGGTATAAGTATTTCGTACGCATATACATTTTGTAAGAAAATCATATTGGGAGAACCGAAGATCGATCGAGATCGATTGTCGAAATGAAAAGCCCAAAAATAAGGAAATCATGAAGATCGATAAGAATTTAGAGATAATGGTAAATATCCTAAACTAAGATATTAACAAATAACATAATCTTCTAGATTCTTTTCGATCTTCATGATTTCTTTATTCTGGGGCTTTTTTATTTCGAATGTCGATCTCGATCGTCGATCTTCGGTTCTCTCAAGACAATGATTTCTATCTATTTTGAGTGAGGGAACATTTTAGTAAATTCATGAGCTATGTTCCTTAGTTATTGGATATGTATCGCCTTATAAGAATTGATGTCTCCTAGTAAACTTGAATGTTTTTTAAGCTCAAAGTTAATTTGATCATCAACTAAAGGAATCAATTGTTCGAGGTACATTTTCGATTATGGTGATTGTCCGATAAAAAAAAAGTCATGTCCACCTTGTTTCTGTCTTTATAAGACTTTGACACCATCGTCACCACTCACCATTACTCCGATTTCACCATTTTTCTTCGTTGAAAATATCCTAACGTAAAAATAATGTTTTTAGCTAAAATACTATAGATAACAGCCAGAAAAAAATATTTAAAGATCAACAAATGAGATAAATACAAAACAAATAATATGTTGTTAATCTTGATTTGTTAAGATTAAAATAATATTTCATGGTAAAATTTTTGGTGTTGGTCACCTAATTTTTACATTTTCGTCTATATTCACTACAAAAAAAAACTAATTACTATAATTCATAATAACTTCACATAGATTTTACCTACAAACGTGGGTGTTTTCTTTTATTAAAACATAAAAACCCTAGTCAATGATTTGCCCACGTAGATAAACTGTATTTTCTGAAATCAGATTCGGTAAATCTTTGGAAAAGTAAAAATATTTATGGAATACAGCTAAGATTGAGTTTTTGGAAAAGTAAAAATATATCCATTTTTTTTCTTAATACTGTATTTCCATTTTATTTTTACTTTTCCTATTATTTTTTTTTTGTAATTTTTACTTTTCCTATTATTAAAAGGAGTAGATTTACTTAAAAGCAATAAACCGACTTTAATTACCAATTAAGAATTGGGCTTTACTTAGATCTATAAATAGGGCACCAACTTCTCCAAACCTTGAGACCTTCACAAATCAATCGCCGCGCCGATTCTCTTCAAAACTTTTCTCACTTTTTTTCCTTCTCCTTGAAACGATGGCTGCGAAGAAGATCATCCTCAAGAGCTCCGACGGTGAATCTTTCGAGGTCGATGAAGCCGTCGCGGTCGAGTCCCAGACGATTAAGCACATGATCGAGGACGACTGCGCCGATAACGGAATTCCCCTTCCCAATGTCACCGGAGCCATCCTTGCGAAGGTTATTGAGTACTGCAAGAAGCACGTTGAAGCCGCGGCTGAGGCTGGCGGAGATAAGGATTTCTGTGGTTCCACCGAGAACGATGAACTTAAGGCATGGGACAATGACTTCGTCAAAGTTGATCAGCCTACTCTGTTCGATCTCATCCTGGTTAGTATTCGTTTTCTTTGTTTTGGTTTGATTTTGTTAGAATTAGGGTTTCTAATTTGGGGATTTAGGTCTGATTTTGCAGGACTCTGTTAGGGTTTTAGTGTATTGAATGTTGTTTTGATCTGTTTGATTTGACTAATCGATATGTGTTTATGTGTCTTTGTGTTTTCAGGCTGCTAACTATTTGAACATCAGTGGACTTCTTGACCTAACGTGCAAGGCCGTGGCTGATATGATGAGAGGGAAAACTCCAGAGCAGATGCGTGAGCACTTCAACATCAAGAACGATTACACACCTGAGGAAGAAGCGGAGGTTCGCAATGAGAACAAGTGGGCGTTCGAGTGATTGGATTGGAATCGGTGTTTAGGAATCCCTAGTCTTCTTTTTAGATGTGTTTAGCTTTCAAGATTTCGGATTGGCTTTTTCTTTCTTTTCTTTTGGTTTGGAGTTGTTCGTTGTCTTTAGAATTTAAGAAGAAAAACCTAATGTTTTGTTCTACTAACAAGATCTATTGGTTTCTATGAAAAATATTTGAGATTCAAGTGTTGGTCTTGCTTAATCTTATTCTTCTTAATTCTTAATTATCGTTAAGTTTTGCTGTCATCACCTTTGCTGGTTACAACGAATGGACTCCTCACCTTGTACATTCCGTTAGACCATGTTATAGATCCACAAGCATCGTCCTTGAGTATTGATGTAGTAGATGAGAAGATCACTTGGTAGCTAAGTTTATCTCCTATCTTCCTGAAATGTAGCCTTCGTGGTATCACTCTAACTTGTAACCCTTCTGGTGCATCGACGCTCACAGTGTAGACTGTATCTTCATCTCCAATGAGGCGTGATGCTACATTTGTCACTGTTCTGCTTATCCTTCTGCTTTCTTTTCCATTGAAGTTAGAAATTGAGATTGATGGGTAGTTGATGTTAGATATGTCTCCCCTGCTGCTTTGTTCAGGACAAGCAAAACCTTGTGGTATGCGGTTTGATATCTTTCTGATCTGATCAGAAGTAAACCCATAGTAGCAGAGAAAGTTTAGGTAGTCCATGGGAGTGGTTTCATAAATCAGTCCTGGGGATGAAGGTCCAAATACAGTAACCTGCCCAGCACCAAAGTCATAAGGTGTGGCCTTTTCTCCTGTTTCTGTAGTTATATGGGATCCTGTGTTGGTCATTTGCACGGCTGCAGATAGAGAGTATAAGACTTTGGTTAACTGTAGCCGACCGATCTGTAATCCGCAACTGGTATCTACTTGATTTTGATTTCTCACCTGTTGTCATGATGGCAGATCTAATCGCTGCAGGACTCCAGGAAGGGTATCTGGATTTGAGACGAGCAGCAATCCCGGAGACATGGGGACATGACATTGAAGTCCCTGATTGAATGTTGAAGAGTGGTGGTGGCTTGCCCTCTGGTGCTGCATTTCTGTCACCGACTAACCACGATGCCAATATGTTGACCCCTGGTGCTGCAATATCAGGCTGTAACAGGTTTCTCATGGGGTTAATTCTTTCAGAATGAACTGTGTATCAATTTGTTTTTTGAAGTTTATGTGAATTCTGTTAAGATCATATTTATTCTGAATATTAAGGGCTTGTACCTTGAGGATGCTTCTGGTAAGCAAGTAAGGACCTCTTGATGAGAAGGATGGTATTGATGGTGCTAACATATGTCCTGTTCGTGATCTTGTAGGCATGATCGTTGCAATTGGTTCTCTACAATGTGGATTTTGATATACATATTAGTTTTCTGTGTGAAATCAATATCTTGTGAAATGAGACATCTTATTTTTTACCTTCTTGAATTTATGTAGGACAGGATTCGTACCCCTTCCTCTGGTTTTACTATTGTCACTAGAAACGAGGGATCAATAAAAGACAGATCCATTGACTCGTCGTCAATAATTACCATACCGGCACCTCCAAGTCTCTTAACCTCTTCGCTTTTCCACTGGATCACCTGGTTACCAAGATCATTGTCGCACACAACAATCTTTCCCTTAACAATGGTTTGGTTCATTGTATCAGGTGCACAGTTCCTGAAGGGTTGCAGTTGTGTTCTCTTGTTAGTATAAGTATAACAAAGTTACTCCATAATGTTAAGAGGCAACTGTCACCTAGCAGCTTCCTCATTAGCATCAATCGCCTTGGCTGATCGTGCGTGAATGAGTGGGTAAGCCTGGGTTTTATTGATATTGGCAATATTTATTCCAAACCCCTGCAAAAGAAATTTTGTAAGTATAATAGGATGTTATGTGAATGGAGATTTGCCCCTTTTTTGGCTTTTCCTTTCTACCTCGATTAATCTGTTTTCATCTCCTCCCAGAAGAATGTTGGACTCAAAGCCACGGTCAATAGTGCTGGCAGCAACAGTGATCATCCATGGAGCAGCATTAAACACACTTTGACTCGATGGGCCAGAATTTCCTGCAGAACAAACGACAGTGATCCCTCTTTCCACGGCATGAAATGACCCGATGGAAAGCGGATCTTCAAGTAAATTGTCTGGCCATAAGCCCATTGATATGGATATAACATCAACTCCATCTGCGATCGCATCATCAAATGCAGCTAGTATGCTGGAGCCACGGCAGCCCAGGAGTGAGCATGCTCTATACATAGCTATTCTTGAATTTGTTGAACCTCCTCTCATGATTCCACTTGCCAGACCATAGTAGGATGCATCAGATATTATTTGCCCTGCTGCTATTGATGCCACATGTGTCCCGTGCCCCAAAAAGTCTCGTGGTGTCTCATAATCGGGGTCTAAGAAGAATGACGAATTGTAATACCTTGCTCCTATTAGTTTCCTGTTTATGCAACGTTTAACGTAAGTCTGAGGTGGTAAATTCAAACATTTATCGCATCTCTACATGTGTTCTACTTTCCTGTCTCTGCTTACCTATTGCAACGGAAAGAATCAGGTTGTGTCTTCTTCCCTCTCATGCAAGTGCCCTTCCATTTCTCTGGGACTGGACCCATGTGCCTGTCGTTAAAGCTCTGCGCCTCGGGCCAAATTCCTGTTTTCTCCATCAGAATATGCTGCATTGAGTATTTGTTTTACTAGAAGTGGAATATAAATATTTCATTGCTTCATATTGTTCACCTGAATCAAGGAAGCCAATAATGGTGTCTCCTTCATGCACGTCGGATTCTTGTCCATAGTTCATTTCAGTGAAGTCTCTTTGATAACTTTCTTGTACCAAGAAATCCCATGAACGAGTTGTGTGGAGCTGTAACATCTGATCAGGGAAGACAGATACTACTCCCGGTTGCTTGGCCATGAGATGTGCTTCATCTTCTGATAAATGGGCTGCGAATCCAGAGAATCCATGTTTGTATCTGTGCATGGGGGTTTTACCGCTCCTGATGCAAGTAAGATTCTGTCTAAATATTTGCATAACATGAATCATGGTTAGAAAATCAAAGAGTTGCATGATTTAGTTATCACCGCTGTAACATTGAGCTCAGAAGTTCAACATGGTCATTGTCTGTTGAGTCATCAGAGGATGCTGCTCCCATGTATATGATATAATCTCCTGATTTACTTGTTTCAGACTTACAGTTTTGGATCACAGACAGAAAGAGAAACATAACGAAGATGACGGTGACAGTGAGGCATCTCATCATCGCTGAACTTCTTGAAACAGGACAAGAATACATCTTGTTCACCTCTAACTTTTGCCTTATGTTTCCAGGTAAAACTTTATATGAGTATGTCGTAAATCGTAATAATCTCTATCACAAACATATATAATATCAGAAGGTTAGGTTAGCTTTAAGCCCAGCCTGTTTTAATGGGGGGAGCGAAGGTAGTTCGTTTGACACAGTCATGCTCATGCATTCCCTTTGTGTGAAAGCAAGATTGCCTAACTTTAAGGAGATTTTTTCTGCATGGTTATTAACAAGGCTGGTAACTGTAACTTAGTACGCCAGATTGGTTGATAAAAAAATTGTTGATGTTCTGCTTTATATGCTCTAGATAATGCAGAAAAAATCCATGATTAGTTTTATATGTCACAAAACCGATGTTCGGGACTGTTACCTACTTAATGATCTCTTTGAACTTTCATCATTTCAATAATCAGAGAAGGTGTAGTTTACTTTGCTTCAAATTAAGTTTTATTATTCCATATTGATACTGAACGTTATACCATCTACTCAGTTTGTGTGGCTAGTCTCGCTACTAATTACAATTGGGCTTCTGACCTTGTACTTGGCATTAGACCAAGTAAGAGCCCCAAATACATCTTTCTTAAGTGAAGCAGTAGCAGAGACTATCACCTGGTATGTCAACTTCTCACCATCTTTTGTAAATTGTAGTTTCTCTGGCGTTACTTGAATATTAAACCCTGGTGGTGTTTCCAAGCTGACTGTGTAAACAGCCACACCGTCTCCACCAACATTGGTCAATGTTCTTGCAACTGTCTTGCTTCCATTTCCTTTGAATCCAGAGATTCCAATTGATGGATAATTGATAGTTGAGATTAAGTCTAAGTTGGAATCTGCAGGGCAAGTGAAATTTTCTGGAAATGCTTTTGCCATAGCCTTGATTGTGGTTACGTTGTATCCATAGTAACAGAGAAAGTTCAGGTAGTCAATTTCAGTAGTCTCGTAAACTAGTCCTGGTTGCATTGATGCTGTTGAGCTTAGTTCTCCTGCTCCAGAGTCATAAGGCGTGGCTGCTGCACCAGTTTCTGTTGTTATAAGACCTTTGTCGTTGTTTGTTTGAGTCGCTGCGAATGTGACATGGAAGTTAAAGAACATCCAATTTTGCATGCCGTAATCACAAAATATGCAATGAAGGAGTCCTAACCTGTTGTCATGATTGCTGATCTGATCGCGGATGGACCCCATGTTGGATGCTGTGATTTGATTAGAGATGCAACAGCTGTAACATGAGGAGCTGCCATGGAAGTTCCTGATATGACGTTATACTGAGAAGCTGGCTTGCCTTCTAGCGAAATGCTTGAGTCGTTTCCAGTCCATGCAGCGAGTATCGCGACTCCCGGTGCTGTAATGTCAGGCTGTAAAATAGAGGTAAGTAGATGCTTCTCATCAGGTAATAACTAAAGCAGGCCACAAGTTTTTGGATTACTTTTAGAATGCTTCTTGTGAGGCTTGAAGGTCCTCTGGAAGAGAAATATGCAACGGAAGGCGCGGGTGTGAACTTCTCAACTGTTGCAGTTGGAAGAATTGTTGCAACAGGATCTCTGCAACACGAGACAAAAGGTTTCATTCATTAGCTCCTCACTGACTATTATAGTTCGTAGAACTTTGAGATTGAAAGAGGTTTGCTTGTTAATTACTTGGTTGAGTTGAGATAGGAGAGGATCTCAGCTGCTTCCTTTGAGTCAATTACGGTAGTAGGAAAACTGCCATAAGCGCTAGCAACTGCTCTAGTTCTGTCATCTACAAAGACGCAACCAATACCTCCTTTGCTCTTCACCTCGTCCCTAGCGGATGATGCATAATATGATCCACCAACGTTCTCGCATAACACAATCTTCCCTTTTACCTTCTCTTGATCTAGAGAACCAGAGTCACAGGCCCTGAAAAGCCGATGTTCAATGAAAACAGAGAAAGGTTAGCTTCCTTATCCTTTGTACTTTGGAGATATGCGAATCCACCGATGTTTTTTTACCTGGCTTCTCCTTCTGATGTATCAGCGTTCTTAGCAGACTTGCCATGAATCAGAGGATACACAGGAGATTTACTAACGTTTGCAAAGTGTATACCTTCACCCTGAAAATCAGTTAAGGTTCTTATTAGCAAATCTGAAAATTCAGTGTTTCAGTGTATTATGTGTATAATAATATCATTTACCTTGATGACTTTATTGCCGCCTAGAACAACATCAGACTCAAAGTCTCTGTCAATGGTGTTGGCAGCGACGGTCAATATCCAAGGTGCAGTATTGGTAACTGTACCGCCATCAGGTCCATCATTACCTGCAGAGCAGATCACCAAAATTCCTTGCTCCACCGCGTGAAACGCTCCAATGGCGATAGGATCAGTGTTCAGGTCGATACGGGCGTATGCTGGAGCTCCTAGAGACAGAGATAGAACATCAACTCCATCTGCGATTGCATCATCGAAGGCAGCTAAGATAGAGGAGCCAGTGCATCCCCCGGGATTGCATACTTTGTACATAGCAATCCTAGCGTTTGGTGAACCTCCCTTTGCGGTCCCGGAAGCTACACCATAGTAGGAAGCATTCTCAACGGCAGATCCAGCTACGGTGGAGGACACATGAGAACCGTGACCGATCACATCCCTTGTGGTATAGTATTCTGAATCATCATCAGGATTTTTGTAGTATCTTGCTCCAATGATCTTTCTGCATAAAGACAGGAACGTTTTAGTCTTCAAAAGAAGTTAGTAATATCCAGTTTGTTTTTGAAGGTTGTGAAATTTGTAACCTGTTACAGTTAGAAGACTTGAAGTCCTTTGCTTCCATGCATGTACCTTTCCATCGAGACGGAATTGGACCCATGTCTTTGTCATTGAAGCTCTCTGATTCTGGCCATATCCCTGTTTGTTTTCATTGTATCAAAGTCATATTTCTTTTGTTGTTTTAACAGACAGGAAAAAAGGAAAGGATATAATGGATTCAATGAGTGAAAGGCCTTACCTGTGTCCAGAATGCCGACAATGCTGTCATATGATCCATCAGAGGCTGATGAAGGTGGACCGGAATCGATCTTTACTGATGTTTGGTACTTGAGAAAGTCCCATGAATGAGTTGTATGAAGCTGGAAGTTTGGGTCAGGAAAAACCGAAACCACTCCCGGTTTCTTGGCTATGACCTTGGCTTCTTCTGCTGTCAAACGAGCTGCGAAACCCGAGAAGCCATGCTTATATGTGTGGACAAGATCGTTTGCTCTCCTACAACAACAAACCTAAAAGGTCTCAGAAATCCATAAACAATAACAAATGTATATTTTGCACCACATGTAAACAGTATATAACCTCTTAAACATGGTGTTTATGAGTATCTGAGCTCTATTAGCGTTGGCAGCAGAAGAAGCTGATCCCATGTAGACAATGTAAACCCCGTCACCATTTCTCGATCCAGCTTCAGTTTCTGTCGTAAACAAGATGCATAAGAGATATAGAAATAATAAAAAGGGTGTGAAGAATGTAAGGCCATTCATGGCTTTTAGTTTCTTAATCACTTAAAAGACTTATTCACATACCACAACTCAAGAAAAGGGTATTTATAATGGTTGAGAAATCACTGGAAGCTATAGCAAAAGAATAATGAGTCATTAATGCTTGAATTGCTTATCCCACTTTGAAGTATTGGTGGGTTTCTGAATTGGGCAAAAAGTGAAGATAGAATAGGGTAGTGATCGGACCACTATCTTCTGTTTCAGTCATTACATCACAAAACTCCACATGTTTTTTTTCCTCATCTTTCCGAGGTTCCAAAGACTTTGAAAAAAATGATTACTTCATCCCATATTTTATCAAAATTCAAAGCAAGATAAGCCATTTACTTGATGGTGAAGGACAGGAGTGTCCACTAATTAGAGGACTCTTGATCGGGACTAAAAAAGTCGGAAAGTTCTTCATTAAAGCTTTCAATGTATGGAGTTATATATGTATTCATATAATGTCAATATGTGCGCCATGGAGATGGTAGTATCATTTATCAATATGACTTTTAACTCTTTAAGTGAATAAAAAAACAATAGGTTACCTTACAAATGTTTATTCAAAGACAAAATTGGATCATAGGATTTGGTTGAGTAGCCAATGAAAGGAGAGGGTGGTGCGGGCCTGCAGAGTGGATTAGCAAGAAATGATATTCACATTCCACTCTTGTCGAATCCTAGTAATCCAAAGCATGCTTGTAGGCTTGTAGTTAAACTAATGTATAGTCTATATCATATCATTATTTATATAGTATATCGCCAAACCAACAAAAAATATGATTTTAAGAATAAAATTTTGTTGCCGACCACTTTAGTGGCTCAAAGTGGAGTGCACTCGTGCTCGTGCTACTTTGGGAAAGTATGTCTTATCAATATGAGTCACATATGCCGTTGCCATCGCATGATCTTGATTTCTATTATCTAATCTAAGACAAAATATTAGAGAAAATAGAGTTCGGCTAGGTCCGGGCCTCAGTGATAGCTTCTAGAATCTAAAGAAAGTTTCTATCAAAATTCTAAAGTAAGAAGTTCGGTTCCTTTCTGTTTGAGTTTTCTTTGTATCTTGGTGAATCTAGAAACCATATTTAGTTTTTAGAAAATGGTTTTAAGGAACTTTGCAAACTCACCTTTCGATTTGAACCGTTATTTGTCTAATGAAAATGTCTTTGATCGGCTTGAGTAAGGCAACAGAAGGCAAACACTTGAGTAAACCGAAATAGACTACATCTTGCAAAATTCTTCTATTGAGAAACCATAGATAGTTTAAAAGTATATGACTTGATCAATTTACTTGGGCTTAAACTTTTAGAATAATGAAGATGGGCTAGTCATAAGTCTCTTTAAAAGAAAGCCCGAGATGTAAATATACCAAGTCCTTTTTAAAGCCCAAGTAAATTCAATTCAAAAAAAAAAAAAGCTCCGATGCCGGGAATCGAACCCGGGTCTCCTGGGTGAAAGCCAGATATCCTAACCGCTGGACGACATCGGATTTGTTATTATCATGAACTTTTAATTAGATATAATTATCGTACACTTTCAATCGAATTTCATCAATCATAGAAATAGAATGATGTGAGATAAAGTTTATCTAATACGGTGAGGCAGACGTGTAATGAAGATTTATGAACATCTTCAGGAATTATACTTGTATACTTTTTATTTTGAAATTCTATATAGTTATATACTTAAACCAAATCTATGTATAATATTGAACTTCATTAGTTAATCATTGTATTCAAACTGCATTAGTCATTGGTTTGATACACGTACTTAAAAATAAAATTACATGCAGTTTAAAGAAGAGGGTGACTTGTGTGGTTGTGTTTTTCTTTTTGATACATTGACCCATTCGTACTGCAAAAAGATAAACAACAAAAAAAGAATAAAAAGTTAAAAACAATTCAAGAATCCCCAATCCAGATAATTATTGAAAATTTGAAACGAGAAAGGTCTACGTGGCAATAACTCGTTTTGGGGAAACGTACGAGGAACTCCATGCTAAATTTCCCATAACGAATTGTTTCTTTTAATATTAATCAGTCAATTTTTAATTTTCATGATTAATCAATTGAAAAAAAAAACGAGAGAAACAACAAACGAAGGTAAAACCGTAAAAGGAAACTTCTTCTCCAAACTAACAAGTCATCTCGACCCCAAGAGCACAACACGTGTCAACACACAACGTGTCATTCCCTCTAACTTGCGCCAAAAGCCATTGTTCACAAAGCAAAATCTATCGAGCGGTGCTAACGTCCACCATCTCTCTAGCTGTCGCTTCTCAATCTTCTCTTCCTTTCTCCTTTGTTTCCTCTCTCTCTATCTCTGTCTAACCAATCATTCCTATATATACGTTTATAGATATATTTCTAATTTTAATCACATTATTTATTCACAAGCCGACATACAAAAAGACTTATGTATATAAAGAAACAAGAAGCTTGTCTATTATTCACCTGAATCGCTTTTGTTTTTTGAGTTCCATTGAAGATGTTGAAAGTGAAGAATTTTCTTGGTTCTAGATTAAAGTCCTTCCCAACAAGAAATGGTTAGTTTTCTTCCTCTCTTCTCTACTTTTTCTCAAGAAAATATCAAAAAGTTTGAATGATTTCTTTCTCTTCTTCTCTTAACTTGTTCTTGAATGTTATTTTTCAACAAAGAATGTTGAAATGTTTTAACTTCTGAAATTTATACATTTGTTATGTAACCAGAGATGGTTTTCTTCATTTTTGGGAAGAAAAAAAAAAGATTCTAAAAATATCTGTCTAATTGTTTTATTTTTGTCAATGGAGCAGGAAAGTCCGAGAAGGAATGTTGTCGTAGCTTGACGTCGAAGCTAAGTGTTAATGAAGAGTACAAGGAAGCATTCAGAACAAACTCCTACTTAGAGATTCGGACAAAAGCAGAAGATCAATTAGGCATAACAACATCATGTAGCAAACTCTCTTCTTCTTCTCCTTCATCTTCAGATCTTAGCTTCCATTCACACTTCACCGATTACTTGCTTGACCCTCCTCAAGTAACTCTAGATGCTCTGATGCAAGACTCGAGTTTCGACAATCTTCTAGTTAATTTTTTCGACTTTAGCTCCGAAGCTTGTGACGTGTGTGAGACTCTTCTTCAATGCATCCAACAAATCAAGATCAATCACAACAAAATCAAAAGGGTTATCACGATTGGGAAAAGGGTTTGTAACGGTGCTAAAACCTTGGAATGTAGTCCTGAAAAGCTTTGTGCTTTGATATTTCAAGAGCTTTCGAGATTTGCCGCGCTGAAGAACCCTTTGTGTTGTATCATCAATGAAGCTCAGTTTCGTGTAGTTCACGATGCAAACTCGGATTTGCTTACCAAATTGACATCGAAAAGGAGAAGAATCAGAAGAAAAATCAGGTTCTTTAGATTCTCCAAGAAGCTAGGAGGTTATAGCTTAGTGATTACTCATAGCGCGATTGTCATTACATTGCTGATCATAGCTCTTCACAGCATACTCGGCGTTTTAGCAGCTCCTGCGTTGCTCGGTCTATGTTCATTGGGTCTTTTAAGGAAGAAGAAAGCGAAAGGAAGAATGCATAAGAGCAAGACAGATACAACTCTAGAGAAGCTCGGGACACAAATAGACATTGCAGCTAAAGGAATGTTCATATTGATGAACGATTTGGATACATTGAGTAGACTTGCCGGGAGATTATGCGATGAGATAGAGCATAGAAAAACCGTAGCTGCGATGTGCGCAAAGAGTAGGAAGATTGAAGTGTTAAAGGAAGCATTGAGGGAGTTTAATGGACATGAAGAAAAATTCTCAGATCAATTGCAAGAGCTTGAAGAACATCTCTACCTCTGTTTCCACACTATTAACAGATCAAGAAGGCTAGTGTTAGCGCAAATCACAGGATAAATTTCTTGAATCTTGATCTTTAATTCTTTTGGTTCATCTAAATAATAAATACTTTTGTAGGGTTTATAAACTACTTATTATACTAAATCTGTAAGTGATTGTTTATGTTTCAAGTGAAACTGAGGCCATGGAAGTAAACTATTTATCACAATTATGATTGTTTTTCGTTATCTTGTGTTATTCGTCGGTTAGCAGTAATTATTTTCTCTTAACATCATCATGAACCAACCGAACCAAAATGCTAACAATGAAATTGATCTCATATATCCATTAATTTTGACAAATATATGAGGGAATATTGGTTCAATGGTTCATGTATCTTAATTAATTTGGAAATGCTAATGGATTACTTGATTGTAAAGTATGCTTATAAATCCATATGAAATACAGTTTATTTTGATATGAACTTCTAAATATCTTGGATCATAAGAAATATTGTTTTGATAAAATTTACAACACGTAAACAATAACACAAGATTTAACTTGGATTTTCCAAAGCAATATACAGTTTTAGCTATCCAAACTCTTGTAAAAGTAAAGGCCATTATCTTATTAGAATTGTACTTGATAAAACTCCTTTTTAAAAAACAAACTTCATATAAACGTATTACGTATAACCAAGTACAAATGTGTTAAACTCCTTTTGCTACAGAATCTTTTCAAGTTTGAAACATTCAAATACAATACATTTTATATAATCATATTTTCCTCAAATCAAATCGGGTCTTCTGTATTAACAGACCCATATTCAAACCATAAGAAAAAAAAAACAAAGAGGGCGGGTCGCTCAGGGAGAAAAGAAACAGACTCAGAGCGCGACCACTGCCAATAATATTTCAGACAGAACCCAAAAAAAAAAAAAAACTTAAAACTGAACGTTGGAAGAATAAATCTGTCCAAAAGACCAAGAAGAAGGAATAACATTGAGGAAGACTCTTGTAGCACCATCGGTAGTGGTAATGGAGAAAGAGAGAGATTGACCATCGAGATAAGCGTTCGATTGCCAATTAGCTCCCCAATTACGAGACATAGCTAACCAACCAGTCTTTGATCCTTTGATGGAGACAGATTTAATAGAACCTGCTCCTCCTACATTTTGAATGTTGACTAGCTCGAAGTAGTCTCTTCCGTTTATTCTGAATCTCACTCCTCCTTTCTTGTAACAGCTTACTCTGTTTTTCCCAGACCACACACAAAAAACAGAGACTTTTCGTTAAGAAATTAGAATAATTGCAAAACACCCCTACACTTTCATATGATTCATTTTAAACCATTTATTATGTTTTTTAATCTTGCAATAAATTTATGGATATTAATTTAAAAAATATATGATATTATTAATTTATAGAGGGTTTACTATAGTAACTATGCATTAGCCGTCTAGCGTGTTATATAATATGCGTGATTGTGTTAAGTTAAGACAACAACGTTACGAATTTACGAGTATAAATCTTAACATAATTTATAAGGGTTAAATTGGATAAAATTTAAAGGGTTAAATAGATAAAATTAGTTATTTTGGGTCTTTTTAAAAGTTCTGACCTTTGGAAAACGACGGGAACGATTCCTCCTCTGTAAATTCCGATCTTTTCCCAAGCGGGTTGTGCCATATCGAAATGTTTGAGCGGCGGATTGCACCAACCACCGTTGTTATTAGGCAAGGCAAAATTTGGTGGGCAAAAGTTAGTGGCGGTAATAACCACAGAAGCTCCTTTCAAGCACCACCGTGAGTCCGCCGCGTAATCACACGTTATCCTATAGCATTCGCCGCAAGAAGCTCCATCATTGAACAGAGCCGTGCTTAACGCCGCCGTCATTGTCCCGTACCCCGCCGAGTAAAGATCTCCGTATCCACAAGCTCCACCTGAAAAAAACAGGAAAATAATTAATTTTGTAATTTAACCAAATCCATTAGAGTCAAAAATAAAAAAATCGTATGAAACTAAAGTGTGAAAATACCCATTGTTCCAGAAGCGTCACTTCCTCCATAGAACGTAGCGTGACCATTAGTTAAACCAGAAGGCTTAAACGCATTAACCGCAATAAAAAGAGCGGCCAAAAGCGCCAATCCAGCTAGAGACTTTGACATGATTATAATTTTAAGAACAAAGAAAGAGATTATGATGATGATGATCGAGTGAAGGAGAGAGAGTTGTTTAAATAAAGGTGGGAAGTGAGTGTAAACTAATGTAGTAGCAACAAAACCTTACATGTGGTCTTATCTTTATCTAGCCTGTGTGTATCTTTTATTTCTTTAATTTTCTTTTTTTAGGCAAATCTCTTACATGTGTATATTTGGAAGTAACAGTATAAGTCCAAAAAGACAGTAGATCTGCAAACTCTGTTTGTAATAATACGCTGCAGATGGGTTTATTATATTCCCCAAAAAGTTCATACAAAATTTATCTTGGTTGCTTTGAACTATATATAACATTTTCCTTTTGTTATTACATTAAAATTCTATGGAGTTTAAAAAAGAGACTTACACCAAATAATATCTTGATTTAGTCATAGCCAAATGTTTGTAATCCATAGGTTTTATTTTATTGGTCAATGCATTATTTAGATTATTTAAAATAACATCAAAACTGAGAGAATAATCAGGGTAAAATGGTTTGTTCTAAACTGTGCAATGCGGTGGATATAAAAATCTTCCTTAACAATAAATAAAATAAGAAGAAGAAAAAAGACAAAGGAGAGTTTTTTTGTTTGTGATACAATCATGTGCAGGTTGGTATGTGCAGGTTCATCGGTCACAGATTCACATGCTTTCTTCTCCTACACAACATTATTAGCAACATGCCAAATCGCTTTAATTTTTTTTTTGTTATTATTATTTTTGGGTTAATGGTCCATCAAAACTTGATTTCCAATCGTAGTTGAGGAAGATCACCGTCACGACGTCGTTTGTTACTATTAGTGTTACTAAAATATGAAAAATCGGGAAACTTCAATCCAAAATCACTACACTACTAAATAACTTCCACAGTGATAAAGCAAAATATGTATCTCTATCAAGATTAAGGAATTGAGGAGCTTGTTTAGATTTGCTTAAGAGTGTAAGATTATCTTAAGCCATTACAAATTATATTATGACAATTACATTGATTGTATGGTTTAAATAGTTGGCAGTTGTAGCTATCAAAGAGCCCGGGTACTATTTCTACAGATTTTTGTCATTATTAAGAAGTTAATGAATCGAACCAGAAACACCTATAATTAAAAGCATAACATGAGATTGTTTTATTCAAGAAAATGAGACCTAGTTTGGCAGAAATAGACTAATGTATCAATTACTTAATGGTCATACACATGTCCTGTTTTCATTCTTTAGATATCTATGAGTTCCTTATCTATCATTTAATGGAAATATATGAATGGGGATTTAAATGTTATGCATCGCCTGGAGATAACATTTCACATGGTCAATGACTCCATGTTCTAATAATGACCCACCTAATACAGCTAGCTAAAAGTGTTCAATTCTTAAAATGCGAAAATCTCCCAAACACCATTAAACGAAGTTGAAAAGATTCTAATCTTCTGAAACCAACAACATAAATCTCTTTTCCTAAAATGAAACCGAAGTAATAAAAAGGTTCCGGAGGATAAAACACCTCAATAAAACACTTAGAACGATGAGCAGCGTACAATGTAAACTTGTGAATAGAAAAGAAGAGAGACAGACTGAGAGTAGACTCTACCTTTGTCTAAAAATCATCATCGTCTTCCTCGGCCATATGCTTAGCAAGCTCTTCTTCTTGTTGCTTCCTCTCTCTCCTCTTCTCATCGCTCTCTTTCTCCTTGTGAGTGTTAGGAGGAAACCTCAATGCTCTGACAGCTTCGTTATGCATGTTGAGGCAGAAAGCAATTCTTGAGTTGAATGCAGTTTGTGGCTCATTCGTTGAGTAGATGTCCCCAGTTTCTTTGGAGACCATCCATCCGTTTTTGTGATCGATGGTCGCATCAATCGCTCCATCACGAATGGCCTTTGCCACGATGCTTTCCGCATCAGCCACAGGGTTTTCGGAGTTAAGCCTCAGCTTTTTGGCAACATCGGGTAAAGAGATTCTCGAGTATGAGATGCTTATGTTGCGCAGTCCAGTCCTGATGACATTGTGGCGGAGTCTCACGATGAGATTGTGCGTTCTGTCTTGAGAAAATGTGTCCAAGAACTTCTCCTGGACTGTCCTAAACAGTTCCAAGTCACCAATCCTAACCGCCTGCAAAATCAAAAGAGAGTTTTAATAGTAAGCTCGGATCAGAATGTGCATCTTGTTGCATCATGTATCTCTAAAAAGCAACAGTTAACAGCCAGAAATTCATGCTCTTCTTAATTCGAAGAAACAGAAAATAAAACAGCAGCAAAGTAAAACTCTGTCGCAAGAGACCACAGAGAGGTTGTAACAGAAAAGGGTATAGGCCAACAAGTGAAAGTAGGAATGGGTTTAAAAACAGAGGTGAAGTCTCATGCTAACACCAGTTTAGTTATCCGCTCATAAATAATTTAAACAGGTCACATCAGCAAGATTATGAAGGTGGACTCACATTAGTAAGCTCAAAGTAAGGCCTGAGGGCCTTCTCCATTCCCTTTTGCGTGAAGATCGACCGTTCCGGTATCTCCCCCAGTAGCAGACGAACCAGAATTGCCCATTTATTACATTGAATTCTGAAGCCCAAAGCTGCTATAGGGGCTTTCCTGGCAGCCTGAAGGAGGCTCTCTTTCGCATCAGTATACTCGAGCTGAATCGTACGAATCTTCCCGAGGTAGAACAGGTACCTACAAAACTGCAATGGAAGGGTTAAACAAATGAACAAAATTCATAAGTAGCAAACAAAAACACAAGATAGATCGATGGTAATGGCAAGAGGTGGGGTCAGAAGTATAAAGAGGACAGCAAAATGGACACTTCAAGTAAGTTCGACAAATGATTAGTGATAGAAAAGAAAACACAAGAGCCACCTAGGTGTAGATATGATTGCAAATGGAAAATGCTATAGTGAATGGAAAAAATAATTCTCAGGAAAGATTGCAGATGTAGCATTGGAGATCTCATGCAAATACAGAATCTAGAGAACAGAGAAAACTAAGAGTATGAAGGAATAACCGGGAGCTACCTGTTGGTTTGAATGAGCCTCAAAGCGAGGTGCCTTTGACCTTAGCTTCTCCGCCTGATCGTAGAGGTTATAATGAAGGTAGTTTCGTAGTAACAAGTTCAGAAGAGTTTCCTGCATTCAACGTGATAATTTTGAATTAGAGGCAAGTAACAGTTTCAAAGTAATCAATGTGGACTGCATGAGCTAAAGACAGACATACCTGCCCCAATTCATCATGTCTTAACGTTGCAGAATGATGCAACGCAAGAAGAGTACTGCAGGCAAAAAAAATCGACCAGATTATTAACTATTGAGCTAGTGATTGATATGAGGTGTAAGACAAAGTACAAAACTAAAACAGTCTTTGAGCTACTAACCCGCGAATTTCAGCAAGATCACCGGTTTGCTCGTAACTCAAAGAATAGTAAAAGTAGAGTCTTGATGCTATCACATCAATGGTCCTTCGGTTAACGTTCTTGAGACGAGCAATGCTTGCTGAAGAACAAGCTTTAGCCTAAGAGACATGATTAGAAGCAAAACATGAAATCTAAAACCACAACAGAAAAGTAGCTTATGACAATACACATAGAGGTAGCAGCAGTAACCTCGTTGTACTTTTTCTGATCAATCAGAAAAAGAAGAACAATGAAGTAGCAGTAAATCTCGAGCTCTGCAGGTAGATGTTTAGAAGGAGCAGCTTGTGTAGCCGATGAAGCTGTATCAACTTCCATGTCATGTTCATCACCCTAAACAATTAAAAGTTGCAATATTTCAGTCTCTAAGCTAGTTCTATGTCAGATAACTTGCCATTCACAACATCAGAGGAAAGTGTAACCACCATAACATGAATCTAAACTCCTTAAGCCAGATGCTAGTAGGAACAATCACATCGAGATTTCTATACCATCAAAGTGAAAAAGTAAAACCCATAAATACCTTAGGAACAAAGGAAGAAAGGCGAGAGTGAGCTTCGGATCCTGGAACCAAAGCAAAATCCAGGAAAGAAGAGAGCACAGAGGCGGTGAGTTTCCGCCTAAGCCCTATAGTGAGACGCACAGCACGAGCAATACGACGAACCTCCTTCGTGTAAGACCCGGTATCGATCAATGCTGCAATCTCCTTCAAATCTGGGAAAACAATCGAAGAAAAATACCAAACAAAGTGTCAAAACAGTGTCAAAACCCAGAAGAAACTTAGCAATTTTAAAATCTATTAGCGAATTGAAGCATTCAGATCGAGATTTACGCTGCATAGTGGAGGTAGAAGAAGAGATGACCGATTGAGAAGGTGTATTGTTATCTTTCATCTCCACGTCCTGAGTCATCTTGCCCAAATCTCGTTACTCTTCACAAAGACAAAAAGAAGGTTAGGGTTTTTGCACAAGTGTTGCAACTAAGCCGGTGAGATTTCACGGAATCGATTTAAGTTTCAACAGATTAGTTAACTGAGATAGACGAAGAAAGAGAGAGCTTACTAAATCGACAAAACGGAATTCGCCGGGAGAAAGTGACGATGGTGGATCAGATTTGAGGTCGAGCTGATGCTGCTAAGACTCTTTTCTTTCCCAAGTATTTTTCTTTTTGTTCAAGACAGCTTTATCAATAATCGTATTTATACGTAGTATTATAAAATAGGGCATCAAAAGTCGTTGTAGTATAGTGGTAAGTATTCCCGCCTGTCACGCGGGTGACCCGGGTTCGATCCCCGGCAACGGCGTTTATCTTTTTGGACATTTTTTTTGGACCTCCTCTCTTACTACTTGGGCCTCCTTCGAATACACACACAACCAGCGAATTTTTATTTGTCTCAAAAGTCAAAACACGTTTGAACTTGGAATTACAATTTCCTTTTCCTTAAATTTTTCTTGTTATCTTTTTCTGTTGTTAAAAATTTTAATCAATTGATATATGAACCAATAAAAAAACGCAATGCCAGAGAGTGGATTACCTGTTGATATCAATAAGCAGACGAATGTGTGTGCTATGCGAGTTCTATCATATTTCTTGCGTGTCAAACAACTAGCATAAACTTATCCAACACTCAAAACAGAGACAAAACTGGAAAACTCTTAGAAGGAACAAAAACTGGAAACATCCAAGACGACGTCCATAATAAATAAATGAGGATATATATAATAACCTAAGGCGACATGAACGAGAGATTATTCTACGGTAACAAGTTGTTTTGAAGAACAGAGACAAAAACATGAGAATGTAAAAAAGATCCAACTTCATTCAATGACCCTGGTCGCTCATGCAGCAGCCTGAATAGGTGCTCCATTTGATCTGTTGAATCCACCACGACCTCCTCCTCTTCCACGACCTCCCCTTCCACGGCCACGTCCTGTTCCAACAATTTTTAAGCATTTAGAACTCATGGCAAGTCGATCAACTTTATTTAATGAGAAAACATTAGTGTATCAAATTCATCATCGTACCACGGCCCTGAGGCGGAGGACCATCATATCCATGGTCTGCTGGAGGAGCAGCATTGTTTCCATAGTCTCCTCCATCTTGTTGAGCTTCATAGTAAGGTGGGGGGCCATTGTAACCTCCTCTTCCTCGACCACCACGTCCTCCTCCTCTCCCACGCCCTCGTCCTCTGCCATATGACCGGTCCTGCTCCATACCTCCATCATTATACTCATTGTTAACATATCCACCTCCTGTCAAATCCGTAAGAAGAAATAGCCAATCAAACCCTTGTCCACAGATCAAATGCAAATATGCTAAGGTGAAACTAAGACTTGGAAAGAAATTTTCTAAAGCAATCTTACCTCTGCCGCCTCTTCCCCTTCCTCCATCATCATACTCATTGTTCACATATCCATTTCCTGGTAAATCCGAAAAAAATAAAGAAATAGCACAACACAATCAAACCCTTATCCACAAATCACAGGCAAAGAATCTAAACTCAAAAAAGGAAAAATTGCTAAAGATTTCCTACCTCTGCCACCTCTTCCCCTTCCTCCATCATCATACTCAGCATTCACATATCCATTTCCTGGTAAGTTCAAATAAGGAATTAGCACAATCCACTCCAACCCTTATCCACAAACCACAGTCAAAAGCTTACAATGAAAACTAAGATACTGAATAAAAAATTGCTAAAGTAATTACCTCTGCCGCCTCTTCCCCTTCCTCTTTCTCTTCCTCTTCCTCCTCTGCCTCTTCCTCCTCTGCCTCTAGGAGATCCCTCTACAAGAGAGATATAATTTCGGAACTTAATAAAGACAGCAGGGCAGGGAGCCTGAAAAAGTCATTAAGAGTGAAACTCTATATACCTTGTCCTTCGTAATCAATCTCAGCGAATGGCTTCACCATCTCAATAGGAATAGGACACTGGTACCTGTAGCATCATTTATTAAGATTTATTAGCATTGGAGACAATGTACCTCTCTACACAGACAACTGCTTTGAGACACAAAAGAACAAAATCCTCAATAAGAGAATGGATCAGAAATATCAAAACAACAAGTCCTAGAAACTCACCCGACTGAGGATGTGTTCAACTCCACCTTCGAAAGTGTTATGGTTATCATCGACACATGCCTTGTGGTCTCAATTCTTCAGGGGGAAAAAAGTTAGGTAATAAATAAACATGGTAAAATGAGTTTAGTCACAATTAAGACCATAAAATTGATACTAAAATCTAGTGACCACTTACGGAAGAAGGCCTTCCTCTGTAGGTTCCCAGGTATCTGTAATGTCCGTGGATCCAATAGATGTGATCTGATGAAGACCAGGAATCCTTCTCTGCATCAACAATCACAATAAAATCTTCAGATACAATAAAACTCTCATTCTGTGATCAGGAGCCGACTAAAACCAAAAAAATACCTTAATCAGCTCAACTATGTTCACACTTTTGTTGATAGCTCTTCCCATAGCCTTGAAAATAACTTCATTCGATTTGTTTTCCTATAAGATAACAAAACAACTTCCGTTATTGAAAAAAACAACACAAAAGTTTCAAGTTCTATGCCAAAAAATCAACTAAGCACACCACAAAAGACATAATTAATGTACTTAAAAGTCTGAATATCAAACAGCGACAAAACAAATAAAGAAGGCAGTAGATCAATAACTTGCACATTGAGAAAACAAATTCATGTATTAAGTTTTCTACTAAATCCGAAACGAAACGTAAGAAATTGATCTAAATCACCACAATGCATCAAGATAACATAAATGCAACTGGATTATGAAACCGCACTTTTGAACTTCCAATTAAATTATCTAGATTATATACACTGCACCAAATCTCTTCACTCCACCAATTCAAAGAACTACGAATACCATATCTACGTCATACAATATACCTGAAGAAGAGCCATCGCATAGGTGATGTAGTTTCGTGCCCTACCCATACTGGTGATACGAATCTCATTCTCAGCAATCGGCGTATCCGCCTTCGGCTTCTCCACTCTCTGATACTTATCCATCTGAAACCCCAACAAAGCAACACAAAATCATCAGAGCCCTTCTCAAAAAAACTGTAACCAGCAATGGAGACTAGGGTTTCTCGTTCAATCCACGATTTAGAAACAAGGTTTTCTTGTAATCCTCAGTAAATTGCTTGAATGCTTACCTTGTCGCGACTGCTCTGGTTAGATCTTCCGAAACCCTAGAAGATTCGGGTAAGGATAAATGTTGGTTTTTGCCCAGAAGAAAATTGGACGAGAGATTTAATACTTGTTCTCGTTTCTGTTTTTTTTATACGCCCTAAGAGGCGGTTGTTAAAGGCGCCTCTCTCATATATAACAGCCGCACAACTTCTCTTCCACACCCATGCACCAGTGAACTGCCCTAATCGATTTCCGGTTTTAAATTTTTGACTTTAAACCGGTTCAATCGAACCGAGCAATAACCATGGATATCTTTTTTTTTTTTTTTTTTTTTTTTTTTTTTTTTTTTTAACCATGGATATCTTTTCTCCACCTTTTCTCTCTTTTTTTTTCTTTTTCATCAGTTACAAAAATAAAACTTTTAATAGTTTATTAAACTTATTTAATTTATCGTTTATACATAAGATGACAAGCATTAAAGAATTTTTTGTTTATTATACATTAAGCTGCAGATAAACACAGTTGAAGATCTAACAATATGAACATGTATGAGATTTATGCTTCACGATTTTTCAGACTAAGTGGGAGTTTGGCACAGCATAGAAAGTATAACTAATAAGATGGTTGCGTGAGGAATGAAAGGAAGGTGTCTCGTATGTCTACTTCTTGTGGTTTAACCAGAGGATCAATGGTGTCTCTCCATCCTTCATAATCTTTGGGAGAACCAGCACCGGGCAGCTCGAATCCATTCACGTAGAAGGTTGGTGTCGCTGAGACTCCTCTTGAGACGCTATACTGCAAACAGAACCAAAGCAAAGCAATCTATAATGAGTATTGATAGAAGGTAAGGTAAGCTACTAGTAATCAAGATATGGAACCCGAAATTCTCCTACTGCGCAAAGATAATGACTAGTGACAATGCAGTGAAAGATCCATATCACCCCATTAGGTTATCTAGTTGAAGATATGAGCTCGAATACAGAGGACCAAATAGAATAAGCAATCTTAATACCTATACTAGTGAAAATGTTCAAGTATGTAAAACTGAGAAGTGGAAAAGCTGAAGGGATCACCTTGAAGGAAACTCTAGTGGCAAGATCAAATTTTGAGTTGCTGAAGCCAGATTTCAGAGGAGAATGATATGAGTTTCCCAATGTAACTGTTCCAAGCTTGATTAATTCTTCCACAACTGCAGGTCTTGACATGAGTTGTGTTTGCGAGTTGTAAAACAATGCCTGTTGAAGCAATTTCAACCAAACCATATGTGCTGATCAAATGGAGTGCATGGATAAACATTAATTTGAAGAAACAGAACCGCCGTATTAACATTTTCTCAGTTCGATTATAGCAAAATTTAGCTCTTAAATACACTAATCGAACCTGATGCTTAAAGATCCCTTCCAGCAAATTAAACGTGGCGTTGGCGTTTAAGGTATCAACAATGTGTAAAGCCCGAGACGCTACAAATGCATTGTCATGGAAGCTGCAACATCCAAAAGCTAAGCTCATATCATGACACAAGAATGAAACATTTTGCATACAACAGATATGGAATCATAAACAATATCTGCTACTTTCTCAAACTACTTATCAATTGAATTCACTACAAATATTCATGGCATGCATAGATTTAGTTGAACATCGAGTAACTAATTTATCAACCTAGCTAAAGAAATTGAAAACTGAAATTGAAGAGAAGAGAAATCAAACACTGACGGTAAAGGAATGAGATGAAGAACAAGAGCAACGCGAGATCCATAGTGATCAATCGCTAGCTTTAGTGGCTCCCAAGCGTCTCTACAATCCGGACAAACCGGGTCAAAATACGCCTCGATAAGTATCGTATCCGGGTCGATTTTCCGACCCGGTGGATACACGAATCCATCACGTCTCGCCGGAGGTATGAGCTGAGCTTGTACGACTGTTCCGACGAAGAAGACAACGAACACTAACGCCGATCGAATCATCATCGCTCTTTCTGGATCAATTTTCTTAAGAAAACAGATTATAAACTCGGATAATGGGAGAAGGTAGAATCAACGGCCAGGATTGCTCGAAGATAGAATAAACGGCCAAGATTTGTCAGAAGCTGAGTGAGACCCAGTCCTTCATCTTTAGCCGTTGATGTTTTTAGTGGTGACGTGGAAGAATCTGGTGGCGTATGAAGATTGATAAGTGAATGATTAAGGTTAAGCGGGAAATTTTTATTTTAGTTAAGCAATGACAAAACAAGTTCTTCCACTGATAGAGAAAATTCCTCAATCGATTCTCGGATTCTTAGAATCTTCTTCGTCTCTTTGGTCTTCTTCATTATCGAAGACAGCGCAAGCTCATGCTCGTATACTCAAATCCGGAGTTCAAAACGATGGATATATCTCTGCTAAACTCATTGCTTCATACTCGAACTACAATTGTTTCAACGATGCTGATCTCATCTTGCAATCGATTCCGGATCCTACTGTTTACTCTTTCTCTTCTCTTATATACGCTTTAACAAAGGCTAAGCTTTTCTCGCAATCGATTGGTGTGTTTTCTCGGATGTTCTCTCATGGGTTGATTCCAGATACTCATGTTCTTCCGAATTTGTTCAAGGTTTGTGCTGAATTATCGGCTTTTAAAGCTGGTAAACAGATACATTGTGTAGCTTGTGTTTCCGGGTTGGATGTGGATGCGTTTGTTCAGGGATCTCTGTTTCATATGTACATGAGGTGTGGTAGGATGAGTGATGCACGCAAAGTGTTCGATAGAATGTCTGACAGAGATGTTGTCACTTGCAGTGCTTTGATTTGTGGCTATGCGCGAAAGGGTTGCTTAGACGAGGTGGTTCGTATCCTCTCTGAGATGGAAAAGTCAGGTATTGAGCCAAATATTGTGTCTTGGAATGGTATTCTTAGTGGGTTTAATCGTAGCGGGTATCACAGGGAAGCAGTGATAATGTTCCAAAAGATGCACTCTTTGGGGTTTTGTCCTGATCAGGTGACAGTTTCAAGTGTTCTTCCTTCAGTTGGAGACTCAGAGATGCTGAATATGGGGAGGCAGATTCATGGGTATGTGATTAAACAGGGTTTGCTTAAGGATAAATGTGTCATTAGTGCAATGATTGATATGTATGGGAAAACTGGTCATGTTTATGGAATCATAAAACTTTTCGATGAATTTGAGATGATGGAGACCGGGGTATGCAATGCGTACATTACAGGGCTATCGCGAAATGGTCTTGTTGACAAGGCACTTGAAATGTTTGGGCTATTCAAGGAGAAAAAGATGGAGCTTAATGTCGTGTCATGGACTTCGATCATAGCGGGGTGTGCTCAGAACGGGAAAGATATTGAAGCCTTGGAACTGTTTAGAGAGATGCAGGTTGCAGGGGTGAAGCCAAACCGTGTAACAATCCCTTCAATGCTTCCAGCGTGCGGAAATATAGCAGCTTTGGGTCATGGGAGATCGACTCATGGATTTGCAGTAAGGGTCCACCTTTTGGATGATGTTCATGTAGGGAGTGCTCTGATTGACATGTATGCCAAATGTGGAAGAATCAACATGTCTCAGATTGTCTTCAATATGATGCCTACAAAAAACTTAGTCTGCTGGAACTCTTTAATGAATGGATATTCGATGCACGGGAAGGCCAAGGAAGTCATGAGCATATTTGAATCTCTTATGAGAACCAGGCTGAAACCCGATTTCATCAGCTTTACCAGTTTATTATCAGCATGTGGACAAGTAGGTTTAACAGATGAAGGATGGAAATATTTCAGCATGATGTCAGAGGAATATGGGATTAAACCAAGGTTGGAACATTACTCTTGCATGGTAAACCTTCTTGGACGCGCAGGCAAGTTGCAAGAAGCATATGATCTGATAAAGGAGATACCTTTTGAGCCAGACTCCTGCGTCTGGGGAGCTTTGCTAAATTCTTGCAGGCTTCAAAACAATGTAGATTTAGCTGAAATCGCAGCAGAAAAGCTTTTCCATTTAGAACCCGAAAACCCAGGGACTTATGTTCTCTTGTCCAATATATATGCCGCTAAAGGCATGTGGACAGAAGTAAACAGTATTAGAAACAAGATGGAGAGTCTGGGACTGAAGAAGAACCCTGGATGCAGCTGGATTCAAGTGAAGAACAGAGTGTACACGCTTCTGGCTGGTGACAAGTCGCATCCGCAGATAGATCAAATAACAGAGAAGATGGATGAGATTAGCAAAGAGATGAGGAAATCAGGTCATCGCCCAAATTTGGATTTTGCTCTGCAGGATGTGGAGGAGCAAGAGCAAGAGCAAATGTTATGGGGACACAGTGAGAAACTAGCAGTAGTTTTCGGTCTTCTGAATACACCAGACGGCACACCTCTTCAGGTTATAAAGAACCTTAGGATATGCGGCGATTGCCATGCAGTCATTAAATTTATATCAAGTTATGCAGGTAGAGAAATTTTCATTAGAGATACAAATAGGTTTCATCATTTTAAAGACGGAATTTGTTCTTGCGGAGATTTCTGGTGATACTAATAGATTTTCATTACGAAGTCTCATATTCTTTTTATTTACACAAGTGTTTCAGGTTTGTTTAAAAAGCTCATCAAAAGCTTATAACTGGGAATAGGATTGATGGTAGTGCATAATTTAATGATTGGAGAAATTTGTCCCATTGTTTATACAACTTATTATCACACATCAGATAGTGCATGATACTTGCAGATATTTGGTTCATAATGTTGTTATACATGAGGGTTGTTTACTTGGTTGTATCAATGAGTTCCATAATGGCAGTTAGATAGGACACACGTTGGTCATTAGAAGCTACAATCACCTTATGCTGCTCATCCTCCTCGGCGAAGAAGAAGGAGGGCGTAAATTTATAGAAGTCTCGGACGCGAGTGGACCAAGATGTGGTTGACCCTATAGCTCCCCAACTGTTAACCTCCATGTCGTACACATGAACCACACCTTTTAATCTATCCTTCATCTCCCTCACGACTAGATGCTTGCCATCGTACACAACAATGTTCCAACATACAAGTTCACTTTCCTTCATAGATACGTTCGTGATCCGCCTGGCGACTGTCCATTTGAAATTGTCGAGTAGTGTGTAAACTGTGATTTCTGCTTCCGTCCCCGATATTAAGGTCAAGCGATTAATCTTGTCGTCTACCGCAAAAAACAGTTTCATCTCTGGTTCTTGACGAAATATGGAAGGAATCAAGCATGCTTGCTCTGTCTCGGGATTGAACACTCTTCACTTGGTCTAGCCCAAGAAGAGTACTTTTCAAATTTTGGGTCAGATATATAAGACTGGAAAATTTTATTCGTACATCGCATCATTGCCAGAGATTTAGGTTCCATTCTGAAGAGAATCTCATCTAGGAGATGCAAAGGTAAAACATTCATGATGAGTGATGACTCAAAGTTAGAATCTCCTTACTTCTGCTTCGCTTGTTGATGTGATTATTTTTAGTTTATTTTAATAATTTACTAACTAGGTTGTTAAATAGACAACAAAATCTAGCTTAGAAAAAAAAACATCAATTGCATTACAGGAAAAGGCAAGACAATCTCACCATAATATAAGTTACCAATTTTTTTAGTAGAAAAAACAAATTATTACATTTTGATGGATTTTGAGATAGAATTTACAATCTTTAATTATCTTTGATGAAATCATGGAAATTCAAAATAATGTATATTTATATTTTATTTTTTTTAGATTGCCGGAATAATTTATATGCAAATTCACAAGATTATACATTTATAATTTTATACTTAATTGATTATGTTTTTGAACAAAATACCGTTTTGGCAAAATGTGTTTCTGTTTTGCTTAATTATGTGTTTTGATGTGTTGTATTAGAGTTTTACAGGAAACGTGTCTCTTTTTATTGATTCATAATGCAAGAGATTAAAAAGGATTACTAGAATTAATGTTTCTCTACTGAAGATATATGGAGATTGACCGATCGAGTTGCTCAAAGAACATATTCAATTCGAAGTTACTTCCAAAAATATTATATCTCTTCTCAATTAATACAATTTTGTTCTCTTATGAGATAATTCAACGGCCGGTTTGTGTAGGACTTTTCGAAAGAGAAATACTAATCAACAAGGCTTATATAGTTTTAGGAAGAAAAACAATCATATGTTTAAAACTCTTCCTGATTGATGCAAAAAAAAAAAAAAAACTTTATCATGTGATGTTTTCTGCTGTGATGTAATAAGACTCATAATTAATTTGTATATCTATAGTTTTTTTCTTTCTAAAATTTGGTTAGAACCTTTTTGTGAACGCTGGGTGTTAAGGTTAAAGGTTAAAGGTTTAAAATAAAATAACAATGGATTAAGGTTTAAAGTCAACCATAAACATGAGGATGCCATCAGAAAGCATATAGGAAACAGACACTCTTACAAATCAGACATTTATTGTATTAATTATTAGATCCAAAATAATCAAAGCATGAGATAGTTTACTTGGTCGTATCAATGGCTCCCAAAACCGCGGTTAGGTAGATGTGTTGGTGATTAGATGCTACAACGACCTTCTGCTTCTCATCATCCTCTTCGACAAAGAACAAAGAGGGCGTAATCTTATACAACTCGTAGACGATAGCATACTGACATATGGCCCCTAAACCTCTCCAACAGTTAGCTTCCATGTCGTACACATGAACCACACTTCTGATATGAGGATTGTCCTTCTTCATCTGCCTCAACACAAGACACTTGCCATCGTACGCAACCACATCCGGCGAGGATAAAATCTCTCTTTTATCCGTAGATATGTACTTGACCCGCTTGGCGAGAGCCCACTTGGAATTCTCGAGTAGTGTGTAAACTGAGATTCTGTTTTTCGTCATTGATATCAAAGTCAGGCGGTTGATATTTTCGTTTGCCGCAAATAACAGTTTCATGTCCAAATTATGTTGGAGTCGAAATCTGGAAGGAATCAATCGTGCTTGCTCTGTCTCGGGATTAAAAGCTATAATGCTCCCGTCGTTTCTCAACCAATGAAGAGTGTCGTTCAAGTAAACAGGTTTCATTCGCGTCCTGAGATCACTTATTGACCTAGGGGTGATGGTCGTTTCCGATAATCTCCATGAATATCCGTCACTGATCTCGAATTTGTAGACCGTTTGCATCTCGAGTATGCATACGATCTTGAATCTCATGGTGGTTCGATTTCGATTTACCGCAAAACCAACACACATCGCTCTGTCCTTATGATCAGGTATCGTAGGTATAAGCTTTGACCCAGAGTGATCCAGAATTCGATACTTTTTTGTTACGGGATTCGCGATGAAGAGGCAACCGATGTGTGATAGGAGAAGAAGGCCGGAGCATGAGCCAAGTATGTAACATCGCTCCCAACTAAGAACATTTGTTTTTTTTCCTAGTGACATAGAGTCGCACGAAGAGACCAAAGGCTGGCAAAAGATATGACATGAGCCAAAAACGGAGATGTTAAAGAAACTGGGTCTGGCCCAAAAAGTGTATTTTTTGAATTTTGGGTCAGATAGATACGACTGGAAGAATTTATTTGTGCATCGTATCATGGCCAGAGATTTGGGTTCCAATCTGAAGAGAATCTCGTCTAGGAGATCCAAAGGTAAACCATTTATGATGGAAAATGAATCTAAGTGATCATTTACATGCTTCTGTTTTTTTCTTAGTAAACCATCCATGATTCAGAGATAAATCAAAATGAGAATCTCCCTACTTCTACTTTGCTTGTTGATGCGATTTTTTATTTTTTTCAATGGTTTACTTAGGAGGTTGTTAAATAGACAACAAATTCTAGCTTGACACAAAAGAAAAAGGGTAACAAACAATTTCATTAAATACAAAAAGCAAGACAATCACCATTATACAAGAATATTAAAGTTACCAATGTTTTAGTAGAAATAAAATTTATTACATTTTGATTGATTTTGAAATAAAATTTCAAAATATTAATTAGATTTGATGAAATAATGAAAAACTAAAAAATATTATATATTTATTTAGTTTTTAGTTGGGAAAATAATTTATAAGATAATTCAAAAGATTATATAGTTATAATCTTATTTAGATTGCAAAATAATTTACTATTTACTAATTTGAAAAATATGTCAACAAGTATAATATCCATTGGTAATAAAAAAAGATTTAAAAAATGTTAATTAAATAACAATGAAGTAAGGTTTAAGGTGAAATCAATCAAATCATTAAATATTTTTTGGACAATTCACTACCAAATTATCCAACATGTGAACATGACATGTAATTTGGTTGTTAGAATAACTTAATAGGTTAGTAAAACTCCAAAAATATTATTAGACATATAATAAATCTCATATGTTATCTATCCTTTAAACGAGACATGATCATCATGCACCACCACCAATAACTTTTGGGCTTATGATGGATTTTTTAGCCGTATAACGTGATATATTTTCCCACAAACATCCACTCTTTTCCCATGTTTTGATATATATATTATAACAAGGGAAATCAAGTCAATAAGCCCGTCTAGCTCAGTTGGTAGAGCGCAAGGCTCTTAACCTTGTGGTCGTGGGTTCGAGCCCCACGGTGGGCGCTTTGTTTTTTATCTTGTGTTTTTTTTTTTTTTTATAGAAAGAAAGAAAAAAAAAACTTTTTCGATCGGAAAATAATAATTTTTAGACATAATATAGGAAAAAGACCAAAATAATGAGATGTCAGATATCTTCCAACCACGTTTTCACAGAGAGCCACACCATTATCAAACTTGTTCTTAAGTTCCATAACAAAAACCCATCAGATCACATTTCTCTCCCTCCTCTCTGCTTGATTGAATCCATAAGAGGTACGCGATTTCTTCATCAGATCTTACCTCACTGTTCGATTATCTCTTCTTCTTCTTCGATTGTTGGATCGATTTTTCAATTGATTTTTTGATATCGGTTATGTTCCCGCTCCGCGTTGTGACTTTTTTTCCAGGGATTGTGGAGTAGCTTGATTTGATATCGATCTGTGACAATGGTGGAGACTGGTATCGACATGGAGGAAGGAACTCTCGAGATCGGAATGGGTTAGTCAGTCACCGATCATTGATTTGGATCACATCTATTCTTCGATTTTCATTTTTTTTTCTCTAGAAACGTTTCGTTGACTAACGGATAAGTGACTAGTGTTGCTTTGCTTTTTATTAGTTAGTTGTTTCCTGTGGTTGATGTTATGATTTAGCATTTTTTCCTACGTTTTTTTTTTGTCTTTGTAAGAGACTGATTTCAGGATCTTTGAATTGTAGAGTATAGAACTGTCTCCGGTGTTGCTGGACCTTTGGTCATCCTTGACAAAGTGAAGGTATAGAGATAATGAGAAGCTTTTTGACATTGAATACAAGCTTTCTTGTTTTTTCATTTGTCAGGGAAACTCACTGTATATATTTGTTGAACTGTTTATTATAATCAGGGTCCAAAGTACCAGGAGATTGTTAATATTCGCTTAGGAGATGGATCAACCAGACGTGGTCAGGTCTTGGAGGTTGATGGGGAGAAAGCTGTTGTCCAGGTTTCTGATTTTTTCGTGTTATTGTAATGTGAATTTCTGCATAAGACTAATGTGTAAAAGGTCAATTTCCTCAGTGATTTATTCATCTATGGGTTTCAGGTTTTTGAAGGAACATCTGGAATTGACAACAAGTTTACCACCGTGCAATTCACAGGAGAGGTGTTTACTTATAAAGCCTTCTTCTCTTTTAAGCTTTTGGCAGATTAATTAAAATTTTGGTTGGCAGTTTTCTGAAAACTAAGGATGCTTGCTTACACTTTTTTTTTTTTTTTTAATAACTTTCTCTGTTATTGGTGTGTGTTTCAGGTACTGAAGACGCCTGTATCATTGGACATGCTTGGCCGCATATTTAACGGCTCGGGAAAGCCAATTGATAACGGCCCTCCTATTTTGCCAGAGGCATACCTTGATATTTCTGGTGAACATTGACTGCCTCAATTGTGTGCTGAAGAAATTTTTTGTCTGTTTATTAATTGTTTCCGTCGATAATTTTTATAGGAAGTTCAATCAACCCCAGTGAAAGAACCTACCCTGAAGAGATGATACAAACGGGGATTTCTACCATTGATGTCATGAACTCCATTGCTCGTGGACAGAAGATTCCTCTTTTCTCTGCTGCTGGTCTACCTCATAATGAGATTGCTGCTCAAATTTGTCGTCAGGCTGGTCTTGTTAAGCGGTTGGAAAAGACTGAGAACTTAATTCAGGAGGTAAATCAATTACCCCATTATCACCTCCACTAATGTCCATTTGTTTTCCAAGTATCATACTGAAGTGTAAGTGCCTGTGTATGCACATTCACTTTCTAACTAATGTAGAAAGATTTAACTATCTCTTTGTGGATACATGGTACATGTCAAGCGTTATATTTTGTTATGCCGTTGAGTTTTCATGATACTCAACTTCTGTGAACTTTGATATAGCAGTCAGTCTCTCAATTCCTGTGTAGTTTTGTTTGCTTTGTAAACTCTTTCAGTATATCATTTGTGCTTTTCCAGGATCATGGAGAGGACAATTTTGCAATTGTTTTTGCAGCTATGGGTGTAAACATGGAGACAGCTCAGTTCTTCAAGCGCGATTTTGAAGAAAATGGATCGATGGAAAGAGTTACCCTTTTCCTGAACCTGGTAATTTTCTGCTAGTGATTTCTATGCCTCTTATCTTTACTTCCGATAGTACTATTATATTACATCAGTGATGGATTTACCTTATTCTGCATTCCACTCGAACAGGCCAATGACCCAACCATCGAGAGAATTATCACTCCTCGAATTGCCCTTACAACCGCTGAATATTTGGCTTATGAATGTGGGAAGCATGTGCTTGTTATATTGACAGACATGAGTTCTTATGCAGATGCTCTTCGTGAGGTATGACTTTCACTGTTCTTTGTGTATGTCCCATGGTGCACAATTTTATTTAGGTTTTGAAAAAAAGTAACAAACGAAAACTGTAGGTTTCTGCTGCTCGAGAAGAAGTTCCTGGAAGACGTGGATATCCTGGTTATATGTATACAGATCTTGCAACTATCTATGAACGTGCAGGGCGTATTGAAGGAAGAAAGGGTTCCATTACCCAAATCCCTATCCTGACTATGCCCAATGACGGTAAAAAAATCTTATCGTTTTTGGATTCCATTCACATCAAATGTTTTTCGATTAAACAAAGCTCATAATAATTCTTGTAATTAAAACTCAGATATCACTCACCCTACTCCGGATCTTACTGGTTACATTACTGAGGGTCAGATATATATTGATAGGCAACTTCACAACAGACAGGTACATTTAGCTTTGATTCTTTCTAACAAATCAATAATAAGCAAAAAAGGTTTCTCATCCATTTACAATGATCTCTGATTTTGTCTTGGTGCTTCCCTAAAACAGATATATCCACCCATCAACGTGCTTCCATCACTTTCTCGATTAATGAAGGTAGCCAAACGATTAGATTATACCCTTATGGATTCACATGGATTGAAACATACCATCACTTATTAACTTAATCATTGTTCCTTCTACAGAGTGCTATTGGTGAAGGAATGACTCGCAAAGACCATTCTGATGTGTCCAACCAGGTTCTCTATCTGTATAGAAACTTACTTGCCTAAAGTAGCTCACATGTTAATATAGTACCGAATATAATTAATAACATTCTCTTTACTTTCAGCTATACGCAAATTATGCAATTGGTAAAGATGTTCAAGCCATGAAAGCTGTTGTTGGAGAAGAAGCTCTTTCTTCTGAGGATCTGGTAACGTGTCTCTAACTTCACCATAATCATGTTCCTAGCAGAATACTCGCAATAATAATTACTCACAACAATTGCTTGTGTTTTGTGTATGTAGCTGTACTTGGAGTTTCTAGATAAATTTGAGAGGAAGTTTGTGATGCAAGGGGCATACGATACAAGAAACATCTTCCAGTCGCTTGACTTGGCATGGACATTGCTCCGTATCTTCCCACGTGAGCTTCTTCACCGTATTCCTGCCAAAACACTTGATCAATTCTACAGCCGCGACTCCACAAGCTAAGCCTTTTGAAACAACCTCTATGTTGCTCCATTCTTGTCTTATTTGGAACTTAAATCATATCGAGAGAAGACAAACAGGATTGATTGCGTGAAAACAAAACTCAGAGAATTGCGAATTTGGGAATTTTCTTTTGTTTTATCATTTGTACAATAAAGGTTTGTGTAGGGAAACTTCGTACAAAATCTATTTATAAACCACTTCTGCTCCTGTCTTCGAAACTGGTGAATCATGTCTTTTTGTTGTTTTGTAATAATAATCTCTTCCTACACTTATATTTATGTACCATTGTTTGTGCAATTTGTTGAATATTTCTTATATTAGAACTAACAATTGTTCTCTGCTGATGAGAACCACCACAAGTGAGTCAAAT